TTCCTTCGCTCAGGATGACGATCTGAGCGCCATGGCCTCTAGAACGACCCCTGAACTTGGAGTTCAGCCTGCGGCTGGCTGCGCTCAAGAGAAGTTGACTCCTGCGTGCGTGTGAGTTTTTCCTCGCAGCTGCCCTTGTAATCACCGAGAGTTTACTGAGGCCAGAGGGCAGAGGAGTGATGTGTGTCTCCAAGGTCCAGGGGACAGCTGGCTCACGCTGCCAGGAGCCTTTCCTCTTGCAGTCACCTGGGGTAATTCTCAGTATTCCCTCCCCCGCTTCCATCACTAACTTGGGATGTGTGTTGTGGACTGCCAGCCACGGGGGCATTGGCTGTAATATACCATGTAGATATCCTCTGCCTACACACTCCCAAATTTCAGACTTTTGGAAGGAAGGCTGGTGACACAGGCCGTGCTATCCCCCAGTGACCTGGCCTTTATTTATCTGGACTGTACATACCTTTGGAGCCTCTTCCACATGTGCCAGCCAAGGTCTACCTTATGAGCATCTGTTCCGAGAGGGGGTGTGCACGGCTCTTCAAGACACCTGCTTCCTGGAGACTGAGACGGAATACCTGTTGCCACACCCACCCGATTCTTAGCCTCATTGAAAAGCTGATGTTTAGGAAGTGATCACTCAACACGAAGGCACCTTCATTTGATAGCAGGAGAGCAGGGTGCACTGTAAGCCTGATGCTCAGGGCAGTCAGCGCTGAGGGTGTGGTCAGGGTGGGGCCTCTGGACTGAATGACTCCCTCAGGCAGATGAAGGGTGAGGAGGGGTCAGGCAGATAGCAGCATGACCACGAGTGTGGTGAAGGCTCAGTGTACGGGAGCAGAAGGGAACCACAGGGAAATGGGGCTGCCTTACTGACTGCTCCTTCTCATCCACCCCCAGATCAGACCAGCGTGGGTCTTGTGAGGTAGAGCCCCCGCCTCCCACTCCCCCGCCGCAGGTTTTTCGGTTTGTAATCTGGGTCAAGTGTGACTCTAAATCACAGCTAGCAGTGGCCAGGAGCAATCTTGAGAACTCATGGTCTCTCAGGGAAGAAAGCCCAAAGAAAGAGGACGCAGTTGGGCTCCGCGAGTTGGGGCTGTCGGGCTGTGTCTTTGTTCTGACCCCGGCCATCGTCCCTTGGCCAAGCGAACATCCATCTAAGAACTCCAACCTCTGCGCTTCCCTCTTTTACACTCGGGACCCTGACTTGCATGGAGTGCTTGCTGGGTACCAGACATGGAAGTCTCAGAGGCCTAACAGAGCCAGCGCTTGGACGTATCCCGGTGTCTGTGCATGGAACATATTCCTGCATGCCCACTGCACCAGAAGCGACGGCAAACGCCGCTTAGCTGTTTTATCGTTGATGCGGGGAAATCCTTCAAGTAGGAGGAGTGTGCCCGCCAGGAGGGGAAAGGTGGATGAGATTGGGTTTTGGAATTCTCAGAGCAGACGTAACTGGCTTTTATGTTTGACAAAGTTTGTGTTAAGGTGCTAGAGTTACTCATTTATCTTTCAATCTTTGTTAAGAAAAAAAAATTTTATTTCTGGCGTGTACTTTGGAGCTCCTTCTGACACTAATTAGGATTTTTAACATAGATCTGTGCATGCACTCAGCTGTTGTGTGCTTACACAGCAGGGGTTCTCAGGCTGTGAGAAGTCCCCCAACAGCGAACCAGTCCTGGAAGAAAGAGCTTGCCTGCCCTAGCAGCGAGGGTGCTGCAGCTTTGGATCGCATCTATCTGAGGATTCTTCTCTTAATCATTGGACTTAAACATGGAGAAACCCAAAACAAATCTGAACCCCCCCTCCCAGCCACACAGCCTGGACACTAGGCAGGGTGATGACCAAGGGCCACATGTCCCACTTCATGCCATCCGTCACAGCGCGTGCCATCTCACATCTCAACCTCCAGGGACTGAGCCTTCGTGCTACAGTGCCTAAGAGTGGGAAGCAGCGTTGTTAAGCTTGCCTCACGTGTGGGCAATGCTTTAGGAAGGGCAGGGAGATTCATGTCACACTCTGTTCACAGCTGGGCTGAACACAGAGGGAGTTGCAACCCCAGGACGGTTACGGCATTTCAGAGACAGGGCTGAACGCTAGGGTCGGGACCTATATTGCCCGCGGGCCTAACTCCCCGTGGAAGAGTCTTGGTTGTGGGGAAAGGGCTGAGGGACGGCAGACTGGACATCAACCATGCGTGCCTGTCCCTGAGCTCTTCGTACGGGCACAGAGTGCAGTAAGGACTGGGAAGGCACCACTTTCCCTAGACAGTAACGGCTTTGGCTCCAAAGTCACATGAACACAGTTGTAAAGAATCTTCGGCCAGTCACCTCACCCCTAGCGCGTGCAGATCCCGTTATCCGACAGACGAGTTGTTGGGAAGAAACACAGCCGTGTCTCACTTGAATGTGAATGCCCATCTTGTTGACGTCTACGCTGAGAGGTAGCTAGCTATTCCAGTGGGCACGTTTGTAACCTAAGTGGATGCGTAAAGGACAAGCCTCCTGTCCCTCGGGCCCACAGTGGGCTGTACGTGGCATGAGACTGGCCACAGGGACTAACGTCCTCCTTATTATTTTTACTTTTTATTTAGTTATTTATTTGTTTTTCTCGTCATAGTTCACTCTCCACTCCCAGCCTTCTGATCTGTAAACCCTGGCACGTGCCCCCATTTTATTCATTGCGCCGCAAGGCTCTCTGGGTTTGACGGTTTTGAAGTGTTACATGTTCACTGCCATAATATCACAGAATAATTTCTTTGACCCCACGAGATCTACTATGTTTCATCCAGGCAGCTGTCCCTCCTTTATTCTTGGACTCAGACAATTACCAGTCTTTTCCCTATTTGCCCTAGCTGACGACGACTTCCTCCTCTTCCTTCTCCTCTTCTCCTTCTCCTTCTCCTCCTCTTCTCCTCCTCTTCTCCTTCTCCTAACTCCTCCTCCCTTCTTTATTCCTCCTTCTTCAGTGTTGTATATCTGCAATTATTTAATGTATGGTCCCTGTCAAGACTCGCCTGTCTAACATTTAGTTATGTCTAATGTTGAGTGTAGTGAGGGATGATATTATTGTGTCATACAAAAAAAAATGTGACAATAGACTAACAACCTGTCTTCCAACACAGCGCACTGCTTGGATCCTGACCAGTGGAGAGCAAGGTGTGATGCTCTGCCTCCACACCAACAGTTAATGCTCTGAGGGCTCTGGACTGTAGCCATGGCAGTAACTATGTGGTTGAATCTTGTATTAGTACCTTTTCTGTGTTTATCCGTAATATTCACACCTTATTTGTTAGGGTGTCTGTGTGTTCGGCATTGGGTCTATTTTTAAAGGCTGGCTATCTGTTTGCTTATGGCTGACTTGTAAGAGTGTATTCTGGATGCAGGTCCCTTACGTAATATACAATCTGCAAACAGGACACAGCTATAGTATGATGAAGTAACAAGGAGCCCAAGTTACAGCTGTCTATGCAGCCCGGCTTTCTGGGGCACAGGGAAGGGGAACCTGAGAGGTAGAATCTCTTCAGGAAGAGAAAGAAGTGGAAGGATGAGCCTTTAGTCTCCCAGGATGCTCCTTCTCGAGGACATAGAGGAATATCCAAAGACCAGAGCCTGAAAACACGTGGAGGTTCCTGGTTCACAGTGGGCAGGAGTCCTGGTGGGTGGGTGACAGGAACACAGCCGTCCCTGGCATCTGGAAAGTAAGCGTGAAGACCACGAATCGTAAGAAGGAGTGTTGTCTTTACGTCAGCTCTCTCCCATAACGTCCCCATGCAGCCACCTTCATCCCAGTGCCCGACTCTCTCTGTCCAGGGATGTGCCCTGTTGTGCCAGTGAGCACTCTGCTCCAAACTGTCTTTCATCTTTAGCGTCTTACAGGAACTTTCAAATCAGATTGTGTTCCAAAGGTGCCCTTTTGCCCTGTGCGGTTAAGATGGGCCTCCTTCCCTTCTCTCCTGCGCTCTGTGTGTGTGTGTCCTGCGCTGTGTGTGTGAGTGTGTGTGTGTGTGTGTTGTGTGTGTTGCAGTCGACTGTTTAGTAACTGATTTTTATTGAAAGATGCCATCGGCCTGCTCAGCTACCCTGTTCCGCTGTAAGATCCTCACAGCTGTGACTGGAGTGCTCCGCAGACTTAATTAACACACGTGGGTTCTCTGCTCTGTGGAAATGTGTGGCCTACTCTCTGCAGGGGCAAAGTTAGGCTTACTTTCCTTCATTTTTTATGTCAAAGCCAATTCTCTACTGGTGCTGTCATCCAAACATCCCTGCAGATGACCATTCGCAGCGAAATCTCAGTGATGTGAAAATGCGTCAGCATATACCAGACGACTTTGTCTCGTCTGTAGCCAACAGTTTTTACTGTGCATAAACCTCATTGACTAGTGTTGGAGAAATGACAATGGCATTCTGAACCCACATCGGTTTGAACACTGGCTGCAGTGCCTGTGGAAAGGGAGGAATTTGAGTTGAGAGCAATAACAATGAACAGCAAGCAGCAAACACATTCAACAGTCACTCTGGCACCCATCCATGGCACATTGCTAGGTTTAATTGATGATAGCTGTTTACCCCAGCACAAGGGCTTTCTACAACCTAACGTGTGATAGCAAGGCACAGGCTGGTTCAAGGGCCGCACCTGAACAAAACAGCTACTTGGTGTGACTTACCATCTACCACCTAAAACTGCAGAGTTCTGACTTTATGTTCCTTAGTTTTACTTCTTTAGGGTGCTCATGACATTAAATGCTCTGTTAGCATTTGAACATAGGCGGTTAAGATTCAGCGACATCTCTTGGAGTCGCCGCGGCCTCTTACCCGTGAGCTTCCAAAGCTGTTGCCCTTCTGCCAAGCCACGGCCAGCTTCCCGTTTACCCCCACTGCCTGTCCCAGCTCTCTGCAGCAGAGGGAGGTTACCAACCCCTAGCACAATGCGTCTGTGCACTATGCACCTCCTGTTTGAGGGTGCCGCATGGGTGAATTCTGTTCTCCGCTTTCCCTTTGCAGATTTGACGGATGAGAAGGTGAAGGCCTACCTCTCTCTCCACCCCCAGGTCCTAGATGAGTTTGTTTCCGAAAGCGTTAGCGCAGAGACCGTAGAGAAGTGGCTGAAGAGGAAGAACAACAAAGTGGAAGGTAAGAAGCCACCACGCTCGTTCACCGGGGGGTGTGCCTGTGCATGCGTGTGCGTGTGCGTGCGTGTGCAGATTTCAGACCAAACTTTCCTAGCTCATAATGGAACAACACGTTTAAGAAAACAAAATGTGTTCAATCCCAGCACTCAGGAGGCAGAGGCAGGTGGGTCTCTGTAAGTACAAGGCCAGCCTGGTCTACAGAGCGAGTTCCAGGACAGCCAGGGCTACACAGAGAAACCCTGTCTTGAAAAAAAAAAATCAAAGAAGAATGGGAAAAAGGAAGAAAGAAAGGAAACATGAAATAGAAATGTGAATTTTATTTGTTAGTTTTTAAAAAATATAACATTGTTAGAAAGAGGAACCGAATAAATATGAGAAAGGCATCCTTAATTAAAACAGAAAGCTGTGATAAACAATGGCTGATCATTTATTTAGTGCTTATAGTATTAGTTAGCTTGGAGTCACTGTACCCGAGACCATGAACTGAAAGGTGAAAAGATTCATTTGTTCCCAGTTCAAGATCTGATAGCCCCATAGCTTTTGGCCTCTGGCAAGGACAGTGCATGGTAGTGTCAGGGGGGGGATGTGTGTCCAGGGAAGAGCTCATATCACCAGGTAGAGCCTGGTGGTCCAGGCAGGCTCCAAGTGCGCTTGCTGCAGGGGCTAGGGGGCCTCTCACAGGCCCTTCTACCTGATGGGCCACAGCACGCCCAGGGCAACCACCTTGTGGGCCAAGGGTACCCTGTATGTGTGCAGACCATGCCAGTGATTAATGCTGATTAGAAAAACGCAGTTTATGTTCATATCTCTAGATACTACACTTTACACAAGGCAGCCTGAAAACATTGTGCAGGCTTATCTCCCTCCCTCCCTCCCTCCCTCCCTCCCTCCCTCCCTCCCTCCCTCCCTCCTTCCTCCCTTGTAAGAGAGGATACCAGAATGGAACCCCCAGTAACAAAATGAGGATGGCCCTTTGTGATGCAATGCAGATAGGTGAGAAAGACTGGAGAGTCTGTCTGAAATCTCAGAGTCTTTGATGAGCTGCCTAATCTGCCTATACTCTGGTAGATAACGCCCCTCAGTGGTCATTCAAGTAACCCTGGGTAAGCTCAGTGGTTCACACCCCAAAGACAGGCTTGCTGGGAATAGGGCTTCAGCGGAAGAAAGCTGAGAAGGACTAAAATTCCTTATGTGGGTGCACGAAACTGTGAAGGAATAAAGGAGAAATGAAATTTCTGGATTCCTGGGCTTTCAGGCACATTGTATTTAAAATTTATGCAAAATACCATTTTTTTAAAGGGAGAGATCCCTTTGTTCCTCTCTTATTCTCAGAAATGTATTCATCTTTTAAAATTAATTAGTTGCTTTTGCAGGTCGAATAATAGAAAATAGAGCTTCAACTATGCTGGGCAAGTACTCTTACCCCCAAACTATATCTCCAGCCCTTAAAAATGCCTTTATTTCAAACACAGTTTGCTTAAGAAACAGTTATGCTTATGAGAACTCAAAAAGTGTGAGATACATTTGACAAAAAGTGTCAAATACATTTCCCCTCAAGCTGAATTTTCTTTGAATATTGCAGCATAATTTTTCTGTTTCTAAATGGATATATTTTTGTACCTGAACCAAAATTGGTCTCTCGTTTTTATGCATGTCATTCTCACAGGCACAGTTAACCCTCCTTGGATAAACTTCTGTGTTAACACCAAAATAATAGTTCTGGGGTGGTGTTCTTAGTGTGGTAAGCATTCTAACTTCTGTCTAATATACAGGACTGAGTGTTTTTAATGACATAGTAGTAACATAGGCAATTTCTGTGCTCCGAGTAAGTCTTTATAGTCTCTGAACACATAGTAATGAAAACGTATTCTCCCTGAGATATGAAGCCGTTTTAAACGCAACCAAAGTGATTAGTCCAGTGTCTACAAGTATGTATATGCATGTGTGTATGTGAATATGTTTGTATTTCTGTATGTGTGTATGTGAATATGTCTATATGTCTATATACGTGTGTGTCTGCCAAGTGTATGTGTGTGTTATGTGTTGCACATATGTTCACATGTGTGCAGAGGTCAGTAAACCTCTGGTATTGCTCCTCAGGAGTCATCCATCTTGGTTTCTGAGACAGAGTCTCATCCTCTCCTCTCCCTAGCATCAGGATTACAAGTGTGAGCATCCAGCCAGCTTTCTTCGTGGGTGCCGGGGTCACACACAGGCTCCCATGCTTGGGGGGTGATGTTTCACTCACTGAGCTCACCCAGTACTGAAAATTGTTTCCTGAAGTTGACCTTGAATCTAAGTTCCCAATGATCTATTTTAAAATGGCATTTGGATCCGGGCTCTGCATTTATTTCCCTTATAATTGACTTTACTCACGTGGGGAAGAGTCACCCAAAAATAGAGGGTGACTCCCAGGAGTTCATGCATGTGGAGAGAAAGGAAATCTTTGGAAGACTTTCATTTGGTATTTAATCCCACTAGACATTCTACCTAAGTGTTCATCAGTATGTGAAGCACATATGACAGCCTCACTGATGCCCTTTGGGACTCAGAGGTTACTGCAGCAGAGAGCACCTGCACACCTGTGTCCCACACAGCACAGACATGAGGCTTGTGTGGTGGTCCCAGTCCTCTACAATGCTTGCCAGTCCCAGTCTCCAAGACAGAACCTGATCCCACACTGCAAACACTGTTCTCTCGTGAGCAAGAACAAAAACTTACCTCAACAGTCAACAGTGTCTCGTCTCCGGCTCCCAGTTTGGGCAGTGCTAGAAAGGGCGGGGAACTGTCACATAGCATGGCCACATTTGGTATCCTTGATACTATTACTATTTAAGATGTTGATAAGACCCGAAATTCCAGTGTGACCCAAGAAGGTGGTGCATCGGCCTAAATAATTCATAAGTCGTTGGGAGAGTGCTGTGCTTTGTGGCCTGTGGTTTTTATGTGCGGCATGTTCTATAACAGACACTGCCACTACTTTTGTTGTTTAATAATTTATACTGAGAGCATTCTGTCAGTGAACTTACATTTTTTACATGGTTTTATTTTTGTTTTTATACAAAAGTGTAGTTATCACATTTTTTCTCTCTTATGTAATCCTGGAGGTGGGATTTATTATTATTCAAATGAAATTCTTAGACATTTCACACTTAGAATAAAGGTTTTAAAATCTTGTCACCCCAACCTACTATTTGATAGCTTGGGTCTCAGAATTAACTGCATTTAAACTGGTTAATATCTAACAGATGGCTCCTATGCTGGTGTACAGTGTAACAGCAGCTTAAACTAATGAGGCATGAGTTCCCTTGCCAGAACACACAGCCTTGCGAGGTTGTAGTTTGTAGAACACTAAGAACGATATACACACCATGAATAAACAAACAAGAGATGCCTGAAATGGTTTTCATGAAACATAATTTTGGATTCCTTTCTTTTTCTTGAAATTAAAGTGATTTTTAGTTCATTACAGTTATTTTATCTCAGCAATCGAAATTACATCATCACCATGAAACTTCCAAATCACATGTTACCTTGCTTTTGGCAAATGGAAGTCATGTGTTGAAGGCTGTGATTTGGTTATAAATAACGAGAGGTCTACCAACTGGAAGCTGGAGAGGAGACAGCCCCTGACAGTAATGGATACATTGTATCGGTTCTGTTAATTGTGTGCCTATGTACAGGGCCCACAGTAATGGGTACATTGTATCAGCTCTGTCAATTGTGTGTCAATGTACAGTAACCACAGTAACGGATACATTATATTGGCTCTGTTAATTGTGTGTCAATGTCTCTGATGATGTGTCTGTAAGTGAGTGGCTTGGAAGTGAGGTGGCTTATCATTCCTGACTAGACCTCAGGTTGAGATTCTAGTAACATGAAAAATTGAGTCTCAGCGTTAGAATATTGTCGGTACCTAGGAAACTGATTCAAGTGTACTCCTTTTCTGTGGACCAGACTGACATCTGAAGCCGTGTCTGTAGTGTCTTTGAAACTGATGGTGGCTCATAGCCTTAAAAGCCACCACATTTTCTAAGCAAAAGTCTCATTTCTGAGTGATGAATATCAGGTCTCAGCAAATACTTGTTTTCGTTGAGGTTTCTTTATACAATTTGTATTTTCTAGCTGCGCATATGGAAAAAGATGCTGTTTAAATGTTAGTTGATGGAATTCTTCTTAGCATTTAAGATTCTGTGTCACCTGTGGCAGACTTTTAGACATGAAAACCCATGGCAGATAGTGGTATGTTGCTTTCAGTGTAGCTCTGAAACCCTTTCTAAAAATCAGAGACTAAGTTGACTTCAGGCTGTTTAACCAACCCTTTGTGGAAATGCCCACACGAAAGGCTAATGTCTCCACATCTATTGCTGCAATAAGACATCATGACCTGAGTACAAAGGGTTCATTCATCTCACAGATCTCAGGTCCACTCCATCAATGCGGGACATGAGGGTAGGGTCACAGCAGGACCCTGGAGAAGCAGAAGCCATGGCAAGATTGCTGCTTACTGGCTGGCTCCTTATTGCTTGCTCAGCAGGCTTTCTTAGACTACTCAGGACCTCTTGCCTAGGCAGACTCCACTCACAGTCACCTGGGCCCTCCCACATCAATCATTAGTAATAATAATAATAACAACAATAGTGTGCCATAGGCTTGTTCACTGGTCAGTCTGGTGGGAACATTTTTTTTTTCCAGTTATGATTCCCTCTTCCCAAATGACTCTAACTTGTGTCAAGTTGTCAAAAGCACTATGGTAGCTAGCTGTACCTGGAATGTGACTAGTGTGGCATGCTTTCCTAGCTAACCCTTCAGTTACCAGTTCATAGATATTTATTGATTACCTGTGGTGAGTGTGTGTGGTGGGTTTGAGTAAAAAACGGCCCGCATAGGCTCATAGGGAGTGCCACTACTAGGAGGTGTGGCCTTGTTGGAGCACATATGGCCTTGTTGGAGGAAGTATGTCACTAGGGGACAGTATGAGGTCTTAAATGCTCAAACCAGGTCTAGTGTGATAGTCACTTCCTGCTGCCTGCCAATTTGGATGTGCTGCCTGCACGCCGCCATGCTTCCCACCATGATGATAATGGACTGAACCTCTGAAACTGTGCCAGTACCGGATAAATGTTTTCCTTTATGAGAGTTGCCATGGCCATGGTGTCTTTTCACAGCAATAGGACACTAACGAAGACAGTTTATAATTGGAGAAAAAGGAATAAAGAGCCCATTCTTCTCTCAAAGTTCATTCGTTTCAGAGAAGTCATCTAACAAGTGCATGGAACAGAGAGTAAGATTATTTTAGTGTAGTTGATTGTGCATGTTAGAGAAGTCCAGAGTAATATCTGGCACAGGAATGTTTAATGAAATTTTCAAATCCAGTGTTTGCTATCAGCCAGTTAAAATCTTCACTGTGTTCAGAGCCTCTGTCTGCCTGGTGTCCCTGGCTCTTTGTAACGCCACACGGAACTTGTATGTCACGGTGGCAGATGTATGACCCTGCTCAGAGCACAGCAACGAAGGCTCAGGATCAGGCATCATTTGGTGGTGAAGGCGGCCCTGGGAAGTGAGATGAGTTACTAGGAGGCCTTAGTGTCCTCAGTGACTCCTGGACAAGGGAATTGTCACACCATGGAAGCTGGTCATAGTCCCTGTGTCCAACTCACTCAGACTTACCGCCTCACTGCCTGGTGGCTTAGTTTACACAGGCCCCACACGACTTCTTGTGTTTGCCGGTTTTGAGGGCCAGCGCTGGGCATCAGGGCACCTGACATGGGCAGAGGAGCTCTGAGAAACCACAAGTGGGGAGCAGGACTTGGGGCTTGATTTCTGAGAGGACGGAGGAGAGGATTTAGGAGGCATCCGCATGACAGGGAGCAGTGGTCTGGTCAGCAAGGCGGCCAGTGTATCAGCTCAGCTCGGAGCATGGTTGGGGGTGAAATAATAATCTTGTGTGGCCCCTCCTTCTTGTTCACTCTGGAGTGGCAGCTTTGATGCCCTGTACGCTGAGGTTCCCCAGTAGGAAAACAGGGTTGTTTATCTGTTTTTAGGGTTCCCCGCCCCTGTATTTGGAAGCTGGCCTGGAGGTGGGGGTGGGGGAGACAAGGTGGCAAACTTTTTGTATTCTTCCACTCTGAATTGCCCTGCAATTCCCGTTTTTTTGCTTGATTTCCTTCCCTTTCTTTTTTGTTTTGGTATCAGCCATCCTGACCCCCCCCACTCCTTGGAGCTGTGGGATTCAGTTTTAGGAAAGGCAGAAAAGAAAGGACAGTGTGTACCTAGTGCCTTGGGGTAGATGAGCTCTTATCTTGGGAAGGGAGGGTCCCTAAGAAGATAGAATTCAGTTTTGATAAGACGGAGCTGCTGTGTGGGAAGGAGCCAGGAGAAAACTTCAAAGCAGACATAGTCCTTTTGGAGCATCAATCACAGGAGAGGCAGGCACTTCCTGGTCAGGCTGGACCTTGCAGGAGGTTTCAAGCACTTCTAAGAACAATGCAAACACCTTGAAATTTAGATAAGCGCCTTCCAATACCCTTGAAGATGGGTGATATGAGTTTTTGGAGTGAGCTGTCATTGCGTGCTCTATCTTCTCTGCTAGGAGCAGGTCAGTCAGGTTGCAGTGTTCAGCTCACCTGTCTCCTCCCCAGAGTATCCCGGAGGAAGTCTGCTTCGCAACGCCAGTGGCTGTGGGAACTGAGGACTTGTACCAGTGCCAAGGCAGTGCCCCAACTTGTGAAATACTTCCATCACTGCCCCGAGATGTGAGAGATGTGACGGAGTGACATTTGGTACACAGGCTGTCACAAGGCCAGGATGACTTCAGCGCTTTTGAGCAGAGTCAGTCAATGGGTATTCCCTTTGGCTTAAGCACACTTTAAAACCCGAAATATAAAACATGAAAAGTACTAGGTGCTAAGTACAGTCCGATCAAGAAGGGAGGGGGGGTCTACACTCACCTCCGAGGAATGCTGTCATGGCTGAGTGGAGGGCAGCAGAGCTGGCTGGCCCCAAACTTCCAAAGCCGCCAAGAATGACAAAGATTGTGCATATTATTAACATTAAGAAATAATAACTGACCAAACCTATTTCTGCTCCCCCCGCCCACCCCCCCCCAACTCAGGTCCCCATGTCTGTATGACAACCACACGGTCCACTTTTTGCAGTCCCTTACATATCCTAAATACCAACCCCACCTGATGGGCATTTGTGGTTTATTTTTTTCCACTCTGCAGGCTGTCTCTTCACTCTGCTAGTAGTTTGTCTTGCCAGGCAGGGCATTTCAGCTTCATGTAAGCCAGCACTTGTAACTTGTGGGATTGCTCCCTGTTCTCCTGGGACCATCCAGTAAATCCAGAGCCACAGACAGAGAGCACTTGAGCATCTGCCCGTCAAGTTTGGATTTCTGTAATCTGGTGTCACAAGTGTGACAAGCCCATTACTGTAATCCCAACTCACGTCAAGAAAACATTGACAGTGATCACAAAACACAGACACCCACACATTTATAAAGACATAAAATATTTAAAGGGAGTGTTTACGGTGAAAGGGACTCACTCCACTCAGTACTAGGAGACCCCCCAAGGGGATTCTTTGCATCCATGCATGGTTCTTGCTGAGGCTTTTAAAGATCATTAAGATGCAGTTGGACGAAGAGATGGTTTCTCCTTTCTGGGAAAAAAAAAATTCGTCTTTGGCTAGTGAGGGTGTGGTTGCTCTGCCGATACTTGTTTCCTTGTTCGTCTATCTCGGTGGCCTGCTTGGCTTCCGAGGACAAGGCTGAGTGGAGTCCAGGCACAGGCTGCTCGGTACCCAGATGCTGTCCAGGTGTGTATTTAAGGCAGAGGCCCTCTTCTGCCCAAAGACCTGGTCCTCTGGTCTGAACCTTTCTATGGATAATTTGGTGCTCACGAGTGATTTATAGTCTGTTATCCAAGTCAGCTTCCCCCCCCCCCTTTCCACTGTCCCTAACCAGGCTGTTCAAGGGGAGCTGGGCGGTTAGACTGTGTGAAGTGCCCGCCCACCTGCAGGTCCCTTATGAGATCTGCTGGAGGCATTTCAAACTGAGGCAGCAACCTGGAATTCCTCTGGTCGGCCAGCAACAGTAACAGTATGGGCTGGAGGGGGCAAGTTCCTTCTAGGTTACTTATTTATCTTCGGAGGAATGATTCTGTACTCAGCATCGATTCTCACTGGTAGGATGCTGTTGCTCTGGGTCTTTTCGGGTTCCAAGTATAGCACACTCCCCAGGGAGCACCGCTGCCCCTCCCCCCCCCACAGACAGGATTTGCCGTTGCTCACTCATGCACTTGCCCCTGAAGTGCCCCTCCAGCATGGATGGAATGGAATTAAACATCTGGCTTCTACACACTGGACTTCCTGGGACAGGGAGTTCAGTGAATGAAACTACCGAGTGTGGGAAGAGGTGGTGTGGGTTTCTTGGTAACACACAATAGCATTCATTCCCTGTGTGTAAGGGGCTTGAGGTTCATTTAGCACAGGTTGTAAGTGCTAAGTCAGATGAAGAGGGCATGGAGGAGGAGGGAGAGGAGGAGGAAATATTTCGAAATTTGTTCCAAGGTAGGTGAAAATCCAGAAATCACCTGCAAGCAATCTTGGTTCTGTAGACTTTTGCAGGCTGTGTATCTTTTGCACGCTTTTGTAGATTACTTTTGGGAAGTAATGTGCCAGTTCTTGAACCCCGTTAGTACTCGAATAGGAGCGTTAAGGCGGGTTGACGAGAAAAGCAGGAAAATGTCTGTTCACAACCTCGGACTCTGAAACCATCCTTCTCTGTATGATGGAGGGAGCTACAGTCTGCCTGGGGCCATGCTCGATTTCATTCCAAGTCACCGTGGTGCCCAACCCCACCACACTCATTGGATGCCTGTAAAGATGATTGTGTCTCACAATTAATTAAATCAGTTAAATTTAGAACGTGCTTTCGCTGGACAGCATAGGCTGGCCCCAAACTTAACAATCCCCCTGAACCACCCTCCTTAGGCACGCACCGCCAATACCGGTCAGTTTGCTTTTTAATCCATGCTTACCGAATTGCTTAGATACAGTTTTGTTGTTCTTGTTACTGTTTTGATTTTTTTTTTTTTTGATTACACTAACCCAAGCCTTTGTAGCGTCAGGATCTACTAATTAACCTATGATGATACAATAGTTACATTTTCAGAGAGGTTCGGGATAAAATAGAATGGGGGGGGATAGTAAAGTGAAAGATCCCATGACGCTCCTTCAATAAAGGAGGTGGGCCCGGGGAGGGCGCACACCTTTAGTACCAGCACTCGGGAGGCAGAGGCAGGAGGATATCTATGAGTTTGAGGCCAGCCTGGTCTACAGACGGGATCCCAGGACAGCCTGGGCTGAAAAGAAAAAGGGAAGAGGATGGGGGCGGCGGTTAAACAGTGCCTTTGACTTGGTGTACATGCTTCATTCTCGGAGGAGTGCCGTGCAGTGCCCGAGCCCTTCATCAGCCATCGCCCACATATGGTGAGCATATACCCTGCGGGGCACTTGCCCTTGCATGCCTGCTGGGATCTCCCCTCAGAGCTCCTGCGTGAAGGGGTCTGTAGCACACTTCTGGGGCTTGCGTCTTTCTCCTCCGGCAGCCATGTAGCTCAGCAGCATCTGTAGAGTTGACTGTGCCTGTGTGACAAGGTCTCCCTTTTAGGATCTATACGAAGGTGATCCGCACAAACAGTTGCTGTGATTTACACACACACACACACACACCAATTATCCTCTCCATTCATTACGTTTAGCCTTTTCAAGATTCTTGGAAGCTTGGCAGAAGTGTGTCAGGAGTGAACGCATGTGCTGTTGTGTCGGTGAACCTTCCAGATGCTAACTGTTTCTCTCCTTGCTTCTCCATCCCCAGATGAATCGGCTCCTAAGGAAGTCAGCAGGGTGAGTAACTGAATGCAGTTTCTACAACACTGCCCCCGGGGATTGTTCCTTCCTCTAAATGTCCATGTTATCTTAGCGTGGAGGCGGGGAAAGTTCAGCGGAAACTCTGCACCCTTTCCCGGGTGTCCCTACGGCAGGCAGGGGGGGGGGGCTGCTCATCCACAGAGGCCCCAGGGCTGAATACCCAGGTTAGCCACACGTGCGAGCCTGCACATCCGGAGTTGTGCAGTGACTGGGCTCTTAGTGCCAAGAGAAGGCAGGTAGAGGCTGGATTTACAGATCCTCCCGGGGGACCCCATGAAAGCAGCATTTGCCCAGCATCCTCACAGTGGGTGCACAGGCCACGGTGGTCAAGCCCTCTGCTCTGCAGGACACCACAGCCCACCACAGCACTGAGCCGGTTCCCTCTTGTACCTAACCTGTGAGGATCCCTGGATCTCAGCCCCATTGTCTAGCTTGTGGAGGGATCAAGGCCAGCGAAGGTGTTATGCTCTGAGATATCCAGTATTGTCACCGTCTGGAGTGATACGGTTAAGAGATCTAGCCAACACAGAAGGCTGGGCAGGGGGACTGGGGACACCTCAGACAGTCAAGTGGCTCTGGCACACGCATGAGGACCCGTGTTTGCGTCCCCGGCACCCATCTCAGTACGCAGGGGTGGCAGTACCCATCTGTAACCCCAGTGGCACGGCTATTTGAGGGATCCAGGATTACCCAGATGCGTATTACCAGCCATGTCCCTGTCTGTTGCATGGTTGGCACTTAGAAGAATTTCTTAGCCGGGCAGTGGTGGATGGGGCCTTTAATCCCAGCACTCGGGAGGCAGAAGCTGGTAGATCTCTGTGAGTGTGAGGATGGCTTGGTCTACAGAGGGAGTTCCAGGACAGCCAGGGCTATATAGAGAAACCCTGCCTTGGAAAGAAAACAAAAACGAAAATGAACAAACAAACCAACAAGAGACAGAAAGAAAGAAAAAGAAAAGAAAAAAGAAAAAAAAAAGTAAAGATAAGAAAGAAGCGTGGGCCAGAACAGGGAGAGAGAGCATCGATATGAAAAGTAATCTCTTCTCTCGGCTGGATGTTCCACTCTGTGGGCATGTCTGGGGCTCCTGAGGGCAGAACAATACAGTTACGTGTTGCTGTGCTCTCAGAAATGGGATTGTGGCAAGAATGGAGCCCATTTTGAAGTTTTCTTTTATAATGTTGATTTTTCTTCTCCCCTGAGTATTTATAAAAGGCTGCTGTTTGCTCTTGGAATGCACGGTATTCATTAGAGTCTTGGTATAAATGCTTTGTTTTTTTTTTTTTTTTTTTTTTTTTTTTTTTTTTTTTTATTAAGCCAGCCTGGTGTGGGGAGTTTCATACTTATCCTGATACAGGGAGTGTCACACTGAGCCTGATGTGCAGTGTCACACTGAGCCTGATGTGCAGAGTGTACTGGGGGCAGAGACCTTCTGAGAGTTAAGTGATCTGGGGCCTTGAGGGGACAGGGCTTAGGATGGTCCCCTGAGTGTGTGATTGCCAGGTGTGCCCAGGGAACGGTAATGCTCGCTGTCAGCCCAGTCACGGGGCCACTCCCGGCTCTGTCCATGTTAACTTGGGGTCCCGTGTCATGACTCTTCCCCAGGGTATTATTACTTAACTTCTTGAGCTGTCCTTTTCGGAAGAGGATTTTAAGGAAGCCAGTAGGTGGTCATTTTCAACTTGGCTTTGCTGGTCTTGAACTTGGTTCTGTTGGTCTTGAAACTTCGGCGAGTTTGCCTTTAGACTTACGGACACAGGTACCAGGGAGGGAGAATTGGAAAGGTGACGAGCCAGGTGTGCCCGGTGACCTCTAACATGAGATGAAGGCTCCAACAGGCTGAAAACAGCCGCGCCAAGAATACAATTAAGGTTGGGTTTTGTAGAATTCCCCCACCAAGGATCCCTGGATCAGCTGCCCAAGGGGAGTCCACAGAAAACCTAGAGGGGTCCGACACCTTCTGGTTCCCCTGGAACTGGAGTTAATAGACGGTTGTGAGCCATCCTGTGGGTGTGGGAAATTGAACCTGGGTCCTATAGAAGAGCAGCCAGGGCTCTTAACTGCAGGACTATCTCTCCAGCCGCCCTAGGAGAGGTGTTCTAACGGCTTGGCGGGAAACCTGGTTATACCTGAACATATAAAGCGGGGGGGGGGGTGGAGTGGGGGGTGGAGGGGTGGGGAGGGAGATGTCAAGGCCCAGAGCTTCTCTGTGAAGGAGTAGAGAATGCACCAGCTCCCTTTTCAATTGCATAAAGGTGCAAGTATAAGGTAACGTGGCTGCTTTTTTACAGACGTGCTCGCTCAATCCCAAAGCACAGCATTAAAAGATGGCTCAAGAATGACAGTGACCGCCCAGGAGTTGGACTCAGGAGGCAAGGAGTAGCCGTGCCTCGCTCCAGCCTTAGCTGTCCTGATATAGCCCAGGGTAGAAGAGAGCACATGCATGTAACCCCAGCACCTGAGAGGCAGGAGTAGGAAGCTAGGGAGTCCAAGGATAGCCTCTACCATGTAATGAGTCTGATGCCAGATGGATTACCTTAGAGGCCATCTCAAAGTAACCAGAAAACACACACACACACACACACACACACACACACACACACACACACACACACAATACCAATTCCCAAACAACAGAAAAGAACAAGGCACTAAGAAAGCAAACGCCTTTCAGTCAAAGAAGTAGCAATCACCTCATAAAACCTGCAGCCTGAAGTGTGTGTGTGTGTGTGTGTGTGTGTGTGTGTAAATACATATCAGGCACACTACGTGTGTGTATGTATATGTGTGTGCACCTGTGCGTATGTGAGTGTGTGTGTGTGCATACATATCCGTGTTTCTGTATCTATATTTTCAGGTGCCTCTGTGTGCCTTTGCCAGTGAGAGAGACAGAGAGAGAGAGGGAGAGAGAGAGAGCGAGGCTGGGCCCAGCAGCCCAGGACACTGCCAGCCCATGGAATGTCACAGTCTGTCTCCATGTGGCTCCTCCTCAACCAGCCCAACCTAGAAAGTCCCTCTCAGACACACCGAGGGCGGGCGTGGAGAAGCTTGTATCCTAAGTGTCCTCTGGATCCTGTCAAGTTGATGGTATTAGCAAGCATAGCCTCCAAGAACACCTAAGAGGTGCCATGCCCCAGACCAGGAAAGGAAAATGGGAGCATCCTTAATTCTGGAAATCAGACAGCCTAAGGAGTGTCTGAGGAAGAGCCCTGGGGATGCCTGCCAGGGAAGCCACAGTCCCCTTCCCTCCCCTCCGCCATTATCAAACACATCACATGAAGTAGCTTCAGGCCTTTGAGCTAGAGAATATGAGAAAGAACATTTTTCTTCGTCAGCGCTAGGATGTTTGTCTCAGCCTTTGCTGCCGGTTACTCCAGCAGCCACGGCAGATGTGAAGCCCCCAAGGAGCTGGACCCTGAGTGTGGCAAGTGTGCCCTGGGTGGATTTGATGTGAAACATTATCCCCCTCATCGGGGGCAACTCAGTCTGTCGGTCTGAGACCTGGGTGAAGCTTCCGCTGTTTATTATTGGCCCTGCTGTGCTTGCACTTTGGGATGCAGGGAGAATCTAGAAATAGATCTAGAATCCAGATGTTCTTCCATTGCAAGGTCCCGAGAAGGTGTTTGATTTTTATTTGTTTTATTTAATTTTTTTTTTTTTTTGGTCAAAGGTGGACTATTGGCTCATGTTTTCTTATTAATCCCCCCCCTCCCAACAAGAGCTTGAGTCTCCCTGAGAGCCAGGACTCTGGCTGCTGTGTGCTTGCACACGGATGGATGAGAACCTTTAGTTTCCAGGGACCCACACACCCAGAAGCCCATATGCTGGGCCCAGCTCTTCCACTAAATCTCCTGTCTCATTACCTCCCCCCCCCACAGCGATTTTCTTTTCCTTTCTTAAATTTATTTTATTTTATTTAATTAAAAGATTCCCATTTAGTTTCCATACTAGCCACAGCTTCCCCCCCTTCCTCTCCTCCCAATCCCACCCTGCACACTCCCATCAAGCCATCAAGCCCCCTCCTCTGTCTCCATTCAGAAAGGGGCAGACCTTCCTTGGGCTCCCACAAAGCATGTCACATCAAGTTGATGTGAGACCTGGAGAGCAACCTCCCTCCCCCCCCACAAAAAGGCTGGGCAAGGCAATCCAGCATGGGGAGCAGGTCCCCAAAAGCCAGCTAGGGTGTCAGGAACAGGTCCTGATCTCACAGCTAGGAGTCTTACAAAGAGACCAAGCTACATGACTGTCACACACGTGTGGAGGGCCTGGGTGGGACCCACGCAGGCTCTGTAACTGTTGACCCAGAGTCAGTGAGCTCCCACAAGCTCAGGTCAGCTGTCTCTGTGGGTTCCTCTCATGGCCTTGATGCCCTTTGCCTCCCACAATCCCACCTCCCTTTCTTCAGGAGGACCCCTGCAGCCCGGCCCAGTGCCTGGCTGTGGGTCTCTGCATCTGCTTCCATCAGCTCTCTGATGACCATCAGAATACTCACCGATGTGATTACAGTAGAGGAACAGTTCAGGCACCCTCTCTGCTGTTGCTAGGAGTCGTAGTCCACAGCCAATTTCTACCAGTAACTTAAGCACCAGAACCTTTCGCTGTTGTAGTCAGGGGTTCTTTCCTAAATTATTACTCAAATGGCCCTTTGCACCCCTTAGATCTCGCTGTCCGAAGTTAAACTAGTTCGTGTTATCTAACAAGCCCTTGAACTCAATAGTCTTCATTGGTATGAGTTTCATTATTTCTATTCCTTTGCATTGAGTGGATACGCTTTTCAGAAGCTATCCCTGCTTGTTTATAGGATCCTGCCTGATTGCCCGGTTCAGTGTGAACTCCTCGTGTGGGAGAGGATGCTGTACTCGCTCCCACTCCCAAGCAGGTGCCCTGGGCATGGTCCTTCTCTGTCTCCCATCGTCCCTAGCTTTCTCCACGGCTCTGACTGCGCTCTCAGGAACATGCCTGCCTCTTCACAAGAGGGCGTAGCGTTCCTCACAGTCCTCTCCAGGACCGGCCAGGCCTTTCCCCCCCTCTCCCATAACTCTAGGGTAAAACCTCCTGTGACTCTGCCCATTGCTGTTCTTACTTATTTTTCAGAGGTGTTGAAGGTGGATCCCTGGGTCTTGCAGACCTTAGGCAAGTACTCATCACCGAGTTTAACATAAGCGGCTGCCGGAAGCCAGCGCGCCCCACCTCAAGCTATCAGTGTGCCTCTGCCTCTGTGAGCTTCGTTGGTCCTTCACTGCCAATGCTGTGTTGTAGACACATTAGGATTCTTCAGCTTATGGTGTCTGTGTTACCAAAAAAAAAAAAAAAAAGTATTTATAGCTTTGCTTACTTTAAAATGCCTAAACGGAGCCGGAGACATAGCTCAGCATCTAAAGTGCTTACTTTGCAGACTAGGGGAGTGTGTTGGGTCTCCAGGATCCACACTGTAGACAAGTCCCAGATTCCCCGAGGTCCCTCATGGAGCCCTCGGTGACAGTTGAGGACAGTGAAGTTTCATAGGAGACACCGTGGCATCAGTCAGACAGAAGCTGACAGACTTTGGGTTTTGTTTTCCGGCACTGTCCTGGCTGCGGAGAGCTGTGTTCAGTGGGTTTCACTGGTACAGACTCGTCCACGTGAGACGAGCGTGGACAGAGATGGAAGGCGAGGTGTCCACTCTCATCCCAGGGTTTGGGAGACTGTGCCACACCTGACTTCCTTTGCTCCGGGTCACAAAGTGTCTTGAAGGGCAACTGTCCCTTCACACTCACCATAAACTAGGAAGCGTCGAAAGCTGGTTCTGGTTTGTCTCCCCCCCCCACACACACACACTCAGAGCTCAGAGATATGACATTGCATGACAGGTATTTCATCCCTGCCCTAGGAAATACGTGGTGTGTGTGTGTGTGTGTGTGTGTGTGTGTGTGTGTGTGGTTTGTGACAACCGATTCTTGTCCAGGAGAGATGGAAAGCTGCTGGGCACTGACCTTAGCAGGGGGTAAAGGCTGTTATCAAAGGGTATTGCCAGGCTGTGAGGAAGGACTTGCTGGGAAGCCATTTGCACCAGGGCTCAGCTACTCCATTGTCCACATGTTGAATCTCCCTGGCCCCCAGTATTGAGGCAGGGGGCTGGGCTGCAGGCTTGTGGGGAAGGAAGGAGGTGGTCTTGTTTATGTATTGTTGGTTGTATAGCAATGCCCTTGTTCCCCTGGGCCTGGCCTCCCAGGTGTGGGATGACTGACAATGGAGGCCCTGGATCTCCACACAGACTTGTTAAAGTTGGGACCCTGAGTGTGCAGTGGTGGGGATGGGAGAGACAGCGCCCCCTGGTGGGCATTAGCAGTGTTGCTGGCGCTGCTGGTCTATCTGTTTCCCCAGTGCAGTGGGAAGCCTGGGAAGGGTTTTCAGCTGAGGAGTAAACAGATTTTGTTTTTGGTTTTGGTTTGCAATGCTTGGTATCTGGAAAACAGGGTTTGTAAGGCAAGCGAGGGGCAAGGAGGACAGAGAGGCCTGTATTCCTCAGAGAGGGGCGGTGTGGCCTGACTGCGCCAGGACCAGATGGATGGGCACCCTGTGCATTCCTGTTGCTGGTATGACGGTGTGTCTGCAGCTTCAGGGCAGGCTGCTCACCCCTGAGCCCGCGGAGAGTCACATTTCACCTCCCAAGGAGCCCTCGGGCGACCTTTGAACTCTGACCAGTCAGGCTGTGTAAAAGCTGTGATTTATATATGTGGTGTTCTTGTATAGAGAAGCTGACAGGTGCAGTTTTTAAGACAACCTTGGATGGGGAGTCACAGCAGGTTTAGTTTCCAGTCTACCTATCTTAGAACGAGATGGCCGTGTTTAGCCATGCTCTGTAAAAGCAACCCACAGTTGTAGGAGCAGCATGCTTTCTGTGCCAGGGGTTTTCCTGTACTTCAACCATGTCCCTGACTCCTGTTGTTGTCTGTGTGTTAAAGTACCAGGACACGAACATGCAGGGAGTTGTGTACGAGCTGAACAGCTACATAGAGCAACGTCTGGACACGGGCGGGGACAACCACCTGCTCCTCTACGAGCTGAGCAGTATCATCAGGATAGGTAAGGCATGCCGTGCACGTGCACGCCTTGCGCACTGCGCTCGCTCTCCGGTCTGGTCCCTCTACCGGAATGGAATGAATGAAGCCACAAATCCCCAGTAACCTGAGATCAAATAAGGCCAGGCTTTTAAGACACTGTTTCAATTTATTCTTTGATAATTTCGTACAGTGTATTTTGAGCATGTTTATCCCCTCTCTTCCAACTCCTCCCAGTTCCTCCCCAACACTACCCACCCAGCTTAGTGTTCTGACTCTGAAGACAAGCTGTTATTTTTTGTTTGTTTGTTTTTGTTTTTCGAGACAGGGTTTCTCTGTGTAGCTTTGGAGCCTGTCCTGGAACTCGCTCTGTAGACCAGGCTGGCCTCGAACTCACAGAGATCCGCCTGCTTCTGCCTCCCAAGCACTGGTGCTAAAGGTGTGCACCACCAATGCCCGGCTAAGCTGTTAAAATTTTAAGGGAGGCAAGCATGCTTTGAACTCACTTGTTGGATAGCCAGAAATGGGTTTGCATTGTAGACAGGATGCTGAATCCTTCAGGACATGGTGTTTTCAGCTGTCCAGTTTGACACTGAGTCTTCCAAGTTTTTAATCTGAGAATAAAAAAAAAAAATGCCCTGGATGTGGAGAAGGCAGGGTTTGTTGTGGCTTCACCTTGTGCCAGGCTCTGTGGGCTACCGTACTTGCTGACTAGACCATTGTCACCGTCACCCCGAGGGCAAGCTTGGGACCCCACTGTTGATCAAGAGGCTTTGGATGAAGGAGGCTAGATACCCACCCAAATATACACAGACCCAAGTGAGTTAGAGGGAATTTGAATTTGGGTGACACCCTAACCTCACACACACCCCCCCCCCCCCCGTGCCCTAGGACATAGAATGTTTGTTACGATAACTGCCTTTGGATGACCCCAGAGACACATGTAAGTTAAAATATGTTCACTTCGGTGCTATGTATAATGTTTTTGATGGGCACTTAATTATTCAGTATTCTTGTGGGGGGGTTATAAATATACTTAGACATGAAACGCAGTGTCCCCTCGGTCACTGTGATGATTGGAGTTCTGACAGATGAGATGTGTATGAGGCGCTCTGCCTGCATCTTGCAATGGACATTGCGGTGAACATCGCTGCACTCAGGGGTGAAAGCTGGGAGCCTTCTGATGATACTGCTGGGCAAAACCACACGGTACACCGTTGCGTTTGTGGGCATCTGTCACGTTAAGCAATCCAGGCAAATGCTGGTACTCAAGTCTCACTGTAGAACCCCTGATGTTGTATTCTTCCATTGAGATTAGTTTCTTCCTTCTTTTTTTTTATTGCCTTGGCAGCCACAAAAGCCGATGGATTTGCACTATACTTCCTTGGAGAGTGCAATAATGTAAGTATCTATATTTAGATCTTGGTGCTCTAGATAAGAAAGCCTCGCAAGTGCTCTAAGAATCTACCCTACTGCAAACAGCGGCCGTGCGGTAACGCGTACCTCCGGGCCCGTTTGTACTTGGCCTGTACGTACGGTTACCGCCTGTCAGGAACGGCCCGGCAGCCGGCAGTCCTAACATGCTGTTGATTGATTTGTAGGTTCTTGCTTTGGTTTTCAGGATGCGTGTGCATCTCTAAAATGTGTGTTTCCTATACAAGCTACTCCAGCTCCATGGGCTGTGACGTATCACAGAGTAGGGTTTCGGTGCTTTTCTTCTTCTTCTATCTCAGAACAAATAAGAACGAACGGTTAGCATCGTGTGATTTTTTTTTTCTATTTTAAGTCTTTGAAAGGTGAGTCTGTAAAAAGCACTGACGGGGGGGGGGGGTGAGGTGGGGGCGGGGCAGCTAAGAGCCTGGGTCAGTCTCTCTGCCTCTGTGGCTGCTCCCGGATTTCTGATGGAGTATGTGTGACACAGCCCGTGGTCCTGTGTAGCCCAGCACACGCACATGCAGCCAACATTTCACCAACTTCACCAACGGTGTCTCATTTGTTTTTACCAGCGGAACCCTTTGCACGCTTTCATTACGACAAAGTCCTATTACAACAACAAGGCGAAAGCATTGCTTTTTTGAGTAAGGCCGCGCCGCCGTTGCCATTTGCGTTGGGGATTTGCAGGATGCTTCCCGTGTCCCGGAGTAACTAAATATGTACTGTACGTAGCACTGACGTGTTACAGAGCGTGTTCTCAGGAAGAGAGAAGACGGGCTCCGAGCTTTGTAAGGCACTCGTTCGTTCCCGAATAGTGCAGCAACTTGATGGAAGCAGGCACGCAAATTTCTGTTGGCCTGCCTCATAGCAGGCCCTCTTACTGTCCACAGCCATTGCTTGCCTGTGTGGTGGAACAGTTTACTAATGTCTCTCTTCCTGATATCAAAGCTCATGTGGGGTAAGGACCTTTGCTAGCCCCAGCCCCTCCCCTGTGTCGGTCAGAGGAACAGTTAGACAAGAGTGTTCATAAAAGTGTGTTATGCAGATTTCAGTCAACTTGGAATGCTTGAAACTGTACTCCAGACTGTGCTTAAGGTGGCAACCTACTAAAACAGATAGCCGTGTCTCCCCAGCTCATTTAAAATTGTTTCCGTCTAAATTTTGGAGATAGTCTTTAACTGAAAACTAGAGTCTTATTCTGACTGGCACGCAGACACAGGAAATGGTCACGCCCATGAGCTGTGCCGTGTGAACCCTAGTCGGCTGGCTAGCCGCGTCCACCCGCCAAAGCCGAGTGTTTATAATCCCTTCATGTGGCTCTCCGTGATGTATCACCCTGCGTCACAGCATAGCATTCTTGTTCTTGTGTGTCCCACCCACTGACCACTCCTCTCCCAATTCCTGATGGCCACCGTTCCGTCGGAACGCCTAGGGGATCCTAGGTTTCCAGATTCCCCTGTGAGTCTCGAAGCACTTACCTTTCAACACCTGCTCGTGTGTGTGTGTGTGTGTGTGTGTGTGTGTGTGTGTGTGTGTGAGCACAGTGTACTCATGGGGGCCCACACCGCACTCCCCCCCCAACCCCCTGATGGCCTACGTTGTAAGACTTCCCTGTGCAGGTGTGTAGTTGTCTCTAGGATCATGTCTGTTGAGATCAGGGACACAGGTAGCCCAAGTGGGGACCCAGCGGGGGTCTCCTCTCTGCTAAGACTTGGATCCCTCAATACGACACCAGCCGTTCGCCTGAACAAATGTGGCAGGCGTCGATCTGAGCTGTGGCTGATGCACAGAGGACAGGAGAGCTATGTGTAAGGACCCTTGAGGCTCCCTCCATGTGGCTGACACAGGGGTCACGGGGGTCAGGGGACCAACCGACTCAACTGGAGTTAGATTCTCAAACTCCTCTGGTCAGTCTCGAGACGGGTTGTTGACTTTATGTTTAGCGCTCTCAGAGATGACTCGGAAAAGGCTTCTAGTGTGTGTGCAGCCTTGTAGATATTATTGTGAATCCCTTCCTCTCTCTGTTTCCTCTCACCCCACTAAGTGCTGGTAATACACTCTCTCAGCCTTTGCTTGGGTGTGTTCACACGCATGATTGTCTCAGGGGTAGGTCTTTCACACGCTTCTCCTCCCGGCATTGCGGCGACGGGCACTGGGTGTGGCTTTAGCATCTCTTGGAGCCTCAGGATGCTTTGGCTAGAGCATAGCCTCCTCTCACCCGAAACTCGGGTTTCACTGAACCTTGCTTTAATCTTGAGTCTTGCGTTTTCTTTCCCCTTCTTGGAGCCGATAATTTTTCGTGATCATTTGTCTACCTGGTGTTTTTGTTTGTTTGTTTGCTTGTTGTTTTTGTTTTTCTGGAACAGAGGCTTCATTTGGGCAGAAACTTTATCTGCCTGGCAGGAAAACTCAGGGACTTAAGTCCCTTCCAGGTAGGGACTATCTCCTTTACCCAGGGGACACTGTCACAGGAAATGATCTTCTCGATCCTCCTGAGGTTGCTTTCCTTTTTCCCTCTCTCCTTGATCTCAGCCTTCTTTTGGAGTCAATGTCTTCCACCTGAGGCTCTTCTGTAGCTCCTCTCAGGGAGAGCTGATTGGCTCCTGTAACTCCTTCCAGGGAGAGCTGATTGGTTCCTGGAGCTCCTCCCAGGGAGAGCTGATTGGCTCCTTTAACTCCTTCCAGGGAGAGCTGATTGGTTCCTGTAACTCCTCCCAGGGAGAGATGATTGGTTTCTGTAACTCCTTCCAGAGAGAGCTGATTGGTTCCTGGAGCTCCTCCCAGGGAGAGCTGATTGGTTCCTGTAGCTTCTCCCAGGGAGAGCTGATTGGTTCCTGGAGCTCCTCCCAGGGAGAGCTGATTGGCTCCTGTAGTTCCTCTCAGGGAGAGCTGATTGGTGGGAACCCTGGGGCCTGTTTGAATGTGTCTCATTTCTCCTACTTTCTTAAGTGATGCATTTGGTCTACAGTGGATTCAGGCTGATGGATTTGCAACTCTTAAATTCAACTGAAAGCCTGTTCTTTCCCGTCTTGTCTTTTCAGCCCATCATCCTCCGAGGATGGTTTTTATCCCTAGATGGAGTTAAGTTCGCCTTCTACTTCCTCCAGTTTTGTTCCTCGAGTCTTTTGAGCTCCTCATCTTTTTCCGGAACTGTTTCTTGCTCCCTTGTTTATAGCCCCCTCTCCGGTACTGATGTCCCTGCTCACTTATTTCAATGTCTCCTCATCCCCCCCACCACCACCCTATTCTATCCAGAAAAGGATACGTTTGTATCTATTATTCTTTCCACTGTCTGTGCCTCATGTTGAAGCTCCTCTCTCCAGTGGGAACTCGGCCCCTTAACTGCTCTGCCTGGGTGGGATATTCATCACAGTGAGGTGGACAGAGTCTCACACATCCTAGGGCAGTACTGTAATCTCTCAGAGGAGATATTTTCCCCCCTACCTTTTCAGGACTAATGTCAAGGTCATCTGACCTCCTTGCCTCTTGTTGTTTTCCTGTCCTCTTGGCCTGTGATGACAGAGCTGTGACCCACTTTTGCATGTTTGTCAGGGTGTGCTGGTGAGTGCCCCGCATCGCTCCAGGAGAACTGCTTTACTTTCTTGTGAGGCTCACACAATTACGCTTTAGTTGGTGGCCAAGAAAAAGGCAGCTGTGAGGCTTTGCTACCTCCCTGCGTCCCTTATTAAGTTCCTCGGAGACTTTTTTATTTATTCTCAGCTCATATACTTATATGGGCTGGAGACATGGCTTTCTGGTTATGAGCCATTCATTCCTGTTCTTCTAGAAAACCCGAATTCAATTCCCAGCACTTATGTTGGGTGGCGCAACAACTACCTGTTATTTCAACTCCAGGGGATCTGATGCCCTTTCTGTCCTCTGCAGGCAGGCATGCACGCACGCACGCACGCACGCACGCACGCACACACACACACACACACAAACACAAACATCCATGTAGATATACATATACATGAATGAAAAACATTAAATATACATTTTCCAGCTTCTGTGAACGATTCAAACTTTTTTTTCCCACAAGAGTGTAATTCTTTGATCTGATCCCACTTAGAATTGACGTGGGTGTTTCTCAAAGTTGTTGGGCCCCATTGCAGCAGAACTCGCTTCCATACATGCATGTAATGCGTTTTGATTGAATCCATCTCCTTTTTCCCCGCCCCCCTTCAGTTTCTCCTCTGCCCTTCTGTGTGACGTTCCTTCCCACCTTTGTGGGTGTTTTACTTAAACCTACTGGGTCTGCTTAGTGTGTACCCATGTCAGTCTGCTGGAGCCGGGGCAGACGCTCCATCCCCCAGCAGCCATCAGCTGTTAGTGGATCCTCTACTTGTGGGTGGGGCTTCACAAGCCCCTACCCCATGCATGCTTTGCTTTTTGTTGGCTCGATCTCATGCATGTCTGTCTGTGCATACAGAAATAGTTGCAGCGAGCTTGTGTGTACAAGGTTCTGCCACATCCAGCAAACACAGTTTTGCTATAAATGTCTATGACCTCGAGCTCTTACAATCTCCCAGACCACCCCCTCCCCTTCCCACTTCCACAATGATCCCCAAGTCTGGTGGTGGGTATAAAGGAGAGTTCCACAGTCTCTTATTCTCAACATATTGACAGATTGTAGGCCCCTATATTAGTTTCTCTCCACCATAAAAACAAAACTTACTTGATGAGGGTTAATCCCGAGGCTTAAAAACAAGCACCAGGGGAACTGTATTGCTATGTCCATTCAGCAGAATTGTAGAATTAGGTTTCAACCCAGGCCCTATTTCTTCAGTTTTTGGCCAAGTAACAGTACCAGGCATGAGTTCCTTCTTGTGTAATGTGTGTTAAATTCAACCAGAAAGCGCTTGGTTACTCCCATCCAAGTTGCTATTGCTCCAGTGAGCATTATGTTGCCATTATTGTTAGTGTCCTTCTCAGGGTTTACACTGAGGCAAGAAAGTGGATTAGTTTTTTTTTTCCCCCTGCATAGCATCTTTCAGCGCCATGAAAGGTAGCCAGTGGTGGCGAGGGTTTCTCCTTGTCCTCTGACTCAAGTGTCTGGGGCTTTCAGCAAGAGAGTCACACCATCACGTTCTGGAGGCTAACCACAGCATTGGCAATGGCCTTTAACGTTTGGGGATCTAGGACCTCACTATCCAACAATTCCAAAAGAGCTAATTCATTCCTGGCACTGAGCTTTTTACTTGAATCAGTATACGTGGCCTTCCACATAAATAGGTTCAAGGACAGAAGCCACATGATCATATTATTCAATGCAAAAAAAAAAAAAAAAGGCCTTTGACAAAACCCAACATATTTTCATAATAAAAGTATTGGAGAAACTAGGGATCCAAAGGGCATATTGTAACACAACAAAGGCAGTATATTACAAGCCCATAGCCATAATCATGCTGAATGGAGAAAAAGGCAGAGCCTTCCCACTTAACTCAGGAATGAAAGGATGTCCACTCTCTCCTCTCCTGTTCAGTCTAGTACTTGAAGTCTTAGCCAGAGAAATAAGACAAATGAAGGAGATAAAGGGCATACAAATAGGAAAGGGAAATGGTCAGATATCGTTATTTTCAGATGGTTTGATTCTATAGACAAAAGACTCTAAAGGCTCCTCCAGGAAATTCCTACAGCCTATCACACCCTAAGCAAAGTAGCAGATACAAAGTTAACAGTGGCCTTTCTCTGTGCAAATGGCAAACAAAATGAGAAAGAAAAGAAGGAAACAATACCTCTCACAATAACCTTAAAAAAAAGAAAAGAAAAGAAAAATCAGGATAACTCTAACCAAGCAAGTGCAAGATTTGTATGATATAGAACCTATTAAAGACCTTGAAAAAAGACATCAGAAATTGGAAAGATCTCCCAGGCTTATGGGTCAGTAGAATTTATATAGGGAAAATGACTGTCCTACCAAAAGGAATCTGCTGATTTGGTGCAACCCCCATCAGAATCCCAACACAAATCTCGAAAGCACAATTTTCAGATTCCTATGGAAACACAAAAGACCCAAGTTAGCCCAAACCTCCCGGAATAATAGAAGAACTTCTGGAAGGTGTTAACCATCCCAGGTTTCAAGTTTGACTACAGATCTATAAAAATGGAAACAACATTCATTGGCATAAAAACAGAGTTACGGGATTGACGGAAGAGAACTGAGGACCCACGTACTCCAACGGCTACCTGATCTCTGTCAAAGAGACAGACTGTAAACACTGGAGAAAAGACGCATCTTCTGCAAATGGTGCTGGTCAAACCGGGCAGCTGGGCATAGAAGGAAAGAGATCCTTATCTTTCTTCCTTCACAAAACTAAACTCCAAATGGAGCAACAGTCTGAATCCAAAGAAGTGATGTCTGCTTCCTACACTCTCCATCGCAATGTCTTCCTTCCTCTTTTCCCCCCCAACACGGGCTTTCTCTGCAACAGCGGCTGGTCTGGAGCTCAAGATGTATTGGGATCTGACCTAGCTGGTGTTTGTCCTGCCTCAGCCTTCAACGTGCCGGAATTAGAGGTGTGCATCACCACTCGGGACGAAGTCTTTCTGAAACAAAATAAGCTTCAAGACAAAAATTACCTGTTTCAGGATTATAACAAAGCAACTGGAACAGACAGACTCCAGAGGAGACTTTAGTTGGCCAGCGGACGCCAATGGTTAAATAAGGTGGGACGAACCACAAAACTCTGCACTTGGGAACTCGGGAAGCTTTACTTACCATTTTCATAAACAGGCCAGTTAGAGACGAGTTAATTTCTAAAACCAACACCAATGAGAAGTGTAATGTGTAAACCCAGGTTCTTCTCGTCAGGGGTGGCAAACAAAGCAGAGACAGTTAAGTGGAAGCTAAAAGCCCACGAAAACTAAGTTAAAACATAACCACGAGGCCCTGCAATCCTTATGTATTGCTAACTGCTACCGAGGCTGTTGAGCTGGCTGTTAAGAGGAGAAACACCCTGAACTTTCTCAGCCAGCTCACGTAAAGAGCAAAACACAACCGGCTGATTCCCAGGAATAGAGCAGGGGCCCACCAGGCGCCAGAGCCCAGCAGAGCTTCACTCAAGGAGGAAAAGATCAGCCAGGGAAAGGACTTTTTAATTCCGAAGGAGGAGTCTGCAGAGATGATGGAGCTGTAACAATGTTTAAGCACTTGCCTGCCCCGAAGGAGGAGTCTGCAGAGATGATGGAGCTGTAACAATGTTTAAGCACTTGCCTGCCCCCCAAGAGCAAGATATTAGTAGCATTTTCGGTTGTTGGCACCAGAGGCAGCTGGAGGAGGTGAGTGACATCACCCAGCCACACTGGGGAAGTACCAGAGACCTGCACTGCCCTGACTCCTGTTCCTAAGCACAAAGAGGAGCCCAGGCCCTTCTACCCAAAGGGCAGTCTCCGATAAGGGCATAGTGTTTGCCTTGAGTTACATCATCATCATTTAGGAAATTTTACTCTAAAACAATGAAGGATACAGTTCATAGGATGTTGTTTCTTGGTACAAATTGGGGGGGGGGGAGATGGGGAATCGAGGGAAACCCAGCGCTTATGTATGCACGTAAAGCTGCAACCTGAAAGTGTTTTTATATTTAGCAGTGGTAGTTTACTCTCATTGTGATGTTCCCATTCAACTGCGAAATGCATTCTAACCAGCTCTTAAAAGAAAAAAAAAAAAAACAATTGCCCCTGCCTTCCCTGTTGCAAATTCCAGGAAACTTGGCACCTCCTTTTCTTTTGGCTGCCTCCATCTGAATTAGCTTCACAGCACTGCCATCTAGTGGTCAAAATGGAGAGTTGCACAAAGACATGGGTTTTGTGCCTCGATTTTTTTTTTTTTTTAAATTTTCACCCTTTCCTATTTAATTAAAAGTTGTCTTTAGAAATGAAGCTGGCTGAGAGAGATAGAGAAAAAAGATAAGCATCAAAATGAAATTTCACAAATGAAGTGATCTTTGAATTAAGTGTTCCAGAAAATGTCTGAAATGTGCATTTGCCAATGAAACAGTCTGGGTGGTTGAAATCAATCACCCCAGATTTCCCTACTGCGTTTAAGTGGTATTATCTTTTTCTGAATTTCATTAGTTTCTAATCATTACATTAATTACAGTTGTCTATTCCCTTGTACATTTCTCATATTCTTGGGAGAGGATTAAAAAAAAAAAAAAAAACTAAGCCAAAAGCCAAAAGCCAAAAACTGTTTGCCCAGAGTCACTTACTGATAGGAAATCACTAATACTAGCCTTGGCTTTGCAGTGAGGACAGGATGGGGCCTTCCTGATTCACAGTACCCCAAATCTGCAGTTCTGGCTCGACCAATGCAAGCGACAGGGTTTTAAAGCCGTGCTCTGAGACGTTGGGGGAGGTACTGGCACTCACTCATCCCCTGGCTTGGCATTGATCGACTGGCATGGCAGAGTCTAGGGCCCAGTGGCAAGATGGCATCTCTGCTTCATATCATGTCTCATTGAGAAGAGGAGGCTGACTGGAGAGTTCCTGTGCCTGCGTGCTTGTGAGTTCTGATTTCATGTGTGCATCGTGTAAAGCAGGGGTGTGAGACTTTACCTTGGGCTCCCCGTCTGCCCCCTGTGGAGCCTGGTATCATCCCGTGTCTGTTCCTGTGACTGGCACTCAGATTTACAGGCCCTAATTAGGTAATGCTCTACCACTGTTGAGTTGGTTGACACTAGGCAGAGGCAGAGGAGATCATCTAAAACATCGTCATCTTTTTTTTTTTTTTTTCTTCCTAGAGTCTGTGTGTGTTCACGCCACCTGGAATAAAGGAAGGTCAACCCCGGCTTATCCCCGCAGGACCCATCACCCAGGGTACCACCATCTCCGCTTATGTGGCCAAGTCTAGGAAAACCCTGCTTGTGGAGGACATCCTTGGGGTAGGGCACTTTGACTCTCGTGTTCTGAGAATGCAGTTAAGAAAGGTGCTAGATTATTTTGATCTTATCATTTCACTTGTTTCAAAATTAGCCAGAAAAGCATTTAAAAGAAGGTACAGATCAGTAAACTAATTTGCTTATAGTTTAACTTTTACATTCAGAAAACTACACGTGTTGTGTTCCCTGTGACACAGAGCCCTTACGTCAGCATGCGCCTCCATGGTTAGAAAGAAAGAGAAGTCTAGATCCATGTGAGATAGACCGTGCCTGTTTGGTAATTCACGTCCACACTGCTGCAGGACAGACTGTCATCTGAAGGGTGTCCTGCAGCGGCCAAGCCAGCTGGGGACGAGTTAGGAGAGGCTGGTCTCCAGCTGCCATCTGTCACTCCTCACCTGGGAGGCAAGCATGGCAGGGTCTCACAATGCCAGGCCAGAAGAGGAATGACAGTTTTAAAGCCACTGTTGGGATCTCCTTCCCTGCTTTCCCGTTAGCTAGAATAGCAGTCACAATAAGAGAGGCCCCAGCCCAACCAGAGCCTCCGAGCCTCTTCAGTACCAGAGGGTACCAGCAAAGATGTGGCTGCCCAAGACCAATGACAGACAGTGTTCAGGCAGCTGTCTGATGAATGTCACTGCAGGGGGCGTGGGCTTCGTAGGTGATGAATACAAGCAGTAACACAGACCGGAGGAGTTTATTCAGTGAAGCTGCTGAACTGGATGGAGACTTGGAACCTGGCTTCTTATATATATATATATATTTTTTCTTCTGCCAGTGGAACAAATTACCTGTTGCTTTATTGAAGAAAAAAATAAAGAAAGGGTCTAAAGTGGGAGCTGGGGGTGGGGGGGGGGGAGAAGTAAAGAGTAGATGCCCTGTGGATTCTCATTTGAAAATGTTCTGTCTGCGTGCTTTCACAGGCTAAAAGCCACACAAACATTTCCGTGTCTTTCTTCAGGCAGGGAGGGTCTCCTGTGTCCCCTTACCTTCCCGAAGATGGTAGAAGGTAGAAACCAAGTGCACAAAGTTGCTATCTTGGTATTAATCCTTTCTATTTCTCCGTGCTGGCCTGTAGAGATTTTAGCCAAGATAGAAAATTATTAAAATAAACTCCATTTTCATCACGATGATAAATAATTGATAATGGATGACTTGAGTGCATAATTTGGGCTCTTGAAGTTCAACTCGGATGGAATAGCATTGACCTCAAGAACAGAAGAGAAGGCATGTTTATGTACACTTCTCTTCACACGGTGTTTACCCGTGTTGTGTACACGTGTACACCTGGGAATCCTGGGGGGGGGGTGGTGGTTCTGGCAGAGAAGGCGACAGTACCAGACCACCAGACAGACAGATACCCTTTCTTACTATCCCATGAAACTGGCATCCATTGTTCACTCCTAACATGTGTACACGCAAAGCCAAGACACCTAAGTTGGAGCCCCCCCCATCCCCTTGTTTTATTTTTCAGGATGAGCGGTTTCCGAGAGGTACTGGCCTGGAATCGGGGACTCGGATCCAGTCTGTTCTTTGCTTGCCGATCGTCACCGCCATCGGAGACTTGATTGGCATTCTTGAGCTCTACAGGCACTGGGGCAAAGAGGCCTTCTGTCTCAGTCATCAGGAGGTAAGGCTCAAACACTGCTCGCTGGGGGCTGCAGAGATATGTTTAGAGTATGTTTTTCTGCCGGCCTCGTCCCTCAGCCGGGCCAGCCCCAAATAACACACAGAGACGCTGTATTAGATATAAAGCTGTTAGCCTGTTACTAACGTTTCTTATTGGCTAGCTTTCTATTAATCTAAGTATTTCAACGTGGCCTTATGTTACTAGAGACAGGGCCTGGCGTTCTTCCCTCTTGGTCCTACATTTTGAATCTCCCTACTGCTCCCCAAATCCTCCTCATCTCCTAGTCCCGCCTATCTTGCTTTCCTATTGGCCAACAGTGCTTTATTCATTAACCAATACGAGAAACGTATTTGCACGTGAGTTCAGTTCCCAGCACCCACATGACAGCTCTCAACCATCTGTAACTCTAGTGCCGGGGGCTTTCACACCCTCTTCTGGCAGGTGCTCACATGGTATGTAGACAACCCCCCCACACACACACATACGTGTTAGAATTAGCATTTTAAAATGTCTTTAAAAAACGCACTTAAAAGACATTTTAAGAAATGCCGTTCAGCCCACCCTGCCCTCATTGATGGCACCCACCAGTGTTTAGAGAATACATGAATGAGTAGTGAAGTCAGCATTTGTCTGGCTGTGTTTGGCTGTGAACAGCCGTGTGTTCTTAAAAACCTGTTTTCCTGAGCAGCTGTTTTAAGAGGAGGCTGGCTAAATCAGAAATACACTCATTTTTTTTCTATATAAAAATATCTTAACGAAAAAAAAATAATGTGCTTCGGTGCCTATGGCGCCAAGTGCAGGATGGCAGCCTGTTTTTTTCGTGTCTTCCTACACGTCTTCTTCCCAGTTCTGTGCACGCCCCACGCTTGGAGTTGACTCATCAACATTAAACACACACACACAAACACACACACATGCACACACTCTCTCTCTCTCAGGCTATCACCACCTCATGCCTCTCCTGCGGTGGATAGACCAGGTCCCTGCAGGGGTCTGGCTCCACCCACTTCCTGAATGACCTGCCTCCTGGTTCCTGGGTGGTCCCGTGCCCCCATGAAGGAGTCTTGCCTCCCTGTGGTCTGGAGCGCAGGCCCTGTCACCCCATAGCACCTGCCCCGAGTGCCTCCTGCCCATGGGACCCTGTGACCCTCCTTCTGTGCTGCTGTGTGCTCCCACGGCAACCTTCCCTGACCTTTCAGCTACAGAGGACACTGGCACCCTGTCCAGCCTTGGTCTTATTTCCTCCTTCGTCTCTAGCACTGAAAGTTTTAGCACCTTGTGCCCAGGAAAAGGATGTGTAAAGCGGAAAGCAGTAACAGAAGTAGGATATGGGCTCTGTGTGTGTGTTTGTGTGTGTGTGTGTGTGTGTGTGTGTGCACGCGCGCGCGCGTGCGTGTGTGCGTGCACGTGCAGGGGGACGGGGGCTGGGTGGACAGTGTGAGGATGGCAGTGGGTTCCCTGGCACCCTTTAAAAAGCCAGGTATGGCAATGCGTGTGTCTGTGGTCAGTCCTGGGGAGCAGAGACAGGTGGGTCCTGCTGGCTCGGTCCAATTGCTGCCCTCTAGGGCAGTGGAACCCTGCCTCAGAGGAAGCAGGCTTTTTTTTTCTGGCCCTCACACATGTGCATGCATTTGCACACACATGGACATAAAAGTGAAAATATAATTGGAAAATAAGAGTCAGCCCCTGATTGCATAGAGAGTATACACACAGTATTTTTTTCCCCCACTTAGGGATCCCACACTAGCTTAAAGACACAATTAAAGGCATTTCAAATAAAGTTTTGTCAAACTGAAAGGTATTATTTAATACCCTAGGAAGACAATGGAGACCGGTGAGATGGCTAGTCAGGTAAAATGGCTTTGCTGTGCAAGCCTGATGAGCTTTTGAGATCAAGTTTGTTTGATATATGCATACGTGTGTTTTGTAGGTCGCAACAGCCAATCTTGCTTGGGCTTCCGTAGCAATACACCAGGTGCAGGTAAGTCTGGAGTGTTCTCACAGGGCCATCCCAAGGCGGCAGTAGTGTGAACCAGAGATGAGGCTAGCAAGTGATCCGAAGCTTTGGTTGTGGATGTAGTGTTTTACACCTGAATGATTCCGTCTATGTAATCCCTTATGTTCACATGTAAACCATCTCCAATCTCTTGGTGCAACTACATGCGTGTTGCTTTTTTGCATGACAAGAAGGAAAGTGTAATTGCAGGGTGATGGCATGTGAGTGAATAGCCACATGTCTTTGGGCCACAGAGTGTGTCGGGTACATGTCAGGGTAGAGAGTGTGTCTGTGCACTGCTCGAAGCTTCTTTGCCTCAGTTAGGGAATGTCTGTCCCAGAGGGCGGAGCTGCGCGGCGATCCCGCGAGGTAACAAACTCTGGGAACAGTGTGTTTAGCATGTTGCACTTTTCGTGCATTGAGACTGACAGTGATTGTGTCAACAGCACTCTGGGTTCTGTTATAAGTCAGCGGAGCTCCCGCGTGACTAACTACCATTGTATACGCGGCAGGTGTGCAGAGGTCTCGCCAAACAGACGGAACTGAATGACTTCCTGCTGGATGTATCGAAGTAAGTGTTCACCGGGCTTCTCCTGGACTCGGGTCGGGGATGGTGGTCATAAAGCACAGGTCCCTCTGGTGACTATCTTCTGTGTGGGCACACACACATTCTGGGAAGAGTCATTCCTCACTGCTGTGGACTACAGAGCTGCATCTCTATCCACGGTCGGCTTGTGTGTCAGAAACGATATGTGTGATGCTCTTAGTTCGACACTTATTTTGGAGACAGAAGATGCCGCCGCCGCCGATGTCTTTAACTTTTTCCAGGACGCGTGCTCTGGCGTTTAATGCCACTTTACACTGCGTGTGTATTAACTAACAGTGCCGTTGCTTTCCTAGAGTCTCTTGTGTGATTTTTGAGGAAACACTCTGTTTCTCTGAAGCTTGACCTACATCACCTCCCCGGGTTGGTAGTGAAAGCTATCACAGATGTTTATTAAGTTTCACATTTGTGTTGGTTTTACACGATGCACAGCCCATCATTTCATTAATAACAGAACCTTAACGCCCAGGATATGGTCACCCAGGTCATGCTCTCCTGCTAGTTTAGTAAACTGGGGAGGCACCTACTCCTCCCTGGCCTCCTGCAGCGTTGTTGGCTGGTACTGGCTTTTCCTGTCCCTGCCTGTGCTTCCTAAGTGCTAGCTAGCACACAGCCGAACCCTGGCGGATGCTCAGGCTGGAGTTGCGCGCTTTGCAGCTGCTCTCTGGAATCTGGAATTAGAGACAGGGAAACTCTAGCTGTTGCTACTTCCAAATGGTTGAACCCAGCCACATGTGACGGGAACATGATGGATTCTGATTGCTTTCAAAATGAGCAAATTGACGTCAGAGCACACAGAAAGGGTCACGGAGCTTGTCTCTGGTAAACACATCTGCATACTTTGCGGAACTCCCAGAGTCAACTGAATGCCCGTGTGACACTTTATGACATCCCGTCTTATGCTCAAGTAGGGAGCTCACATACCCAGTGCTGTCCTCTCCCAGGTACAGGCTCGCTCACAAGGCAGGCAGGGAAGTCCTCAGTCTGTCAAGCTAAGGAGGGCGTCCTGTATCGCTGCCTTGTGATATCACCATACACTACCTTGATTTCAGAGCAAGCCTGAAGTCTCACACAGCCAGAGAAACCCATGTGGACTCATCTTTGGAGGTTACATATTAGCGGATGTCTCACTGCCTCTACCCTACATTGCTACATGTGTTTCACTTTAATTAAACAGAGTAACTAAAGAGGGGGGGGTCCTGACCACTTGCATTATGGGTGTTTCTTCTCTGGGCCAACTCTTGATGACTTCTCAGTGCAGTGTAGCTTCCAACTCCTCCCCCCCCCCATGATCTCGCACATTTCAATTGTACCGGTGGTGGGTATATTAAACTTAAAGCTTGTTTTCTTGAGACCATCCTTGAGCAGGTTGGGTTTGGTTGACCTGAATCCGATCCTGCTTAGTTTTCCTTACAGCCTTTCTCCCTCCTCTCCATGAGCAATGATACAATTACTGGTTGACGCCACTGGGGTTAGTCTGCCCTGAAGCGATGAAAATGCTTCGTTGTTTTTCTTTCTTCTTCTTTTTTTTTTTTTAATATTTACCACCTCTGTAAGAAGACGAAAGTCAAATCACACACACACACACACACACACACACACACACACATTCATTTATTTGAACGTGGAACTCATAAAATGTGTTCAGAGCTTAGCATGCACTATGATGTCAGCAATGTCATCCCGGGACTCACGTTTGTTTGTTTGTTTGCTTCCTCAGGACATACTTTGACAACATAGTTGCCATAGACTCTCTGCTTGAACACATCATGGTAGGTGTTCTGGGTTTTGACTGTGATTTCCTTTAAACCCTTATGGCCTGGGTCTTCACCCGTGGTATGACATTTTGTGTGTACTAGATGAACCTGCTATGTTAAATTGTCAGGAGCTGTGGTGCTCTGAGATCCTTGCCTTTCTCAGCTCGGTTAAAATCTTGGGGGAGGGCTCCGGGACAGCCTTGTTTTAAAGGGCCGCGCTCGGGGAAAGCTTGTTTTAGCTTCCTAGTCTCCAAGGCACTTTCTGTGTGAGTCACATTGGGGAGCACCCCCTTCTTGAATTAAGTCTCCCTGCCCCCCCCCATGCTGATCCTAAAGTTCAGTCTACTTGAACTAAGTGTCCTGGGAGTGGGCTCTCCGAGACCTGTTACGTGGCGGCTCCGGTGGCTGCATCATCCGTGTCCTGAGATGCTTGTCTGGGCTCCTGTTCCTCCTGTGGATTCTCACCTCAGCCTCTCCATCATTGGCCGTGCCCAGTCATTCAGTTTGCCTGTCTCCCGCCGCGTGCCCCCCCCCCTGCATGCTCCCTCCTCTGTGGGTCCTGTGTGTTGACAGCACTTTTCAGTGTCTCTGTTTGGGTCTTCCCAGAATCTGCCTCCCTGTTGCTTTTTTTTTTTTTTTTTTTTTTTTTTTTCTTGCTTGCATGTGTGACTCTGTCGTCCTCCACGTCACTCAACCCCCCCCCCCCACGTTATCAGCTGGGTTGTCCGGCTCCCGAGTCACAGCCCTTCACTTGCTTGTTTGAGCCCTGCATCTGATCATTGATCGTCTTTTTTTGGGGGAGGCAGATCCTAAAATAAATATTTGCTCACTGCTTCAGCTAACCCCATTGTCTGCGGTCTGCGGTCTGCACACTGGGGATTGGGAGCCTGCGGAGCTATCCTGTGGCTGGTTTTCTCGTGTTTGTGTTTGTCTGTGTACTCCCCCAACCCCGCCTCAGTTGGGATGTGGGTGTCCCCCACCCCCTCCACGCCTCATTTTCCCAATTGTTTTCTGTTTATTTTGTGTGAGTTCTCCTGGTTGGTGCATTGCTGTCTTCACCTGGATATGTGTAGCCACCACTGCTTGGTCGGGGGTGGAGCGGGGTCTGACTGAAGTGAACAGGAACCCCCCTGGCAGAGCACTGGGGGACAGCACACACCAGAAGTCTCGTGTGCCTCAGAGACAAGGGCAGCCGGATGCTGCTGCTGCTGCTGCTGCTGGCAGAAATGTGGTCGGCGGCATTTCCGAGTGAAGGATACTAACGGTTACAGAGTACGGGCTGGGAAGAGGACAAGAAGGGGCAAATATGGATGAGAGGGAGCCTGCACAGGCAAGGCATGAGAAGTAGTAGGAAATGAAGATGGAGGGTTTCTGTCCTAGCCGGACCCCACAGCTGACTAGCCCCAAATGAACACACAAAGACTCATATTAATTTATAAACTGTTGGCCGACAGCTAGGGCTTCTTACTGGCTAGCTCTCTCTCTCTCTCTTAAATCCTTTAACCCATTCCTATTAATCTGCGTATTGCCACGAAGGAGGTCATGGCTTAACCTGTAATCCGGCATGTTACTCCTTGGGCAGCATGGAGTCTCTTCGGGGCCTGGCTCCCCAGTATTCTCCTCGTCTCCTAACCCTGCCCACCTTCCTGCCTCTACTGGCCAATCAGTGTTTACTCATCAACCAATAAGAGAAACACTTGTACAGAAGGACATCCCCCATCAAGGAGATGTTAGGATGGGCGTGAGGGATAAGACACTAATAAAAGGCTACTTGGACGTAAGCTAGAAGGCTCAGCAGTTACGAGCACTGGCTGATTTTGGAGAGTACAGCACCTGTCCCTGTCTGGTAGAACCCCAACCCAGGGGGGGTCGAACATTCTCCTGGCCCTCAGCCCGTGGCGCCCCTGAACATCAATGCCGTCCCCCCGTGTAGTGCAGTCAATATCTGTTCCTAATCTTTCTTGTTCAGTCTGGGTCTCACCATGTAGCCCAGGCGGTCCCAGAGATCAGACGGCTCCATTTGCTTCTGCCTTCACAATGCTGAGAGTCAAGGCATGGGCCTCCATGCCTGGAGTGCTCCAGGTTCTTTCCGGTCACTGCCCATAGATAGCCGGTCAACCAAGCTGAGCGTGCGCTGGCCGTAGTGCTGACCCAGGCAACCCAAGATACCAGGAGCATCCCGAGAAGCTTCTGGAAAGTGCTCAGAGAGTTTGAGGATTCTTGGGAAGGGAAGCCAGTGCCTGGTCAGCAGCTCAAGGATTGTTCTAGTATTTCAGCGCCCAGTGTGGGCGTGGGTGTCCATGAACCGTAATGCTGGCTGTACCCTCACCATCTTCTCTACCTACTCACAACCCTGCCTTCCCTCCCCAGCATATACAGTGCCTCGTGCTGAGGCTCTCTGTATCCCGGCTTCCGTTTCCCAGCAAGTTTACTCTGGCTTCCCATTTGTCTCAGATATACGCAAAGAATCTCGTGAACGCCGACCGCTGCGCGCTCTTCCAGGTAGACCACAAGAATAAGGAGCTGTACTCGGACCTGTTTGACATCGGGGAGGAGAAGGAGGGGAAGCCCATCTTCAAGAAGACGAAGGAGATCAGGTACAGCTGGAGTGGCCGCCCTGGCTCCGATGCAGGTCTCTCTGTCGCGCTCCCCCCCCCCCACTTCTCTGTGCCCTATTCACAGGTGTGCTGACAACATTTGTCATACCGTGATATCATTCCCACCAGGACCCGCCTCCTGAAGGTAGTGCTTCTGGGAATGACATTGCAGTGCCAGCGAAACCGCGCCTAGGAAGCGTTAGCGTCACTCCTGGAAATGCCGTCTTCCGGAGGCGGTCCTTTTGGAAATCATGTTGGAAAAACTTACTAGTGCTCCCAGGTAGGTAAAGGTCGCTCCACCAGCTGTAGCCGGCAGGCAGGCTCCTGTGTGTAGGAGCAGAGGGGTGAACTTAACCAACTCAAACCCTGCTGCTCCCCAAACTGTGAGGACCAACGGCCAGGAGGAGAGGAAATGGATGACTTACTTGAACAACTCCTGGGCCTAGCCTAGCTGTTTTTTTTTTTTTTTTTTGGCCGAAACCAGCTACCCTATTCCGCTGCATTTCGAAAAGCCTTGTTTGTTGCTCAACTGGCAGCTACTGTCATTTAAATTGGACGGATGGCCTTTACTTATTGGTGGAGACCTCAGTGGGGGGGTTCAGTCTTGTCACAACCTGAACCGCCTGGCCTGCAGGGAGCACTAACCAACCCTTGGAGGAGTCGAGCATCACGTGCACAAAGCCAAGACCCTTTCACCCTGTGCCTCTTCTTGCTCCGTGTCCACTTAACCTTCCAAATGTGTCTACAACATTCTCTGGTGCAACACTGAGTCCTCGCTCATCAGTGCTTTTCATTTGGCTGCGTCATCTCGTTAGGGAGTCAATACCATCGAGCCAAAATGAGGGCTGTAGCCGCTCTGCCCCCTGGCCGGTACCTCCTGCTGTTTCTAGGCTGATGGATCCTTCCTGTGTTACCTAGTCTCAGGAGGCTGAGGGATGTAAAGGCGGTGCGGGAGTTACATTTTGCTCCTTTCTCAGTTTGGTTCTAACTCCTCCGGCCTTGCCAGCCTGCTTAAAGTGTGGGTAAAGCTCATACCACTGGCACAGATCTAATTGTGGGAACAGTGGCTCCTGCTTACAAGCAGAGGGAACAGGAGTGGAGGGAGCCGGCTGTGGCTTTGCAAGGGCTGCTTGATGCTGGGCTCCAGCACTGGGGGCTTCTGCTCACTATAGAGAAAGAAAGCCAAAAGGCTCTCAGACCAAGTTAGACAACTCTGGCACAGCTCGCCTCACGGCGTCTTATTTGTGCATGAGGGGACCAGGAAAGGTGGCGGCTTCACTCCTCACTAGGTGCTAGCCCTTTGGGGGTATTTTAATTCTGTGTCGGGCCAGTAACCCTTTGAGGTTTTGAAAACTGGTAGCGTGAGTTGTGGACGCGTTTCTTGAGTAACCAGATGTGTGATTGTAATAACAGCAATGTGAAAAGCATTTACCAGCATGATGCTTGATTACAAAAATATAACCAAATATAACCGGTTCGTGTTTGGATTCTGATTGCTTTTAAAATGAGCAGACTAGAGATGTGAAAACGCTTTGTTAGCATTTCTATGTGGTTTGTGGGTTGCAGACAACAGATACTCCAGGTCCTGTGTTCAAGAAGGTCAACAGAGTTGGGCCTGACTGTATGTGTGCATGTGTGCAAACTAGTGACCCCCAACTGTGTGGGAATCCACTTTTAAAGAAAGGCACACACTGTATTAAGTGAAGCCACTGGCTGGTATACGTAGATTATTGGTGGCCAGTGTTAGCGACCAGCACAGAGTTCTCCATTTTAGTCTGCTGTCATTTAAACATTCTCAAGTTACTGAGCATCACGTCTTCCAACCAGGTTCTAAGCTCGCACTTGGAAGCGTTTCTCTGCTTCCTTCTGACACATTTTATAGGGTGATTTAGGACACATAAATGTAAAATTAATCTGTGTACTTAAAGGTTCAGGTCAACATCTGATGTCAGCGAAATGCTTGGTCAACCATTTCATGATACCACTGATTATCAGGCCCCTCTTGTTTCTGCAGATTTTCCATTGAGAAGGGTATTGCTGGCCAAGTGGCAAGAACAGGGGAAGTCCTGAATATCCCGGACGCTTACGCGGACCCGCGTTTTAACAGGTGAGAAGGGCGTTTGGCCCTTGTCCTTTTCTCCCTTGGGGTTCCGTGGCTGAAGCCTCTTTGAAGGAGTCTGTCGTCCCAGCCTCTTATCCGTGGCCAGAGTAAACCAGACACTTACAGATCACGGTCTGAGGCTGTCCCCTGCTTGGTACGGACAGAGTGTCAAGTGACAGAGCTGTCGCCTCTCCTGGTGACGGTGTCATGATCCCACCCCAGTGGGGCGCTCTGTCTCGCTGTGCTCACGGCTGCCACACGGGATGAGGAATTGGGTTTTAGACTGCCATGTCTGATTTTGAGTGAAGGCCCTGTCGTTTACCCTCCATAGACAGGACTAGGGTCAGTTGGTTGAGGTCTCTGTGCCCCTCTAAAAGGGGGAATGAGAACCCCGACTTGTAAGTGTTCCTTAGGACTGCGGATGCTCTTCCTGAGAGCTCTAGAAACTTTGCTGCACACTGCAGGAGCTGAGTAGGCCGCACGAATGGGTTATCCTCCCAGTGAGACCTCAAGATGGGCCATTGAGAATCATCTTACCCGTTTGGGCCTTTGGAGAACTTGAACTCAAAGTATATGTTTTATTCCATCCTTTGAAACTAGAAGTCACAAGGTGGATGCTGAGGCTGTGAGAGACCTGTATTAAAAGCAGCATAATGTTCTGGAAGTATTCCCTGTAATTATTGGTAGGTGTCTGTCGGGCATGCAAGACTCATATGGAGTGTTGTTCTAGCAATGTTTTACCAGCAGGTTGAAAACACACTGGCAACCTTACATTTCCTGAAACAAGCTTGCTAGCCTTACTTACTGAAATTATTTGTCATCATTAAAAAAAAAAAAAAAAAAAAGAAAGAAACTTTATGTAAATTCGGTGAGTCAGGCTGTTGGGAAAATTTAAAAAGCATCCATCAGCATGAGGGGCCCACTGGTGGAGCATGTGACTGCCTCACCAGAAAGGACGTGCCTGTGTCCACTCAGCGTGTGGAGAGTGTACAGGGCCCAGCTTTGGCTGGCATCTTCCAGTGTGTCCCAGGGCAAGCAGCTGAGGTTTCACGGTTGGCATCAGGGCAGACGGGCGAGGACTGAGGAGTGGGCGGAACCCTCCCGCTTTGCTGGTGGGAGTAGGTGGTCAGACAGCCTCTTGAGAAAAGAGTGCTACAGTTTTGACGGCGAGTGACCCACCAGCCTGCCCCGCTAAATCTTTTGTCCTCACAGGGACTCAGATGCAAAATTTCCCAGCAGCCTAAACTCGTAATAGCCAGTAGCTAGCTAGCTATTAACCAGTAACGCTGTCCTTCAGGTGGAGAGTGTGTACACGAAATGTGCCTTCAGTGGCCTGGATGGTTCATAAACATCACGGGTAGGCAAGGGAAGGCAGGTACCAAGGACTCACGGGCACCCCTCTGTGCTGGTTCGGTGGCCGATTTGGGGGAACCCTCCGCTCTGCAGGACAGTATAGAGCCCAGCACCCCGATGGCGTCAAATACCCACCCACAGATGAACATGGCTGGTGATAGGCGTGGTCGCTCAATCCTACTCTAAATCTTACATGTGAATATACCTCCCCCTTTAAAAATGCAAGTTACTAGTCTCGTAACTATGGCCAGGTTCAAGGGAAGAAGCTGTACCAGACTTCCTGTGCTTTTTACCACCCCACCCCCTGAAATCAACTACCTTGCCTGTTTACTTGATGTCGAGAACCCAGTCGACAGGCCAGGAGCCTCCAGCAGAAAAGTGTTGTAGACAATACCGAACAAGCTTGGATATTTGTGTGAATGTTTCGGTAAAACAAACACTTTGATTTTCAGAGTCTTGAACCCTCAGTGCCATTTCCGCCATCGGTAACACATGCACGCATACACGACATATATATATACATATACATAAACTGTGTTGAGATTTATATCAGGCTGTGTTGTCTGTCCCTCCACACCGGCCTTTCGCTCTGCTCTGCTGACAACCCTGTTCCCTCCACTCCCACAGGGAGGTGGACTTGTATACGGGCTACACCACCCGGAACATTCTCTGCATGCCCATAGTGAGTCGCGGCAGCGTGATTGGCGTGGTGCAGATGGTGAACAAGATCAGCGGCAGTGCCTTCTCCAAGACGGACGAGAACAACTTCAAGATGTTCGCCGTCTTCTGTGCCCTGGCCTTGCACTGTGCTAACGTAAGTGTGCCCTTGCGCTGGTGTGCAGCCTCTGAGCTCAGGCTACATGCTTTTTTTTTTTTTTTTTCCCCTTCCCATTTCTGTTTCCTCTGCAAACTGTGAGCAGGGACTCTGGCACACGCTTCCTTTAGAAAGTACCTTACAGGGCCAGAAGAAAACTATCTCCCTAGACTTTGAGTGATCGATCGGTTGGCGTACCGGTGTAATGTGAAGTACCGGTCTTGGCACCTGCCATCTGCTGGGGAACGGGAAAGATTGTCTGGCATTTGTCACGCACGCACGGTACGCTAGGAAGCCTTTACAGGGCATGGACAGCAACTCATCGCCTCCCCACTGGCCAGGGGAGTTCTGCTTGGGAGGAAACTCAAGGTTTGGTTTAATGCATGCGTGTGCAACTGTCATGGGACACCCTCCAGTGCTCTTGGCCACTTTGTCCTGTCCCCGAGGGATGAACTAAAAATCCCATAATGGCATTTCGGGGCCGCAGTTAGGGAAATTTTTAGGACTCCTCACGAACAGTGGGGTTTAGTGGGGTGCAGCTTTAGCAACTTAGGATGTTTTGGGGAATGGGATCGAGTCCTTGAAGCATCTCTCCTCACCCAACTGCACCGGTCTCCCAAAGCAGAAGGTTATGTCTAGATGCTGCCACAACCCGGCACAGTTCGTAGGTCAGGGCAACTGGCCTTCAAGGGGACTGATTTTTACTAGTAAGGTGTTTCTCTGTAAGGTTTATGGTTTTTCCTCCTTCCGCTGGTCTTGTCCCGCCTCCGCGCCAGCCCCAATTAACACACAGAGACTCTGTATTTGATATGATGCTATTGGCCAGGTACTAGTTGCTTATCAGCTAGCTCTGCCTTAATTATTAACCCATTTCTGCTGATCTATGTATTTCTCTTACCGGGGAGCCGGCTGGCATTCTGCTTTCTCCAGAGTCTCCATCTTGACTCCTCCTTCCTACTTCCTCTTTCCTCCTCGTCTCCTAGTCCCGCCTACCTAGCTTTCCTATTGGCCAACAGTGCTTTATTCATTAACCAGTATGAGAAACATATACAGAATGACATCTCCCATCATTTCTCCTCACTATAAACTTACAAAAAAAAAAAAATTATTCTGTTACCTTTGAGGCTTTCTTCAACTCTGAGACACAGGGCATTGTGAAGCCACGTCTCTCCCCTCCACTTGGCCTGCCTAGGCTCACACCATGGTAGGGACTTTGCTGGGTCACAGGAAAGCTCTGCTTCACACCGGGTGTGGCCCTCCAAGCCTCCTCAGGAACCAAATGGAGAGGAAACAGCTTGCAAATAAGGTGGGCTGCAGCGACCCCCACTGTGGGCATCCCATCCCCCCCCCCCCCCCGCCATTCTCTCTGAGCGAGTCAGCCTTGCTGTGTTGAGCGGGTTTTCAGTACTGCACGACTGCCCCTGGCTGGTGACTAGACAACGTCAGCTCCCTCCCTGTCTGCCCTGAAAGCTCCATTTCTTTCCGAAGGACACTCATGTTTATTATTAAGGTTACAGATCATAAGAAAAGGCTTTGTGAGGTGTGAGTGAAGCGGTTTCCAGTTGTTAGCCGTGTTTGAGTCTAGACGCATGTGGTCTGGGCAGCTATGGGTCCTCGGGCTCTTGACCGGCCCACGTGTGTGGTTTGTAGTCAGGTTCCGTGGTGTTCTTGAATCGTGGTTCTTGAACACAAGAAGAGGCCACGGGACCGTATTAACACTAATATGCTTTCATCCCCCTTAGTTTATCTTTGGACAATATCAGACTGCGCCCTGTTGATGGAATCAAAGGGCATGTCCGGCCGGCAGCACCTACATTTTATTTATTGAGCTAAGTGATCGTTAAAAGTACTCTCAGTAGGAAAAGGCCCATTTAGAAAGGCTAGAAGTCTTTGGAATTAGCAGAATCAATTAGTTTTCACATCCCTCGTGATCTTAAAGGTTTTCAATGTGAGAGATGTGCACGGGTCTGGGACAGGGGCCCTGAGGGATAGATTGACTCTGTGCCTTTTGGGTCAAAAGATTCTCCGCACCTTGGCGGCCTGGGGAAATCACCTTTGCCGCAGTGAGACGCCACGTGGCAGCCGTTGTTCTGGACGCTTGCAGTCTCACGGTGGGCGTGGTCATACCTGACCCCACCATGCTAAGAGAAGCCGGGGCCTGCGGAATTTGAATTTGAACGATGTGTCTGAGGCTGCAGAGCAAGCATGGGACAGAGACAGGGCTGCACGCCAGGCTGCCTCTGTCCTTCAGAAGTCTCACACGTTGAGTTCAACACAGCGCTTTGCCAAGCACCCCGTGGGAAGACCCACGTCGGGGAGTGATGTTGGCATGGAGATGTACAGCCTGAGTTCCATCACTAGATTCCACATCGGGGTTGGGGGTGAGGAGAACAGACCCTTGCAAGCGTCGAAGCTGCCCTCAGCCTTCCACTCACGTACGGTGGGACACACCTACCCCCCAACCAAAGTGAATAATAAATAAACCCAAAGGAAGAGGTGTCACTACCTGCCACGCAAAATAATAGAGTAAGCGTCCCTCAGCAGGGTTTATTAGCATTCTCCCGAGAGAATGAATAAGGAGCAGAGCGGAGGTTCATTTGGGTGAGTGGATCTTCCCCCACCCAGCTGCTAAGTACTACACCCATCTCCAGAGACACTCTTAGAGGAATGCTTTTCAGGCCCTGGCTGTCCCGTAAGTTAAGGTGACATTTCAGATTAACCACCACAGTGCCTGTGGGCAATTCTTACCAATTTTTTACGGGAGAGGGCATGGTTAAAGTTCAGAATAACCCTTCATAAAGAGCATAGTAAGCAGAACCGAGATGAAAAAGGCCTCGGGATGGGCAGACAATTGGACAGTCAGGATGAAAGCAAGGGAACGGCGTGAGTTAAGTGTAGCTGATGGCCTGCCTGCCAGCCTGTCTTCAGGGTGAAGGTGTATCTCTCTTGAGATACATTTGTCTGACTTTGTGCTTTGGCCGGGTCCATGAAGGAGAGGCTGTGAGCTATGGGAGGAAACACCGGGGTCTGTGGTTCGGGGCAGCGTCTTTAAGCCTCTCCGTTTCTAGGGCGTCTCTCCTTGGGTCGTCCCCTTACTTCCTGTACTTCTCATTCATTTTTCTGCCCATTTGCACGCTCCAGTTTATCTTGGATAATTGCCTGTGGGCACCCTATGCCCAGGACTGCTTAATTATTCTTGCGTGTACCCCAGGTTCTTGCTCTTTGGAGCCCATTTGGGATTCCTCTGTGTGTGTGAGTAGCATGAACTTGAGAACTCCAGCTTTCCATCGTGCTGCCGTGGTCTCCAACACCCTCATTTCAGGAGGGCGGTTTTGCATCCCAGGCTCCAATGCAGGGGCAGCTCCTTCCCCATGCGGCTTGCTGTGAGTGGGGACTTCATTCCCAGAGTCCCGCAGCCACCTCTGCCGGCGTGGGGTTCCTTTGGTCCCCGCTGCAGCAGAGGTTTCGCGTTCTGTGTAGTGAACGCTTGGTCTTACGATGTGTGTAGAGATCCCGTTTTGTATTAACAATGATATCGTTGGATGCTATTGAAAAAGGACATACCGGAAGTGCCATTTGAAACGCCAGCAAATTGAATCGATGGGAGAGAGTGGCTGACCCATGCTAGTGAATGTGGTCTGAATGTCAGACCTCCCCAAAGTCAATCAAGCCTAGCAGTGAGACCTCCGTGGTCCTGTTTCCTGATGTCTGTTGTGTAGACAGCAAGGGGGAGGCTCAGCCGGCTCCTGGTAATGGTACAGGGCATGACTGTTACTCAGACGTCCTCAGACTCTTCACACCCATCACCCAGGGAGGATGCAGAAGCCACGGGGAGGGAGCAACATGCCGCGCTGGTAGTCATCTGGAACCAATACAGAAAAAATTCTTAACGACTTACTTCCAGCCGTAAGACCCGAACCGTCACCGCCCTACGATTGGCCACTACAGTGTACTCGATCCACAGGTGGGGACTCGGGTACATGCCTCCATGCCTGCAGTTAGTTAATGGCAAAGAGATCCAACTCAGGGACGTGACTCCAAAGTCCACCGCTCCACCTTGAAGTGACTGGGTGTCTACTACGACCGTTAAAGGCTTGGTGCCTTCCAATTACCCCATCTGTGAGTGAATGCCACAGGACTGTCAGGAGGGTTTAGTATACCGCTGGGTCACTCAGAACAGCAGCTAGCCAATGGTGTGTCCACTCAGAAGCCAGGTTCCAGTGTGTAAAGCATAAAGGGTGTGTTTTTAGTTTGTGGTAGGGAGAGGTCACACTCACAGGATCAGGTTGTCTTCATGCTGGGATTCTGGGGACCTGTGCCCAAGACTGATAGGTCATCTGCACAGACTTGAGTGTCAGACCAACAGCCATTGCTTCTCCTAAAAAAAAGTCTCTCCTGCTAACACTGGGTACAAGATTACTTCCCAGTTACAGTATGTAGGTGACCGACGGAGCCGCAGAGACATATACTTTTCTGTCCTCCTTAGTTTCCAGTGAGGTCCTTGATTGTACTGTGTTATGACCTTACACCCAGAGCAGCTAGCTGCACACAAGCCATAGGTATTGTTAGCCAGGCTCCCACTGAGCTTCTGATGGGGCTTACTGAATGTTTCTCGTCTGCAGCTTCATTTCACTTTTATTTTTCTGCAGTATTTCTCTCTCAATTAGAATTGAATTCTAATTTTGCATCTTGGATTGATTTACTTATTTCACTACTCTGTCTGTTTTCTCTTAGAATTCACTCGGGGATTTATTCATTCCTGTCCTCTTTAGATTCATTTAGACATTTATGTCATCACTGAATTCATTCATGGACATTTTATACTTATTCTGTTGGATTCTTTGCAATTTATTCTAGGTGATTTTCATTAGGGACCATTACTATGGGGATGGTAGTTTGGAGGGGCAGACATATTGCCTTGTTTTTCTGTCACATTTTGTGTTGTGCTTTGTACATCTAGAGGTCATCAATTATATCTTTGTCATGAATTGCTGGTCCACTTGCATTGAATGGATATTTGGGTCTGATTTTGGTATTACCATGTCTTAGCTGGGGTAGAGTCTACTAGGTGATACTCAGAGTTCAGTCATGGGATAGTCAGTGCTGATGGAATAGCTTGGGTGGTCCTAGCCAGGCTAGTTGTTTTATGTGCACACAGGTTGCTTGATGGGCAAGGCCTGGGCTCACCAGTTTCTGGCCTTAGATAGGTTCCTTGACTGTCCAAGAACCCTCAGGTCATAGTAGAAGCCTAAGGATGGGTAAGGACCTGGAGTTGTGGGTATGTGGCCTCAGACTGAGCTGGGGAAGAGAGTCCTGGGACCACGTGTCTATGACCTAACACAGATCTCAGTGGGAGCTGGGGACGGGACAAGTCTGGCTGTGGTCAGAGATCTATTACCTCACAGAGGTGCTACACTCTCAGTGGAAGCCTAGGCATTGGAGGACACTGCCCCATGTAAATTATACGGGACAAAAATGCAGTAGTGCACTCAGAACCATCTCAGAAACTCACCACAAACCAGGAGTAATTGAGTGTTTTCTTTGTTTGTTCTCTTGTAATGGAATTTGTCAGCAACTCAAACAGAAATCTTTACACAACACAATCCAAACTATGCCATCGTGATAGTTATATACCAAAACAATACCTCAGACACCGCCTTTTCTCCCTGTAGTTAACCCATCATGTCCCTCTAAGAGCAGGTGCGTCATCACACGCAGAGCCAAGACTGCATGCAGCGTGGTGTAGCAGCAGAGATTGCTAAGAACTGTGCCTAACAGTTTTAAGTGATGACGTAAAAGACGTCTTGACCCTTGATACATCTCGTCATTGTCCATACCATGATAGAGAGCAAGCTGTCTTATACTGATGTCACAACAAAGTGTGAGCCATTGGAGAAGCTGTTAATCACGCACATTAATTTTTGTAAAGTGCTTGTAGCCCCCACCCCCCACCCCCACCCCCAATCCCCGCGCCATCATCTCTCTTCAATTTAACCTCACAGTTTCTGATTCACGCGTGTGAGCATTTGTCTTTTTTCTGGCTCCGTTGCTTCTTAAGTGTTATCTCACATATTAGTATAAGTATTCTTATGCCTAAAATTATTTCACGCATTTAATTATTTTCATGCATACAAGCACACATGGTCTTACAAAACTCAACAGGACAGTAAACCGAGCCTCTTTATTTTCAAGTAGGCCCCCTGGATAGCCCCTACTCTCGAGGTGAGGCACCTGTATGCTGGCATATGCCCATCACTAGCTATATGCTAAGCTCTCAGTTGTCCATTAGTGTAGTCCCCCCGCCCACATTCATGGGCGTTTATATTGGACATTTGTACAAATCTGTTACACGTTTGGATTCATTGCTCTTATGCTGACATAAGCTCACTTAAGAAAGGAAGAAAAGTACAATTAAATTGGAAGGGAACGAAATCCTCCAAAGGATTATACGTCTATGTGACGTATAATTATCAAAATTTGTTTTTTTTTTTTTAACAGATATAGAAGTACCGCAGGCCTTAGTCATTTATTTACCGATACGATACTACAAGCACATTTTATTTTTGCCTCTTTTATTGCTGACATGAAAATATAATAGAGGACACTATAGAAAAAGCAGCTAGTGATTTCTCTCCCAGAGGTGTAGTAAGGTAAGGTGTTTGTTCAGGAGGATGTGGCTCAGATGAGCACTGTCCCTCCAAGGTTGTGTGTGTGTGTGTATGCGTGTGCACACACACACCTGCAGTGTGTCTGGACTGTGAGCCATAGCGAATCTCCCAAATTTCAACCATATCTCCCACCCCAACTCTGAACCCTAAAGCCTCAGTCTGGTCCACATTGTTCTAACCAGCTCCCCCCCCCCTTGCATCCCTCCTGCCTTGCAGATGTACCACAGGATCCGCCACTCAGAGTGCATCTACAGGGTCACCATGGAGAAGCTGTCCTACCACAGCATCTGCACCTCAGAGGAGTGGCAAGGTCTCATGCACTTCAACCTGCCGGCACGCATCTGCAGAGAGATCGAGCTGTGAGCACCGCGACATCCTTTCCATTCCGCTAACCCCCGGGGGGGGGGGAGAGGGGGAATGGCATCCCGATCCCGAGTGCTCCTTAAACAGCAAAACCCTGAAACGGAAACCCCGTGTGCGGTGGCCCAAACCTACAGTGCCAGCGCTTGGGAGGCTCAGGTGGTCGGATTCAGAGCCCAAGGCCAGCCAGGGGTGTAGAGTGAGTGAGTCCTTTTGTCAGGGAACCAAATCTGAAACCAGCCACCTACACAATAGCATTTATCCACCCTCTCATATATTTCAAATGGAATTTAATGTCACACTCAGATGTCAGTCTCCAAGTTAAGTGAAAGAACTTGGTAGCGGTTTGTTCCATGTTTGTGCTGTACTCTGGCTTCCCAGCACATAGCTAGCACGCTTAAGTCTAGAGAGGCAGGGCCTCGTGGTGACTGTGAGCCCACGGCAGCCACCCTGTCCCCAAGCTGGCATTCACCGTATGATTGGAAATATGCCCCTCTCTGCTGCACTATTCATTCTGGTTGTGTGTGTGTGTGTGTGTGTGTGTGTGTGTGTGTGTGTGTGTGTGTGGTGGGATATAGTATTTACATGAGTAAATGAGATCAGTTATTGGTGTGGTAACTTCAGGAGTTACAGTTACTGAATTCGTGTTTCAGCGTAGATGGAAGGCTGTTTCTGATAAGGTCCCCATGGACATTGTGATGTATGTATGTATTAGTATCGATTACCCTGGTGACACATATGGCCCCTGGACAGTGTGCTGTGTGTGTGTGTGTGTGTTTATATACATATATATTAGTGTCCATTACCCTGATGACGCCTGTGGCAGCTGCTTTAACAGATGACTCTGTAGAGTCCCGCAGGAACCCTTGTATCCATTCAGATGCAGGAGAGAGGGCAGGGGTGTGGGCAGAGCAGCCTGTGAGCATCGGGGTAGATAAGAGGGCGTGTTGATTTCTGTGCCCAGCCTGACTGCACCGAATGACCCGTTACTCTCCCTTTCATTTCAGTTTCCACTTTGACATCGGCCCTTTTGAGAACATGTGGCCCGGAATCTTTGTCTACATGATCCATCAGTCCTGTGGGACATCCTGGTACGAGCCGAGCGGCCTGTGTGACTCCATTCCAGCCCAAGGGGTGACCTCCTCTGCTCACTTGTACCTAACCAGGTCCTTTGTATGGCTATGGTAAAATGCGACATTTTAATAAACATCCAAATAAAAAGCGGCTGAGCCTGTTGGACGAACATGCAGCTTTTACAAATGCTCCAGGAACTGACGACTTCCCAGGCCCTTTGGCTGTAGCCATAGTTGACACCTGTTTAGGTTTTGTCCTGGAGATGGGTAACTTAAATGTAATGCTAGCATGTCTTATCATGCTGTCATACATACCAGATGTTGTTTAGGCTGCACAGGGGAAGAGGCAGGGCCCATGCTTAAAGCAGTGCACAATGCCTGTGGCATCCACTTCGAATCCCACATGTATCTGTTAGGTTAGGCACGAAGGGGAAGTCTCTCAGGGAATGTGACAGCAATAACAGGCTGCTAGCCTCTCCATCTGCCCTGTCTGACGCGGTTCCCCGACTTTGTGTGTGATGGGTTACATCTTACGCAGGCTGGAAATTCAGAGGCTGTATTTGCTCGTTTTCCATATTTTTGTTTTGCACTAACCCACGTGTAGAGTCTTTCGGTTTCTCTGGAATGATACTGTCAATCTTCCTGAGTCCCCAGGTGTGAGAGGGAGCCCCCAGGTATGGGAGGGAGCCTCCAGGTGTGGGAGCAATCCCAGAGGTGTGTGAGCCTACAGGTGTGTGAGGGAGCCCAGCTTTGTGTGAGAGAGTCCACAGATATGTGAAGAAATCCACAGGTGTGTGGGAGAGCCTACGGGTGTGTGAGGGAGTTCAGAGGTGTCTGAGGGAGTCCACAGGTGTGTGAGGGAGTCCACAGGTGTGAGGGAAGAGTCCACAGGTGTGTGAGGGAGTCCACAGGTGTGTGAGGGAGTCCACAGGTGTGTGAAGGAGTCCACAGGTGTGTGAGGGAGTCCACAGGTGTGTGAGGGAGTCCACAGGTGTGTGAGGGAGTCCACAGGTGTGTGAGGGAACTCACAGGTGTGTGAGGGAGTCCACAGGTGTGTGAGGGAAGAGTCCACAGGTGTGTGAGGGAGTCCACAGGTGTGTGAGGGAGTCCACAGGTGTGTGAGGGAGTCCACAGGTGTGTGAGGGAACTCACAGGTGTGTGAGGGAAGAGTCCACAGGTGTGTGAGGGAGTCCACAGGTGTGTGAGGGAGTCCACAGGTGTGTGAGGGAGTCCACAGGTGTGTGAGGGAGTCCACAGGTGTGTGAGGGAGTCCACAGGTGTGTGAGGGAGTCCACGGGTGTGTGAGGGAGTCCATGGGTGTGTGAGGGAGTCCACGGGTGTGTGAGGGAGACCACGGGTGTGTGAGGGAAGAGTCCACAGGTGTGTGAGGGAGATCACAGGTGTGTGAGGGAGTCCACAGGTGTGTGAGGAAAGAGTCTACAGGTGTGTGAGGGAGTCCACAGGTGTGTGAGGGAAGAGTCCACAGGTGTGTGAGGGAGTCCACAGGTGTGTGAGGGAGACCACAGGTGTGTGAGGGAGTCCACAGGTGTGAAAGAATCCAGATGTGTGTAAGGGAGGAGATTTTTGTACTCCTGAGCTAGGTGCTCCTCTGAAATGTGCAGTGCTATGCCGGTCTCGTCATAACAGTCTCCTGTCTACACAGCTTTGAACTTGAAAAGTTGTGTCGTTTTATCATGTCTGTGAAGAAGAATTACCGGCGGGTTCCTTACCACAACTGGAAGCACGCAGTCACGGTGGCACACTGCATGTATGCCATACTTCAGAACAACTATGGGCTCTTCACAGACCTCGAGGTGGGTGTGCATACCCTTCCATCAGGAAACCTCCGCAATGCGATGCCCCTGTCCAAGTGCCTCAATGACATGAACTCAAACACACATTACACTTTGTTGGAAATGTTGATGTGGAAATTTCACCTGCACACAAATACCCTCTGAGTAGGGGAGAGGGGGGGTAGAGGAAAGGGAGAGTCCTTTCTCCCGTATTAAACATGACAGGTTGTACATGTATTTAATTGAGTGAATTTCTGTCTCCTTCTTTTTGATTTTTCTTTTTGTTTGTTTGGTTTTTTTGTTTTGTTTTCGTTTTTGTTTTTGAGACAGGGTTTGTCTGTGTAGTCCTGGAATTAACTTTGCATACTAGCCTGGCCTTGAACTTACAGATCCACCCACTTCTTCCTCGACAGTTCTGGAATGAATGGTGTGCACCACTACCCGGCTAGAGTGAATCTCTCTTGATGCCCATATGCCCTGGATGATTTGAGAACACTGAGCACTTAGTATAGTTGACATTAGTGCCATTTTGAGTCCTCCATCATAAGGGGGCAGACTTTGAGGTACACATCGAGTTCCTCAGCTTCCGCACAGCCAAAGCTGATGCCACACTGGAAATTCTCCCAATTCCAGAGTCACAGGGGTTGGACAAGGGTTGGCTCTCTCTCATCCATGCAGCACACTCCCAGCCAAGTGCTGAGTGGTGGGAATTAGCACCCGGGTAACAGTGACGCTGTGCCCACTAGCCAGCCAGAGTTTGAGCGTGTCCCTTTGAGACCCCAGCTGGGGGGGGGGTGTCACTAACAACACAAGCCCTGGCCTCCTTTCTCCCCGTAAAGCAATGTCACACTTCTGACTACCACCTCTAACTAACATAATACATTTTGCTTTCTCCAAGGTCACATTAAAAATAGATCCACCGTGTGCCTTTGCCATCCTGTTAGACCAAAAGCATAGTTGAACCAGTAACCGTGGAAGGTGGATTCCAGAGGCGGGGAAAAGTACTATATGTCAAATACAGTTAGAAGCAGGGCTGGAAAGGCGGCTCAGTAGGTGAGAGTTGACTGTGGAGGTGTGAGGGCCTGAATTAGAGCTGTGGGCGTAGCTGTACAAAGTTTAACCCCACCCAGCACTGTGGGGGACAGAGACAGGGGCATTGCTGGGGTTTCCTGACCACCAGCCTAGCTCTCTGTTCAGTGAGAGACCCTGTCATAAAGGGATAAAGTAGGAAGTAATAGAAAAGGGCACCGATGTCTTCCCTAGCCTTCACCCAGACACACGGACATGTGTACCCTCCCCACGGACATGTATTATAGTCACCACACAAAGCCATGCAAAGGAGTTAACTGTATTCTTGATTGTCGCTTGTATGCTTTCTCAAATAATCTTTAGTTTTTAGCAGAATTTAACAACATATTAATATATTTCCCTGAAAGATTCAAATGAAGTATGCTTTTAGTTCACATGAATCATCTTCTAATTCTCCTGAAGTTTGCATTGTATTCTACTTGGGGAGACCTTCAACGTTTCCCCCCATTTAACTACTTTTGCAGTTTCCCAGCTTTCTGGGAGCCAGGGACTGCTCCTCCCTCTTCTCGCTTTGGGCTTTGGGAACGTCTTTCCTCGAGTTGGAGTCCGTGATTGCTCGGACTTTTGCCTTCCTCTGTTCACACAGAGCTTTGGCGAATGCCACCATTTCCCCTCTCTGTCCAAGGTCAGCCAGCTTGAGACTCAAACAGCTGCCCTGCCTAATTTCCACTTACCCACCTCTTAAAGTGCTCCCTGTCACTCTTGACCTGGGCCCTGATGGTCTGCTCACATTCTCCACCCGCCGGGTTTCCCTACCCCTGCTGTTTGGTGTCCCCAGTGAGGGTCACACTTGAACTTTCTCCCTTTGCCCATCACAGCCAGTCAAAAGAGCCCACTGGACACTGCATCCAGACTTGGCTTACCCCGCTTACACCGTTCTGCTCTCTCTCTTTCTCTCTCTCTCTCTCTCTCTCTCTCTCTCTCTCTCTCTCTCTCCTCTGCTTTCCCTTGACTACTGCAAACCCTCCTAGTGAGTTTCTTACTCATCACTAGACAGCCTTCTAAAACTGCCGGATGGATTTAGACAGTGCTGTCCTGGAGTCCCTTCACTCTGCTCCTCGTCATTTGGAAGATGAGGTCTGTGTGAGGACTCCTTACCTGGCCCTAGGTCTCCAACCGTCCCTCCCTCCCCCGCCTTCCTGAGGCGTGCTCTTCCACCATGATCCCCTCAGACACCACCTCACAGGCCTCTGTTGGTGTCTGACTCTTGCTGGGTCTGTCCCAGCCTGCTGACTTTGGTACAGCCTTACCTCCTGTGTCTGTATGTTGTGCGTATTGGCTGAGAATAGCAATGGTCTCGTTATGACTAGGAGAGCCCAAGCTGCCTGCTGCATGCAGAGCTCAGCTTGTCAGTAAGGCATTTGGTACCTCCTGTCCCTTCCCCGGAGTTACTGAGGGAAGCTCATTTGTTCGTCAGGTTCACACGCAGAAAAAACAAAAACAAAAACAAAGAACAGGGTTCCACGAAAGTTCAAGGGCTCCTATGCGTTTGGACGCATCAGTGGCAGAAACGAATATGGTGTGGGTGTAAACCGCAAGTCTCCAGGCCTCTGCTTGCCAGTGTCTTAAACACCCGTGCGTTCTGTTATCTCTTCAAGCGCAAAGGCCTGCTCATTGCCTGCCTGTGCCACGACCTGGACCACAGGGGCTTCAGTAACAGCTACCTGCAGAAATTCGACCACCCCCTGGCAGCCCTGTACTCCACGTCCACCATGGAGCAGCACCATTTCTCCCAGACGGTGTCCATCCTGCAGGTAAGGTGTGGGGCGACAGTGCTCTGAAGGGGGTGTGGGTGGGGTGTGGGATGCTACACAGCACACTCTGCAGGCAGCAGCTGCAGTTACTGCTTCGTCTTACTAGCTTTCTGAGGATGTAGCTCCCAGGATTGTTTAATCTATATCCCATAGCCAGTGTGTGACGTCTTCAGCAACAGGACCTTACAGGCTGGCTATGCGGGTAACCAATGGTGTGAGAAGTTGTCTTGGAGACCTCTGAGGCCTCTCTGACGGTCATAACTTGGAGGGAGATGCATGGCTTCTGGGAGTGACATTGTCCGCCCATGCAGAATTCCCTCTACTTGAACTCAATTTAAAAGTGGTATTTTGAAGCTAGCTTTCTAATCACTGGGTTTCCACGAGGCTTAGCTTAGCCTACCTACTGCCCTTCCTGTCCTTTCTCCCCATCCCCAGCATTCCTCACACTCCTTTTCATCCCTCCACTTAGGTTATATTGTGAAACAGTAGGGTTCCATGTGCCGTTTTCCGTATGCCTTTGTGTCTCGGTCAGTGTTGCGTTGCCGAGGAGAGACACCATGGCCACAGCAGCTCTTACAAAGGGAAGCATTTAACTGCAACTCTTACAAAGGGGAAGCATTTAACTGCAACTCTTACAAGGGGAAGCATTTAACTGCAACTCTTACAAAGGGGAAGCATTTACCTGCAACTCTTACAAGGGGAAGCATTTACCTGCAACTCTTACAAAGGGGAAGCATTTACCTGCAACTCTTACAAAGGGGAAGCATTTAACTGCAACTCTTACAAGGGGAAGCATTTACCTGCAACTCTTACAAAGGGGAAGCATTTACCTGCAACTCTTACAAAGGGGAAGCATTTAACTGCAACTCTTACAAGGGGAAAGCATTTACCTGCAACTCTTACAAAGGGAAGCATTTACCTGCAACTCTTACAAAGGGGAAGCATTTAACTGCAACTCTTACAAAGGGGAAGCATTTAACTGCAACTCTTACAAAGGGGAAGCATTTAACTGCAACTCTTACAAAGGGGAAGCATTTAACTGCAACTCTTACAAGGGGAAGCATTTAACTGCAACTCTTACAAGGGGAAGCATTTAACTGCAACTCTTACAAAGGGAAGCATTTACCTGCAACTCTTACAAGGGGAAGCATTTAACTGCGGCTGGCTCACACTTTCCGTGGCTTAGCTCTTTCATTATTGTGGCGGCAGCACGTCATTACACAGGCAGGCACGGGGTGCTGGAGGAGGCAGAGTCCTACACCTGGATCCTCAGCCAGAAGGAGAGACAGAGAGAGAGACACCGGGCCTGGCAACCCCAAGCGCCATCCCCTTACCCCGTGACACACTTCCTCCAGCAAGGCCACACCTCCCAATAGTGCCTCTCCCTGTGAGCCTGTGGGGGCCGTTTTCATTCAAACCCACCGCATTTCCTTTGGGCTAGCCCTTGAGGCCCTCCACACTCTTGCGCTCCCCCAAGCTTAAGCGTTTGAACTTCCCACCTTCCACGGACACACCCTCCCTCCCACCAGTGGCCCCTTTCCATTGGCCCTGGCTTCCACTGGATGCCCGGGTCTTTCGTGGATGGCTTCTGTCTGCAGTAGAGCCAAAGTGTCTGCCACCCAACCCGTCTGTAAACCCAAGTTATACCCTCCGCCGCAGCCGGGGTGTCCCGGTTTTTCTGGCTTGGTGTTGCCATCCGTCCTCTGGTGTTGCCATTTCCTGACCACCTCCCCCCCACAGGCACAGCCCTAACGTGTCAGCTTCTCATGAGAGGCAGGACAGTGGGTTGCTATTTACAGCATGACCTGAAGTGGTTGAGGATATGGATCATTTTCTAAGTTCTAGTAAAGGCACGCAGGTTTTTTGTTTTGTTTTGTTTTGTTTTAGTTTTTCGATCTTTAGTTTTTCGAGACAGGGTCTCTCTGTGTAGCTTTGGAGCCTGTCCTGGAACTTGCTCTGTAGACCTCGAACTCACAGAGATCCGCCTGCCTCTGCCTCCCGAGTGCTGGGATCAAAGGCATGCGCCACCAACGCCGGGCTTGCTTGCCACTTGGGTTTTGTGATGGCAAATGGTATCCTATGGGTAAAGTGGTCTACATAAGCAAAAGCTCTATCGCTACAACTGAACAGTCCCTTGGTTTCCCAGAATTTGCCATCACGGTGACATTTGACACAGTTGTCCGTACTGTTTCAGTACGCAGAAGGCGCCTTGGGCCTAGGCGTGACTTGTATTGGTGGTTTCCCTCTGTTCTCTCTGTAGCTGGAAGGGCACAACATCTTCTCCACGCTGAGCTCCAGCGAGTATGAGCAGGTGCTGGAGATCATCCGAAAAGCCATCATCGCCACTGACCTCGCCCTCTACTTCGGGAACAGGAAGCAGCTGGAAGAGATGTACCACACGGGGTCACTAAACCTCCACAACCAGTCACATCGGTAAGGGCAGCTTTGCAAAGGCTGGTACGAGCCTGGTGCGTGTGTGAATCAAGAACTATTTGATTTGGCGTGCGTGTGGCTTGCCTCTGCCTCCTTAGTGAGGCCATCTTTACCCTAAGGTGCACGGACGGCTGCTTGACGTCCCGTCCCTGTCTCTTCTGGGGTCTTAAGATTTCTTTTTAGGACGTCTTTTTAGGACAATTCTACTTGGTGCCCAGTGAGAGTGCAAAGTGAGAGTGGGCACAACTGGAGCCCAGCTCGCAGGAGTGAAGGCAATCAACCCTTGCAGCGGTGTGGGTCCCCCGGCTCCGCAGCAGGGGAGTTCTTCACAGGGGAGGGACAGTGTGCTTCAAGTCACCTCCGCCCGCAGTGTGTGTGGTTCTTGGGCATAAACCGTGAGCAGGAACAGGTTTTGGTTTACTCTGTCTTTATGGTTTCACCTTCACAGGGATATTACACTCTCATGGAGTATGCTTGCTTTCAGAAACCCGTGCTTCAGAAACATCCTTCTTGGATGTATTCAGTTAGTTTTAGCTAAATAGTCACAGTAATTAACATATCATTATAGAAAATCTATTTCTCCCCCCCCCCATGCTTAATGCATACGGGCCTCTGCTGGTGGCGTGAAATTAGCTGTGACTAGTTTGTGTTGCTTAAACGGCTTTAAAGGTAAGGTTTGTTTGTCTGTGCGAAGAAATACGCACCGGCAAGAGACCGCGCTCAGCCGCCATGTGATGCCATCCCCTGTGCGTTCTGTTTCTCCAGAAGTGTACACAGCGTCCCTGCGGTGTGGATGTAGCTGTGTGCCTTTTCCTCAAAACGTGCTTATATCAGAGCCGTTCCTTTTTTAAGAAAAGATCTATAATTCAGTGCAGCATAAAAAGATGTAAAGGTTTTGGAAGCCTTCTCCAGGTGGATGGTGACAGTTTCTAGAATTTTCTACTATAAACAAGGATGCAATAAAGTTTGCTCGTGGAATCTCTCCCATGGCCCCTTGAAAGCCTATAGCGTAGGGCTGGAGAGATGGCCCTTCCAGAGGGCCCGAGTTTTGTTCCCAGCACCCACGTGGCGGCTCACAAACAGGGACCAGGTGTCTTGTTCTGGCCTCTGTGGGTAGCAGGAGTACACGTGGTATCCAGACACACTTGCAGACAAAACCCTGACACACATGAAATAAGAACAGGTAAGAATGTATTGCTATAAATGTACATGGTGAGGTCTGTTCCGTGCACTCTTGTCTGGCTCACAGAAGGACCTCACGCTTGCTGACTGCCGTATGCCGTGCCGTGTGCTGTCTGTTCACAACACGTGCTTGTCCCGTTGAACTTTTTTTACTCGTAACAAATCGTCTGAGCTGTCTTTAACTAAGGACATTGCTCTTCTGTGTTCTTTTTCACAGATATTCTCTTTAGGTGAAAAGAAAACTTTTCTTCATGTTTTCCGTGTGTGTGTGTGTGTGTGTGTGTGTGTGTGTGTGTGTGTGTGTGTGTGTGTTCCTGGATATGTGCATGTTGTGTGTGTGAATTTGTCTGTGTATGCGTGTGCCTGTGTGTGTACACATGTGTGTGTGTACGTGTGTGAGTGTGTATGTGTGTGTGTCTGAGGATGGAACCCAGGACCTCACGTATGCCAAGCAAACCCTGGGTTAGCAAGTGACGCTCTAGCCCCAGATTATCTGTTGAGAACATAGAACCCTCAGTTCATGAAGCCACATCCGTTACTTGCTCTTATCAAACCGCTCAGCAATGTGAATAATTCATAAACTTTTGTGTATTTTATAGCTCAGTTTTTTGCATTTAGCTCTGGATTCTTACATTAACAGAATTTTGTTTATTTTGTTTACTTTTTCTTGACACAATAAATCAGTATCGCTTAATGACTAATTCATTTTCCTCACCTAGTTGAATATGAGGAGAGTTTATATTGAACTGGGTGTTTCCTACAGGGAACTCACCCCTGCTCATTCAGGGTTGGGGTCTAATCCCATTCAGGGACAGAATGAAACATCCATTCTGGCATTTCTGAGTGGCCATGGCCATCTAACGGATATGTAATTGCGAATAAAAACAGTAATTGTACTTAATACAGATCCATGTCAAATTTCCAGGCTGTTTACTTCCTCATGAGCTCATGAGCGATAGAGTAGCAACTTGGCATTGTGTTGTCTAAATAATTTTAACAGTTCTCATCCTTATACCAGCAGTTTTAAATGTGAGGTTATTTCCAGTGGAAAAAGTTTTTACGAAGTCCCCAGCTAGTAACATTGCTTTTACAGACTTCTGAAATGAGAAATGCATCTTATTTTCAGATTAGTCCTTATTATACAATTTTCCACAAAAATGTTTGGGGTTCTGGTGAATGAGATTGACTTACTTCAATTGCATGAAAGAATTATTTGTAAATATAATGCTAGTTGTCACATTCTCCATCTGTTTAGTGAATCTACCACTTGAGGAAGGAAGGAACTTAATTCTTTAGAGGCCCAGATTTAAAAACACTCTCCTTTTTAAGCTGAAAGTTAGCCGATCCAGAGAATCGTACATTTCTCCGGCCACTTTTACCCGTTTGAGTCTTGAAATGCCAGCTGCCTGGGATGGCAGCCCCCTCACCTGACTATTGAGCGGCTCTGTGACCTGTGGCAGGAGTAACAAGCCCTCGGGACATTCCCGTTGGTCCAGGCTGTGTCTGCAATGGAGAAATCCATTGGTGGCCCTGTGTCCCTCAGGCCGGCCCGCTGCGCCCATGGGACCTGGAAGCGTGTCTCACCTCTGACACAGTTCCGAACCTCGGGTGACGAATGGTCTTCATAAATTATGTCATTTTTCTCCACTTGAGGCCGGGACATGATATTTCCTTACTTCATTTCACCAGACCAAGTGTCACCAGAGAAAGCCCAGTGAAGCCACGGGCAATTTGTTTCTCTGAACTTTAAGCAATTGTTATTATCTCTTTAAAACTAAGAAAATACTTAGTTCCACTTGCACAAATAGCGAGTTGGACGTGCAGTCCATCACTGCAGCTGCCAAGAAGCTAAAAGGAGGAACCCTTTCTTTGGCACAGTCTGAGTTTGAACATGTTCTTGCTAAACAGCATAGCCTTGGAGGGAGGGAGCAGGCCCACCCCACTCTGCCTGCAAGCAAGCTCACCGCGCACCCTGACCTGGTCACGATACTTCTCCCTATTAAAAGTTAAGCATTCTTGTACATCTCAGACCTTGTGGATTCAGGATGAAAGCTTGGGGCCAGGTTTTCTTTTCAGGTGACATTGAACTCGCAGAGGTCTGTGAAATGAAAGCTTGACCCATAGCCCCGAGGGGGCCAGACAATCTGGAGGGTCACAGAATGCTGCCTGCTCTGAACCACTGCTCTGGAGCACACACACACACACACACACACATTATGACTCACCATGAGTACAGAGCACACCCCTGTAGGACCTATGGAAGAAGTCCCCTATTGCTGCCCTGTCTGCTAAGCTATGTGGTTCTGCTTTTTAAATGCTCTTTCTGTCATCAGGAAGTAACACAGCACAGGCAAACTACACCTGCCAACCCCCCCCCCCGCCCCTCCTGAGTCTCCAGGCAAAGTGCAAACACCGCATTCACACCAGCTTTGTATCGTCTTTTAGAGACCGCGTCATCGGGTTGATGATGACCGCCTGTGACCTTTGTTCTGTGACAAAACTATGGCCGGTTACGAAACTGACGGCGAATGACATATACGCGGAGTTCTGGGCCGAGGTACGTCCTTGATTCTTAGGCTAACTTAGACATTACCAAGAAATGCGGATGTATCTCAGCAGAAATAAAACAGCTAGCGAGCGGCTCGTCAGTGTACCCGATAACCTGACTGGCCGCAGGCATGTTAACAGTCACTTTGGGGAACAGTGGTTAGTCACACACCGTGATGGGTTCAGCAGTTACAGCCATACAGTGAGAACTCTGTCACAGCCTACCCCGACTGAGGGCAGGTTCCCTGATCTCCACTGGGAGTTGAAGACCACGGTCACTGGGCATTGCTGTGGTACCTTTCCCTTCTTGACCTCTGACCTTTGCTCGCTGGGACTGTACTCTTGCACATTGCTTTATATGTTTCCCTGGACATAAAGGACTTCAAAGCCCCAGGCTGCATCTGCCACCAGCGAGGAATTGGGTGGGACTTCCCTGTTTGCCTGTGTGCTCACTGGCCAGCCAAAGTCCCGCCCCCTCTCTAGGCCATCCAGCCTCTAGAGCCATTGGCTCTCAACCTGTGTGTCGCGATCCCCTTGAAGTTAAACGACCCTTTCACGGGGGTCATCTGAGACTCCCGGAAAACACAGATGTTTACATTATGACTCACAGCGGTAGCAAAATTTAGAGCTGTGAAGTAGCAACAAAAATAATTTTATGCTTGGGGGTCATTACAACATGTGGAACTGTATTAAAGGGTCACAGCGTTAGGGAAGTTGAGAACCACTGCTTTGGAGCTGTAGCGGACACAAGATCACTCCCTGCAGACTCCTCACGACTGCCCGGTCCACGGTGGATGAAGCTCCAAGTGCTGTAGGCAGTCCCCAGGGCCTTTGCCCTCCCTGGGAGGAGCCATGAGTAGTCTCCAGGTCCTGGCCTTCCTGACACTCTGCTGCTTCCTACTCTACCCCTCCCCCACCCCCACATTCCTCCCCTGTGCCTTTCAGAGGTGAATAATGGCAGCGATGCAGCCTGCTGTCTTGGTCTTGGGTCATGTGGCTCCAGAGCCTGGTTGCTTTGGTCCTTAGCTTGTAGCGCTCCCCCGGCAGTCAGCACCGCATGTCAAAGCTTCTGCCACAAGCAAGGGAGCAACTCAGATCTGCCCCTGAGGCTGCCCTAGCCTGCCTCTGCCCCCACAGTCCTTGAAACTTGCTCACGAGATACCTATCCTTTGCTTGTCCCAGCCACCAAGTTTCCTTTTCAGCCTTCATCTTCCTCTGAACACACACTGAAGTCGCTTATCTGGAAGCCAGCCGGGTCCCTCCTGAGACCTGCGACCTCATCCTGAGCACGAGCTTGGCAGGTTTCACTCCTTTGGATAGTGAGAGGACCACACGAGACCCGCCAGTCTCTGCGTGCAAAGCGAGCAGCGGAAGATTGGGTGCTCTGAGGACCTGGGTGCTACAGGGCAGGTTTTGGGGCACAGTATTTTAAGTGATGGGTGTGGAAACTCATTTCTGATTCTAAGAAACCCTAGGAGGTTTCAGTGTAGAGTTGTGATTTCTGAAGGAAAACAAGCTCATGTAAATGACTAAGTATGCACCATTAAGAAGATTTCGACAAACTTTAAGATTTCAACAGTTTTTAGTGACTTTGTAAGAGCTGTGAGGATGCGGTGTCCATCTTGTAGCCTTTCTAGGGGATTAAGTGGGATGATACAAATACAAATCCCAAAGCCTGGTGTTCCGGAAGTCCCCTGCGGCATCCACCCACAGCAGGAAGGGAGGTACCAAGCTGTGTGGCAGTCATCCCGGCTCCTCACTGGCCATTTTGGCAAACTGGCCATCATTCCCCAGTCTTGCTGGTCTTACACAGAGGAGGGACCTTTGGAAAGGAAGCAAGGGCAGCCTTTATGCCTCTGTACACCCTCCACCCTTCTCGCCGACAGCTGCTATATGGCGCTACAAGAGGAGATGTTTGTATATCCAGAAATTTGGCCAAAAAAAAAAAAAAAATGTAGGAGCAGTTTCATGGTGACTCAAAGGTTGCCATTGCTTTGACAGTGTCTTTTCAGGAGTGGATCAGCTTAAAGGAAATTGAAATTTTTCACCAACACCAAAATTTTGTGTGACTGCTTAAAGACTACAAATAATCTCCTCCTGTCTGTTCCAGGGTGATGAAATGAAGAAACTGGGAATACAGCCCATTCCCATGATGGACAGAGACAAGCGAGATGAAGTCCCTCAGGGACAGGTATGCAGAACGAGCGCCATCATCTGTCTGTCTGTTCGTCTGTCTGTCCATCTGTCCATCTGTCTGTCCTTCCATCGTCTTTCTGTGGGACCCACTTGTAGTGTGTTCTGCCTGGCCCCCTGTGTTTGTGTGAACCTCCTGGAGTCCTGCCCGCCCTGGGGTGTAGACACCTGCCCTCTCTCTCTCTCTCTCTCTCTCTCTCTGCTTTTGTTTCACTCTCTTACATCTGGTCACTAAATCACTGGACGTGCATCTCCTCACTAACGAAGGGGCCTAACGAAGCCTTTCTAAACAGTCGTAGCTGAGTCTGTCCCCCCAAAAGGGTTCTGTTTCAGAACTCTCAACCAGAAATAGGGTTCACTTTAAAGCAGATTGAAAACAGACTGAGCTTTGCCCAAAGAGTAACTGCTTTCCTAGCGTGAGGGAGTTTTAAGGGTCTCTGAGATCCACAAATACTTTCCAATTCTTCTAAATTGACCCTGTGAGGTTACGGTTTTCCAGTGTGTAATCTTTCCCTCTGGTGTTCTAGCCCAATGACTCCTTGCTCTGATTAGAATAAGAAAACACCTCCATAGGCTGTGCAATTAAAAGCAAGCCTACTGTGATGGTTCAGCCCTGCAGCCCCAGCCTCCCGGGGAGCCCGAAGCAGGAAGCTCATGAGCGCCAACCTGGACTGCAGTTGACACACTGTTTCAAACTTAGTTTCAAAGTGGGAACTGTGTTGCTCTGGTAAGGAGGCAGTGACCGTAACCACAGCAGGAGAAAGCAAAGCCTCATAGAACTCCTGCTGCCAAAGCCTGCATCTACTCTGGGATGCATCTCAAAGTTCTGTTTGAAAAGAAGCTGCTGGCCTAACTTAGCATGCTGAGACCCTACTTTGCCATCTACTGGCCAGTGGGGCTCACCAGTGGAGGGCAGGTGTCTGGTCACCACTACTCAGCCCTACAGTGACCCCTGTCTATCTCTCACTAGGTAGGCTGGGGTAACTCCAGGTATTAGAACTTGAAGTCTGAGTGGGGGTGGGGGGCGTGGGGGCGCTGAGCTAGGAGAAGGTCAGTGAACACGGTTGCCTAGTGAAGGGCGAGATTCTGGGTGAGGTTGGGGATGGCACAAGGGTAAAGGTCACAGAAGGAAACCAGAAATATCGTCAGCTGTCCCCTAATGCTAAGCTGGACCACAGGGCAGCATCAAATTAACACACAGGACCGCAACAGGCCTGACTTGCTTGGCTTGTTGAACACACTAAAGTTTGGGGTCCTGTGGGTGCAAAGGGCAGCGCTGTGTTGGGGATTTGTGTGTGTGTTCTTGTCATTCATCTAATGCATTGGTCCTCTCAGGGCACAGAAGACACAGCACACAGCAGAACAGTAAATAGTATACACAGCACACAACACATAGCACATACACATAGCAAGACAGCACACCCACAGTATGCACACACACACACACACACAGCATACACAGCACAGCACACACAGTATATAGCACACACACAGCACACATATAACACACAGACATACAGCACACAGCACACACACACACAAAACACACACAGCACACAGCACATACAAACACACACACACACACAGCACATACACACAGCACACACAGCATTCATATAGCACATATCACACAGCAAAGCATCTGACTTCACGCTTAGGCTTCAGGGACAGAGAGGCGGGGGCATCCCAACAGTGACCTTGTTTGATCTCTCTCCGTGGCAGCTTGGATTCTACAATGCAGTGGCCATTCCCTGCTACACCACGCTGACACAGATCCTCCCGCCCACGGAGCCACTACTGAAGGCCTGCAGGTAGGCACAGCATTCCACATTCCCGTGACCATCACAGCCACTCTGAACTCCATCAGCCTGTGGGCATGTGGGTCGTCACAGTTTACGGGAACTCCCCTGATTTGAAGCCTGTGTGTTTGGTCTGCAATCCATTTGCCCTGGTTAGGGGTCTTGGGTGGATCCAGTTGACTAGTTTCCTTGGAGGATGAAAACACTCCTTTGTTTTCTTTCTTTCTTTCTTCCTTTTCTTCCATCCTTTTCTTCCTTCTTTTCTTTCTTTCTTTCTTTTTTTTTTTAAAATCAAAGTTGAATCTCAGATACTAGCTGATGCTAAGGAAGCCTATTCTGTAGCTCAGACAGGACAAACGATGCTGGCAGTCCATGCCATGGACCAGGGCTGCTAGCTGTCCAGCTGAGCTAAAGGGCCTATGTGCAGAGGACCCCACATCATTTCTTAAAGACCATTTTAGTGTTTAAATATTTTGTACACATGAAGATTAAGGAGATTACCAAATCTTATATGTGCCTTCCCCAATGTATCAGACAATCCCTAAGATCTGGAGGAAATGATACTGGATATTAAGGTATACACTAAGGGGCTTACTTGGCTTACATTGTACTTTAGGATGTTTTTCCTCCCAATGGTATTTTAGAGAAAATTGAGGGCGCTTTTTTAGTAGTGTTGTGATGGGCGATGCCCTTCTGTACATTTGTTCTCTTATTGGTTGATGAATAAAACAGTGATTGGGCAGTAGGCAGGCAGGAAGTATGGGAGGGTTTACTGGAGGAGAAGAATTCTGGGGAGAGAAAGGCAGAGAAAAGCTGCCAAGGGATGTCATACAGCCGAGCATGCTGGAGCATTCTCCAGTAAGATGAGACCACGTGCAAATACCTAAATTAATACAAGTGGGTTAATAATTAAGAGAGAGCTGGCCCGTAAGAAGCCCAAACCATCAGCCAAACAGTTACTTATAATGTAAGTCTCTGTGTATTTATTTGGGGCTAAACAGCTACGGGACCAGGCGGCCCAGAAATTCCGTCTACAAAATGTATGAATTATGTGCCTTCCGTAGTCAAAGCTCCCTTCTGACAATGACTGTGTAAACAGTTGCCAAGCCAGGCTGCAACCACTGCAGGGCAGCAAGGCCATGTGCCTGTGGTGTTCCAGTTGAGGACAAGAAAAGACTAGAGGGCCGTAGCATAGGAAGGTCACCAAGCAAGGAATTTCTGCAGTGGGATGTACTGGAAGACCAGGTTTTGGAAGTCCAGATGTTTTACACATGAGAGGCTACCCAGATTAAGGGCATGGAGGAGAGGTTAACTGCCCCCCCCGGGGGGTGTCTGTGTAACGTGGGTGGTACCATCTGCCACCCCTGGCTGCCCCTTGCCCAGATTATCCTCCCCCCCACACAAGGAGCCCTAGGTACACCTGCTGACTCAGCCTGTGCTTCTGCTCAGCTTTGTGTGTCTGCAGCCTAGAGCCAGTGGAACAAGGTACCCAGTGCTCAGGTGCCTGTGGGTCACCGCTGGGGACATGGCAAGAGCCTGCCTTGCCACCCCACACCAGCCACTGTCAGCGCCACAAGGACCCTAACAGGCTCAGTTGTGCCTTTTGGAAGCCAGCGCAGATGTCACCTATAACTCTGTCCTCTCTTCCTAGGGACAATCTCAATCAGTGGGAGAAGGTGATTCGTGGCGAAGAGACTGCGTTGTGGATTTCTGCCCCCGCAGCTGGCAAAGGGGCTTCGGAGAAACTGCCCATGAAGGTCGATGACTGATGCATCCCGGCGGCCGCGAGGTGTCCGCCCAGCAACTGACTCTCATCCTGCTTCTTTGACGTCGTTCCTTTTGTTTTTTAAGGGGGGCAGGGACCTCTCCCAGAAGGTACCACCATCGCGTATACACGTGAAGCAGATGACCCTCTGCTTGCCGCTCACGCACGCACGCACGCACGCACGCCTGGGACAGTGAGCCATTCAGGCTCCATCCTGTTCAGACATCAGCTGTTGTGTGGCCTCACCCCCGGGACATCAGCGAACCGGCTGTTGCTGGCCCTGGAGGTGGGCAGAGACCACAGCAGGGGTTCCCGCCAGGCTCCTTCCGTGAGGGTGTGGCCAGTCCCCTGGTTCTACATCTCTTAGCAGTGCTGCTGGGAAGCGGCATTGGTTATCGACAGGGCACACGCCCCTGTCCATGGTGAAGTCCACCTGTGACCTCCTCTGTGGCTGTAGCCTGGGGTGCAGGTAACGACCAACCATCACAGCCTGCGGGTGACGAGAGACATTCAAGCAGACTAAAGGTGTGTTCTCTCAGTTCTTTTCCTGGGTATGTAAGCGAGTCAGCTCCGCTGAAGGACGCAGACCACTTCTCTTTGTCAAGGTGACACAGGGTACACGGCATCGGCATCCGAGAACCATGTCTCTCATGTCAAAGAATTAAAACACCCCCCCACCCCCCACCCACCCACCGTAGACTGTAGCCTTTGGCAACTTCAACCAAATCCTTTGCACAAAGAAAATAAAAGTAAGGGTTATAAATACACCCCACCCCCACCCCCCAGCAAGAAAACCTCGGAGTGAAAAAAAAAAAAAAAAGTGAATTTTTAAAAACAATGTCTTTGAAGTGTTACTGTGTGTTATGCCGGGCATTTTAGTTACATCCAAAATGAAAGGTTATTCTAAATGATACCCCATTCCATGGCGTACCTCCCCACCCCCAGGGGCTCCAACAGTGCAGCTCTAGTCCCCTGGAATTTGGATCCCTCCCTTCACTGTGTAGTCAGGCTCAACAGGAGGAGGTGCCGGGTCACCACACTGACCACTCTCCTATTCAGAGAAGCCCACAAAGGACCCCATGCGTGAATAGTCCTCCCGTGTGACTTTTCTGGTGACTTCTGCTGTGTGATGTTTGAGAAGCCAGCAGAGCTCCCCCTAACCCCCACTTCCTGCTGCGTGTTCTAAGGGGTCACCCGGGGTTCATGCTGTGAGGATTTTCAGGGCATTGGCATGGAGACCGGAGAAGAATCTGTGCTTGGTTGCTCTCAAATAGCAAAACAGGTCTTGAGAATTTAGAGGATGATCAGAGAGGAGAATAAGGCACTGCTCTGCTCTGGAATGAATGTTGGAGTGAATTTTGAAGGAATTTTTGAAGTAGACCCTGATACACTCGATACCCTGGGCATTCGCAAAAATCTATTCAGTTTCCTGCTGCATATTAACTTACGCTGTAGCAGAGCTGGCGGAACACAAACCTTGAGGTCATTTAACGTTAACACCCTGTGTTCAGTTTCCTCACAGTCTCCTAACAAGGTGCCATCTCCCCTTCAGGCTACTTGATTTGCTGTTGTTACCATATGAGGTAAAAGGTAATGCACCAGGGCTGTGCACATACCACACACACACACACACACACACACACACACACACACACACACATATGCATGCATGCTGTGGGGACGAACGCACAGATGTATATGTGGTACACACAAGAGACAAAAGGAAAGAAAGAAGCAAGTATTTATAAAGAGAAAAAACCAAAATGCTAGTCATCCCCATACTCCAAAGCAGTGGTTGGGAAAGAGGTAGCTAGCTCTCCATAAGGGCACGGATGGTTCTGTCAGCGTTCTGAAGCAAGTCCACTTCCCTCACACAGACACACGGCGCTAGATCCAGCAAAGAGGCGCTTTTATCCACACAAGCTGATGGATCATTTGCCTTGGAAGCCGGATTGCAGGGAGGGAGAGAGCACTTAGGGTGATTGTCTGATTCTGGCATTTTGAAGGCGTGCATGAATTCCGTCCCCCGTTTACGGAAAAGGAGCCTGGTGGGGGCAATCCTGGTGACTGCCTTAGCATTCCGTGCTTGCTGTGGCATTAAGAGTGTTGTGGGACTCTCCTTCAATTTGACCATATGGTGTGGCCTCTACTGGGAGTGGTTTTGTAGGAATTTACTGGCTGGTCAGTCTCTTGTTTGGATAAAAGATTATAGCTGATTTTTTTTAAAGGCCTCTTTAAATTTTATAAAAAGATCTCTGTAACAATTTTTTCATCATGTGTGAGACTCAAGAGGCATAGATCTGCCTGAAATAGAAGAGGCCAGGGTGTGGCCATGTTTAGTTAATAATTTGGTTTTGGAATTCGTGCAGTCAGGAGTGTTTGTTTTTGTTTTGTATCTTGGCAAATATATTTAGCAGACAAGGACTTGAATTCTGCCTCTAAGGTTTATTCCCCCTCCATCTACCTCCCTTCTCCCACCAAGGATTTCCAGGAATTTCTCATTAGCGACCGATGGTGCGAGCTTAGCGATCAATAATGAGTATAGGCAGGATGCTCCCCTTACCAGAAAGATATTGTTTACAGTCACTGTAATGCGCAGGTTTTAAAGTGACGGTGGCTGTTTAATTTCTTCCCACACCATGTGGTACCTTTTTGTCTGGGGAAATGTCCTGGGATGCATGCGTAGGTGCACGCCAACGCCAACGTGAAGTACTGAGTCTGGGCGCTTGAAGCACAATCCATCAATTAGCTGTCAGCTGATGAGAACGAAGTAGAGGGCATGAGTGGCCTGCTAGCAGTGCAAACCCTTCTGGGTAGTGGTCAGCTTCCCACCTCCCCAGGATGTAGGAAGCCGGAAGAAGAGACGTTGAATCCTAGGTGTCTCACTCCCACACAGGCTCAGTTTGCTCTGACCTGTTCAGTGTCCGGGGGGGGGGGGGGTCCTTCTTTTCAGCATGAGCTTGCATTTTTATTTTACACACGTTCAGTGAACCCTGCTTCCCCACTGTGTTTGTATAAAACTGCTAGATGTGTTAGCACAGCCTGCCTGTTGCTCCGTGATGCCTTAGGGACCTGGACCGACCAGGTCTTTGGACGGGCTTAGCTTGGTGTCTGGCGTTTCTGCTCTTAGGTCTAAATTAAAGGCCCAGCTTCCACAGGACAAAGAATTCACCCTGCCTTGGCCTCCTGCCTTTATTTTAAATGCCGACTTTCTGCCTTTCCCTCGTGCTTGCCTCTTAGGTTTCCCAAGCATAAGGGACAGCATTTAGAGGTGCACACCCCACCCCCTCCGCCCGCCCCGTAGGCCCACCTTTGCTCGGCAGGTTCCTGTCATCATCCCATGTCACTGGCATCTACCCTGGTGACTTTGGGCCCCCCTTGTTGTTGGGTGCTGTGGCTCCAGTTACAGGCATGGCTCTCTTCGGGGTTCCGGCTCCTGGGCTGGCTTTGATTTTGAAAGTCAGCTCTCACAGCATATTCCCAACCCGCGGTTGCTTTGAGCTCTGCTGCTTTTGTGTGTGTGTGTGTGTGTGTGTGTGTGTGTGTGTGTGTGTGTGTGTGTATTATTTACACTAAGTTAAAATTGCAGAGTACAACATTGTTACTGTCTTCAAGCAAAGCCGTACAGTTTGATCAGTGAAAGCGTTTGAGGTATTTTATGCATTGAAAAAAACAGAACAACAACAACAAAAAGACGAAATGCTTAGAGGTGTTCTTGTTGCCAATGAGTCTTACGGAACAACGAAGCCCCTAAGAAAAACAAACAGACCCAGGACCCAAAGAGACACATCCTCCATCCCCTGGCTTGTCCCTGCTCAGTAGTGGAAGCTGGCGCTCTGTGGGCTGTGAGTAGTCGGTCTGCCTGCCATCCGTGTAGTTGTTGTGAGGATTTGTAACTGTAACAAGGCACCTAGGGCTGACCCTGTAGTGGGCACGGGAGAATGCCCAAAGGCCAGAGTGGGACCACAGGGGAATATAGTCTGCCACAGAGGAGGTCGGCACACATCTTAGTGCACCATGCTCGGTCTCCAGGAACTATACATCTGCAGATGCTTGTATCTCCAATGTAAACTAAATTCCCCCAGATGCTTGTTATGCTTGTTTTTTGTCTAGTCCACCTGAGATATCATTCTATCGTGGGCATGCCCACTTCCTCTTTTGGCTGGGCCACCTGGGTCCCCCAGTCCTATGCTGTATCTAGAATAGTGAATTCAAATGACCCGTGGGGATACTGCACTGTATGGAGTCCGTGCTACATTGTTCATTTGCTGTGCAAAAGAAAAGTGCAGTTGATTGACGCACAGAGGTATCGCTGTACAGTGCCCCGCCTAGGTAAAAACTCACGTGCTTGCCCAGAACACTGTGAAACACTTACCAAACTACAAACGCGGCATCTGGATTCCGTCTGAGAAGGACGGCTTTCTCTTCATGAACATAGGAACAAAAGAGATTCTCCATCCACACCCAGCCAAGGCACCCCAGAGGTCACAGCCACAGCCTCTTTGCTGGCCAACACCTGCTGTAACAGAGGCCCAGGCCCCAGCAACTGGTCCCCAGAGGATGGGTCTACAGCCAAAGCCTTAATGGGCTCTCTTTTGGAGGGGGAAGGAAAGAATTTCAAGTTAACAATATCCAACATTATTATAGTGGGCGAGTTAATAAATTCCAAGAAGATGATTTTATATGTATGACCTTAAAAAAATAATCTTTGTAAAGTGCGCAAGTGCAATAATTTAAAGAAGTCTTATCTTTACATTTATAAATTATAAATATTGTACATGTGTGTAATTTTTTCATGTATTCATTTGCAGTCTTTGTATTTAAAAAAACCTTTACTGTTATGTTTGTATAATAGAACAGTAATCATTTATTATAACTCAGACAAGGTGTAAATAAATTCATAATTCAGACAGCCAGAATATATGCAGATATGGGTGTTAACATTGCAAAAATCTCTATCTTTGTTCTACTCATATGCTTAAAGCAGTAAGGAATCTTTTGTGGATATGTAATTATACATATAAAGTATATATATATGTATGATACATGAAATATATTTAGAAATGTTCATAATTTTAATGGATATTCTTTGGTGTGAATAATTGAATACAAAGTTTTTAAATTATCACCTCTCAAGTTTGCTCTCTTTTTCATGGGGAAGGCGGCAAATGCTCTCCGAGAGGCTGCCCATAGGTGGCAGCCAGATCTTCTTCCCAAGGACACTTGCTTGACTGGGAAACAATACCGTCTGCACTGGCTGCAACCTGGTAAATGCTCTGTCTGTGCAGAGAGGGACCAGAGAACAGCCTCTTAGAATGAACATTAAGCCTACTCTTCGATCACGTCAGGGTTTGTCCTTGTTGGTTTTTTTGATGACTTGACACAAGCCAGAGTTATCTGGGAAGAGAAGCCTCAACATAGAGACGTGCCTGTAGGCACGTCTGTGGGGAGTTTTCTTGATTAGTGATGGGTGTGGGAGGGTCCAAGCCACAATGCGCAGCACCATCCTCATGGCAGGTGGTCCTGGGTGTGTAATAAATCAGGCAGAGCAAGCCACGGGGAACAAGCCAACCTGCAGCACCCGTCCACGGCCTCTGCCTCAGCTCCGACCTCCAGGTTCCTGCCCTGCTTGAGTTGCAAGTCCTGAAGAGATGGTGCGTGACCTGAGAGTTGTCGTAAGCTCTCCCTCCCCGAGTTATGTTTTGGTGGTCGTGTTTACGACAGCAATAGAAACCTAAGACAGAGGCGGTCGGCCACGTCTACTCCCGCCCACCTCCTGTCTGGCAGAGGCGGGGTTTCCTCTGTGGTCCCTCACGCACACACACACCCTACTAGTTGCCACTAGCTGGGGTAGGGGTGTGTGGCTGGGAAGGGTGACAGTGGTGTGGGGGATTTGTCTCTGACAACCCAGGTTTCAGCCTTGCGTTATAGAAACGTTGTTAGCGCCCTTGCACGCCAAATCTTCACAGCTGAAAAGCATTATGCAGTCATTTCTCCCACAGTGCTGGCTGGCTCTGGGTCAGGACTCACTGCCCAGGGAGGTCATAGGTCACCAGCAATTCTGCTCCTCCTGGCTTTCCACGGCACAAGTGCAGCCATTGATGCTCAGGAGGGTGCTCCCTGGGAGGACCCAGGTGTGTCTGGTCCTTCCATCCCTCAGCCTTCAGACACGCTCCCCCCCTGCCCAGAGCCACGGGGCCATGTAAAGGGAGAACACAGAACAATATGGATAAACCAGGGTTTTGCTTCCAGAAAAGTCAAGTTTAGTTTTGACAGGTCAGTGCGTTGCAGAGATGATAATTGAATATACTACTTCTTCGACCACTTTGATGGCGTATTAAAACAATAGGAAGGAGTAAAGCTTTTGCTGTATTCTTAAGGACCGGCGTGTATTCGACCCTTGGCATTCTGATTTTGTTACCTTAGGGGTAAAGTGACTGCGCTGACATAAACCATGGCTTGGGAATTCTTTCTGGCTGGAGGGAGGGAGAGAGAGGGTGGAGGTGTGCAAACTGGAGTTCTTCCCTCCCTGCTCAGCCTTGGGCAAGTCAAAGTCAGCAGAACTTTAGAATTTCCACTGGTGACTCAATCACGTATGCAGTAACGCCCACAGCCCAGCTCTGGGCTAGAACCAAGGACTGCAGCGGGGGACACCGGGGGTCACCACAGGGATGAAGTTACCTTTCCTCCCCAGACTCTGCAACAAGTCTGTCCTAGCTGCTTTCAAAAGCCAAAAGAGTGTTCTGTTTTGAAAAGTAAAGCCAGTGAGCAGCCCTCTACTGTTCCCTGGCAGAGGAGAGATGGGAAGTTCTGGCCATCCTGCCACCCTGTGGCAGAGCCCCAGAGCTACGTTGTGTGGGAGGGGCTAAGAAAGTTTATCATGGGGGGAGGGGCTAAGAATGTTTATCACGGGGGAGGGAGGGGCTAAGACTGTCTTGGGAGAGGGAGGGGCTAAGAATGTTTACCGCTCCCGTGGCAACTGCAGCCTTGGCTCAAAGCAAGCCACAAGAAGGGTGATGGCTAAGGACCTGGAACCTGACTGTAAGTCGTCTGCCTCCATTTCTGTGTCTGCCTGGCTTAGTCGATGCTTCTCAGAAGTGGTTTAGAAAGTAAAAGCGTTTCTGGTGGCTGATGGCCAGCTCCTGAGTCAGGTGGCTTGCTTGCACCCGGAGACATGTAGCCCTTTGAGAAGCTCCAAGAAACTGGCCATTTCTGTCCACAGCCGGGACCAGGGCATAGACTGCCGGGCTCCACCCAGACCTCTTTTACTCAATCCAGGGTCTGATCCAGGAAACAGGGCCGGTTTTCCCACCTCAATTAACCCATTTGAGGAAAAAAACAAAAAACAAAAAAAAAAAAAAAAAAAAAAAAAACCCCTCAGGACATGGCCACAGGGCGACCTCATCTAGACAATTTCCCCCGGAGGGTTCCTTCCAGGGTTCTGTTGACAAAGCAACCACCCCATGGTGTCTGTGTTATACAGTAGAGTGTGTGTGGTGGTGTATGGTGTGCATGTGTGTGTTGGCAAGTACACTGCCCTGGAGGGACGGAGGGACTCACTACACTAGTAGAGGGTTAGTTTGCTTTCTTTAAAGCTGAGCTTGAGAAACACTCTGTACCATGCCACTGTCTTGAAACATGACTTACAGGTCACAGAGAGGCAAGCAGTTTCTGAATGCATAGTTTATTGTTCGTACATCGCAAAAGAGGGAAACAACTCACATCAAATAAACCTCACAACTTAACTGTTTAGCTCTAAGTGGTGACACGGATATCCAGAGGCGGAGGCCACTCATGGACAGTTGGTAGAGGTGACAGCACCAGGTAGGTTACCAGTCTGAAGGCCCAGTGCCCAGCAAACCCCGAGTCCACAACCACCGTGGGAAGGACCGTGGGTGGATGCTGGCTCCATTACGGACGTTCCTTGAGGGCATCAGATGCTAACTGACACAGCCTCAGTCAGGTCAGCCGAGGTGTAGGACACTGAGCACCCACATCATCTGACTCAGGCCATCTGCAAGAGACCTGGGGAGGCGCGGTCACGCAAAGGGTCTCTTGTTGACAGAGTATGTGCATGGCTCTTGTGAGCTGAGGAACATTGGAGACGGGTGTCTTGGAGCCTGGTTTTTATGACTCTTCTGAGGCTTTTCTTGTCTTTGCAGACCTGTTGGCCTCTGCTCTGATTGCTGTGGGTCATCTGAGCTCAGGGTGTTCCTGGTTACATTCAGAGGCCCTCTTCTGATATCAGGAGAGTGAGCAGGAAGACATTCATTTTGTGTATTTTGTTCTGTGTGTGCATTACAGTTGTGTGGAGAAATTCCAGTACTTGTCCCTTGGAGCTCTCTTCCCCCGACCCAGCTGTAGAATCCCCATGCTCTCAGGGTTGATCAAACAAGGTTCTCATCACTCTCCGGTGTGCAGAGCCCATGCCTTGACCCCAGGTGTGGGCGGTGCATGATTTCCTCCTATGCTTGGCTGATCTCCGGCAGTTTCCTCTTCACTCTAGTGGTGGTCCGTTAAGTGTTTCATTCCCAACACTCTCCGCCAAGCTCGGCACTCTGGCCGCGCGTGTGAGACACAATTGCCGGTTCATAATCCTCCCCCCTGTGACCACAGTTCTGTGTTCACAGTGTCCCAAGCTCCTACTCTACCTGTCTCGCCCAAACGCTGCTCATGGGAATGGAGTCAGGATCTGGCTAGGTTGAGTAAAACTGTCTGGATCGAACTAATGTTCGCGTTACATGCGGAGATGGTTGGAGGTGCAGATGGAGAGCTAGTGTCTCTAGTTAGGAGGCTGGCGACCGTGCACAGGCCGTAAAGACCGTGGTAGGCCCTGGAAGATCCTGGCACAGAGGATGGTATTTGGATTTGTCAACTATCTTAGCAGGTTGGGTAAAACACATGCCAGGCCAGCAATTCTCAACCTGTGGGTCAAGAGTCGTTCGGGGTTGAATGACCTTTTTACAGGGGTGGCCTAGGGCCACCTGCCTATCAGGTATTTACAATTCACAGCAGTAGAAAAATCACAGTTCTGTAGTAGCAACAAAAATAAATTTTACGGTTGGGGTTACCACAACATGAGGTACTGTATTCATTAGGAATGTTGAGCGTTAGGAATGTTGAGAAACCACTATGCTAAGTAGAGAGAACTCGCTGGCAGCTTTGAGTCCTTTCTGGACATAAACAAAAAGGGTGCCTCCTTGGCATCGCGGGTGGCTCCGTGACACCGCGGCTGGTACCTTCCCACTCCCATTTTTTGCAGTGGGTGTCGAGTACCATTCCTACTTTTTGTGTGCGTGCTTTTGATAAGATGCAGGGCTATCGTAGTAGTTTTGGAAGTCACACTGATGTTTTGTCAGTCAATGAGTGTATTTCTGTGGAGCATTCCCACAAGTATCTGTCAACGCCCAGCCATGAAGGAAAAAGTACGGCTTGTTTTCATACTGGGCAGGGCTCGGGTAGTTGGGATGTGGGTTTGACCGCATCCCTAAAGGGACAGGATTCTGAAATGGCCAGCACTTCTTAAGTGTCTAGTGTGACCCCAGGGAAGCGTTGTTGAAGGTTCCATGTCCAAAGGTCCTAAGACAACTCAGCATCCTGTGAGCCTATTAACTAGAGGCAAAGGGCGGGAAGCCATTGATCAGTCAGAGATGCAGGGCTTCAGAGTCAAAAATAGCTGGTCTCCAGAAGGGAGAGCCACCCAGACCACTGCACTTGTGTGTGTGTGTGTGTGTGTGTGTGTGTGTGTGTGTGTGTGTGTCGGGTGGGGGGTTGGGGGGTTGGTCTGTCCTTACTGATTCAGGAAGTGGATTCTGACAATGAGGACAAGTCTGGGCGAGTGAGGCTTCCAGCCCTGGTTTCCTGTCCCTTGACTGAGGCCAGCACACAGGACTGGTAGCTTGCAGCTCTGTGGGCTTGGCTGGCATACTCTGGTTACTATGAAGCAGGGGAGGGTCACTGCTGGCCTCCTGTCTTCCCCAGGATTTGTCCCGAGCTTTCAGGCAGGCGATGCTTTTAGACCATGGCTGACATGCTCACGGGACCGCACCAGCATAGGTCCTGAAAGTCCTCATTCACTCAGCCTCCCTTTGCTCGGTCACCATGCAAACAGGAGAGCAGTCCAATGCCCGGTGAAGACGCTGTGCTTAGCAACCAGCTCTGCCACTGGAAGGCTGGACCTTTAGAAGGACCTCATAAGCACCCCAGCATCCCTCCTCATGATGGCCATGCAACCGCTTACAGAGCACTCCCAGCTGTGACCAGTGATGGCTATAGGTACATACTGGTCTGTTTAGACTGAGGCTTCTCAAGTCGAGGGCAGGCCTGACCCACCACCTGGAGCCTGTATGGACAAGGGAAGCCCCAGCCTTTCTGATGGGGTGATGTTTGGTTATTTATCCCCCACAACCTTCTTAAGAGGTTCTGCCGCTGTTTTTACAGATATCTTTGGACTCTGCTCTCATGGAAAGTGATGCCTTCCATATACCTGGCCCCACTTGAATATTTATCAGGGGACACAAAGCAAGAGAAGGGGCTGCTGGGGGACTGTTTTACTAACCGTAGTGTGTGAGGTGGTTAGCCTTCTATTCAGAGGGAGAGCATTAGTTCAGAGAGATGAGATGGTAGACCAGCATCCACATACTTCGGACTGTATGGAGTCAACGGCTCCCCACTGGTCCTGGGAGCTCCCCAGGGCATGGTGTCTTAGATCGGATAATCAGGGTCCTCCCACCGAGGCATGAGGAGCAGAATACATCAGCACAGTCACAGGAGAGGGAAAGCAGAAGTCAGCCAGTCTCTAGGGGCTGGGTGCGTGGACCTTGACGTTATTTAGACCACTGGTTCTCAACCTTCCTGGTGCTGGGACCCTTTAATTCAGTTTCTCATGTTGTGGTGACCCCCAGCCATAAAATTATTTTCCTTACTACTTCATAACTGTAATTTTGCTACTGTTAAGAACCGTATTGCAGGAGCCGGGCGTTGGTGGCGCACGCCTTTGGTCCCAGCACTCGTGAGGCAGAGGCAGACGGATCTCTGTGACTTTGAGGTCAACCTGGTCTACAGAGCTAGTTCCAGGACAGGTTCCAAAACAATACAGAGAAACCCTGTCTCAAAAAACAAAACAAAACAACAACAACAAAAAAGAAGTCTTTAAAAAAAGGAATCGTAATGTAACTATCTGTGTTTTCTGATGGTCTTAGGCCACCCCTGTGAAAGAATCATTCTACCCCTAGGGGTCACACATGACTCACAGGCTGAGACACACTGCTTTGGTACCAATTGACAGAATCAAACAAGTAAACCCTGTTGACTCCCTGGCATGTCTTATGAAGCGCACTTCAAAGGCGACCTTCCATCCTTAACAATGAAAATGAGAATCCCGTGTAAAACTTGCCTTCTAGGGATTTAGAACCCTGCGTCAGGTTAAAGCGTTCCATCTCTTTCCTGGTTGGCGGCTCCCTCCTTTTATTTTATTGCCATAAAAATACCTTGACAAAAGCAAGACTCGGGGCTAGAGAGGTTTCTGGGCTTAATAATTCCTGGTGTCAGGGACTTCAAACAGCTGGTCGCACCAACACAGCCCAGAGCAGAGGAGAAAGAATCACACACACGTTTCAAGTCCTTTGCATTTCCTCTATGCCTACAGAGTCTGGGACCCCAAGCGTGGGAGGTGGTGTTTGCCTGTAGTGGGCTTGTTTTTCCCTTAGCGGTAAAGGTCATGAAAACCACCTGAGACAGGTAAGACTTCACAGCCAGCCCGGTCTGGACTGTCCCTTCTTGAGGCACCTTTACAGCTGACTGCATCACACTGACAGTTAAAACCACCCAGCACGCTGACCTTGAAGGGTTGGGAGTTCTATGCCCGTAAGAGCACCTGGGCCACACCCACATGTCCTTAACCCTCAGCTACGCCACAGGTGGCTTTATAAGGACTCAACTGGGTGCCATTTTCTCGTCCTCCTTGAGGACCCCTCTTTTCCACAACAGACAGACAGGCATGCAATAGGGCGCTTTCCCACGGGCTCAGAGGGGGTGCCTAACCATTGTGTTTTCTCTCCTGAGCAGTTTACCTGAAGGGGAGGGACTGTGAGACACACAAAGTTAAGACGCTCTGCAACCTGCGGGAGCTTCTGACCCGACTCCAGAAGGACCACAGAGATGACATCTATGTCTACACCTCTGGACACCTGAACCCCAACAAGCTTTACAAGCCACCCCAGACCATTGCCCAGCACTGGCGCAATGCAAACAGGCCGAAGAAGGGAACCACAGTCTTCCCACCGTCTGTGCCCAGCGTCGGACGGACAGCAGAGATGAAAGATGAATGGGTTTACTTCACAATCAACACAGCTCTGCATCCCGACGACACTCACGACACTCAGCTGTTCAGGTATTTGAACCCATGCACGATCACTTCCCGCGCTTCCAAAGAGGGTTCGAAGCGCTTCCCACAGGAGGAGGCAGAGGAGGAGGTATGGCAAAGGCCTGCGCTTTCTATGGAAAGATATAGAAAGGAAGAGCTCAGGCTGCCAGACATGAAAGTGCTCAAGTACCCAGAGGCAGCATCCAGCCGTGAATGCTCCAGGTCTGCCCCAGGCAAGGATGTGTATGGCTACATCAGCTCCTACCTAGCTGGTATAACAAAAGCCGACAGGTACAAGAAGTTCCTGAGTTTCCAAAAGGAAGTGTTGGCAAAGGAAGATGTCCTGAAGAACAATTTCACAGGGGAGAAGGTTGCCGTGAGCCACGAGAACAAACTGAAGGAGGTAAGAGGGGCAGGACTCTGTGTGAAGCTCTCAACGGGGAGCTGAAATAAGAGACCCTCATGGGCACAGACTCAGCCCGAGGTTCCTCCATTACTTGTCCAGGCAGAAAGCAGCGATGTGGCTGGATAAGAATTGAGGGGGTGGACATTTGACGAGGGTGAGCTGCAGGTGAATTCATGATCAGCAGTATTCAGGGATGGATGAGGATGTCTTTGGAATTACTGTATCCATCTTACCTCCTATAGAAGATGGTCTGGGAGAGCCTGGGCAAGAGTAATGATGAAAGACAGGTGCCATTGGGTTAGCAATGGCGGGGACCGTGATGTGTGAAATGGCTGTGGGCTGAGAGGAAGGAGCCGTCTGTGAGTCAGAGAGCCAGAGCCCAGGGTTTGGGATGAGAAGGCTGTGAGAAAGGGGAGGGGTTTAAGTGTGTATGTGTGTGTGTGTGAGTGTGTGTGAGTGTGTGTGAGTGTGTGTGTATGACTGTGTGCAGTGCACACGTGTGTGTGCATATGTGAGTGTGTGCACACGTGTGTGCGTGTGTGCGTGTGTGCGTGTGTGAGTGAGTGTGAGTGAGTGTGTGTGCACATGTGTGTGAGTGTGGAGAGTGTATGTGTATGAGTGTGTATGAGTATGTATGTGTGTATGCATGTGTGCGAGTGTGAGTGTATTTTGTGAGTGAGTGTGTATGAGTGCATGTGTGTGTGAGTGTGAGTATGTGTGCACATGTGTGTGAGTGTGAGTATGAGTGTGTGTGCACATGTGTGTGAGTGAGTGTATGTGTGTGTATGTGTGTGTGTTGGAGGGGGGATGGTTGGGGTCAGAGGAAGAACTTCTGAGTGCAGGAGGCAGGGGTGGATGAAGAAGATGAGACAGAAGCAAACACACAGGCTCTTAGCAAGTGTGGAAGGCAGGCAGGATCTCCCTGCTTTGCCAGCCACTCTGCAGAGCCCAGCATCTGGGTTGGGTTTTCCAACTGACCCCTCAGAAGGGCCAAGTGTCCTGAGGGGAACATGGGGACCCAAGCCACTGCTTCAGGGGCTGAGTCTGTGTCTTGCTTCTAGGAGCTCAAGAAGATATGCACCTGCAACCCTCAGCAGTTCAACAGGCTGCAGGTCTTTGGGACAATCTTTGAGGATATTTGCAACAGCTCTTTGATCTTCGGGGACCTCCTGAAGGAGGTTAAGGTAAAGACGAACACCCCCCCCTCCCAGAATGGGTAAGACCTACACAGGAGAAGCTGCATGCTTCTCAAGCCTCATAGCACCGACACGGTCCCTGTTCCACAGAGGAAGTCATTGGTCAGAGACTCAAGAGACTCTGCATCTCCTGTCCTGTCAGCCATGTGAGCTGTGTGGAGCAGGCAGAGTCGACCTGCTGCTTAGACCTGGGACTTCCCACCTGTGCGTCCCAAATCCCGAGTTGAGTTTGGAACAGCATGGCACACACATTCAGAACTGGGCACTCAGAAGTTACGAGACGTTAAGTTGCTTAAAGCCTGTGTTAACTCTAGGTTGCTGTGAGGACAGGGAAGACAGGGAAGAAAGTCTTTATTTTAGCCTGCAGTTCCAGGGGGATAGACTCCATCATGGTGGGAAGTCACAGCAGCAGGCAGGAAAAGCATGGGCAATAGCAGGAAGCTGGCCGATTGCATTTTCATCTGTGCACAGGATGCGTACTTAAAGCCTGCCTTCAGTGGCTCAGTGCCTTCGGCAAGTAGTCACCATTAAAAGCTCCATAACCTTCCTCAAGGAACCACCAACTCAGGCCCTTGTGTTCAAATACCTATGGGGACGATTCCCATGTCAGCCACCACAAAGCCTGATGTTCTGTGCTCTGATTTCCCTAATGGCCAGGGAGGGGTGGGTCCTGATGGCAGTGACCACTTGTCTCCCGGTGCCCTTATCACCTCTCCTTCAGCAGATCACAGAACCATGTGGCGGGGAATAATATTGTCAGATGCGTGTCAAGGTGTTTTTCCCACAGCATCTTGCACTGATCAGTAGCTGGTAGTCAAAATAGGATTCAATGTCAGTTCAGTTTTATAAATGTGTGTGTATGTGTGTCTTAGCATGTTGCAGAAACAGTTTATGCACTTTGTGTGGAGTGGTTCAAGTGACAGCCTTAATATCTAAGGGGTTTATGTATGCAAAAAAAAAAAAAAACCCTTGGGGCTGGGGGCATAGTTTAGTGGGTAAAGTGCTTGTAGGACCTGAGTTTCAAACCCCAGCACCCACATAAAATCTGGGTGTTTGTGATATATATCTGAACCCACTGCTGGGACAGAGCAGAAACACAGGAGGATCCCAGACTTCCTGGCCAGCAGATCTAGCCAATCATTGAGTAAGGACAAGGCAGGCAGGGATAGAGAAGATGCCTGATGTCAGGCACATGTGGGTTCCTATGCACATGTATGTACACATTCGTGCACCCCACATCCATACACAAGCCCTTACATCTGGTGCCTGGTGACATTGCTTTGTGTGTTTGTGTTTGTGTTTGCACAGGATGAATATGAACTCTACATGGCAGCTCTTCTGGACTCACAGCCCACAGCACAGTATAAGGTAATAACCACCAGGAAGGGCACAGACTGAGTCTGTGCTCACGGCTTCCTACTTCAGGAGCAGAAGGATGCTCTCAACCTGGGAAGCTCCGTTTGTTCCTCTGTTGATGGGGGATGTCCTTCTGTATATATGTTTCTCTTATTGGTCGATGAATAAAATACTAATTGTCCAGTAGCCAGGTAGGAAGTATGGGTAAGGCTGCCAGACAAGGAGGATTCTGGGGAGAGGACCAGGACAGGGGCCATCATAGAGATGAAATGTAGCTGTTGAGGGAGCAAGTGGCCTGGGAATTCTCTGGTAAGGTAAGACTATGTGGACATACTCAGATTAATAAAAGTGGGTTAATAATTAAGAGAGAGCTAGCCGATAAGAAGCCTGAGCCATCGGCCAAACAGTGTATAATTAATATAAGCGTCAATGTGTTTATTTGGGGCTAAACGGCTGTGGGACCAGGTGGGACAGAAACTTTGTCTACACCCTGTCATGAAAAATAGCTGGTACTTTTTAAAGGGGGTGGTATTTATATCAAGCTAAAGTATATGGGTGAAGATCTTTCCTGTACATTAACACAGCACTGGGTCACTCCCAAACCACAGCCACCACACATAACTAGGCCCATTGATGGCACTGCAGTGATTATCAGAAAATCGCATCCCATTGTTACCCTGAGTGGGTGACTGTCACAGCACGTGTACCCAGGCCACAACACAGATGACTGAGGACAGCTTTCCATCTAGCCTCTGCAGAATCAGTGGGCCAGCATGCCCTGCTTTAGTAAGAAATGCCCCATGGGAATGACAGACAGCTCCAAAAGCTCCAAGAAGCTGGAACCTTGAGATGAGTAACTACAATTTCTTTATATGTATAATATATGTGCCCTTAATTATGTACACTTAATTATTTATGTACACTTAAATATATATCTAAATTAGATCTCAATAAAACAGCCCCTGTGGGCATTGCAGTCTGTGTTCTGAGACTTTTCCATGCTGTGTAATAATGACATTTGAGGGTCTGGAGAGGCAGCTCGGCAGTCAGGAGCACCAGCTACTCTTGCAGAGGCTCAAGGTTTGGTTCCTGGCATCCACATACATGGTGGCTCACAACATCTGTGACTCCAGTGCCAGGGGATCTAACGCCCTGTTCTGACCACGAGGAGTGCATGTGGTAAAACAACATACATGTAGGCAAAGCACCCATGCACATAAAGACTAAATCAATCAATCAATCAATCATCAGCTGGGTGGTGGTGGTAGCACATGCCTTTAATACCAGCACTCGGGAGGCAGAGGCAGGCAGATCTCTGTGAGTTCGAGGCCAGCCTGATCTTTCAGGACAGGCTGCAAAGCTACACAGAGAAACTGTCTTGGAAAAAAAAATCAATCAAATCAGCATTTGTAAGTAAAATCAGGACTGAGCAGTGCCTGCAGTGACTCTGTTCTTACTGGAGCAGAAAAGGGAAATCCATGCCACATCTCAATCAGACCCTAAATGAGGGAACTGGCAGGCTTCCAGGGCTCTCTCCGAAATTCCTGAAGATGATCACCTATGGGGCAAAGGCCTTTGTCACCCAGCAAAAGCCCTGGTGTCTTTATGCCCACATAAAGACTGGTAACTTACATTGCCTGTCACATGTTTGAAAACGGTTGATAATGATGTACAATAGCCCTTTATTTTTTGTTTCCCCAACCCAGCTCCACAAGGAAACCACGAAAGGCCCTGCCATTCCTAAGAATCCTTAGGAAGATAAAATTTTGAACTATTGTGAAAATTACTTTATTCGGAGCTTTGTAATTATTTCCCCCTCCCTCCTGTCCTCTGGATGCTCTCATTTTGTTGGAATTCCCAGGGCCACACATGAGTAACTGACCAGAGAACCCTACACTCTCTCTGACCACCTTACCCTTTGCGTGCCTTGTTCCTGGCAGCGGCTCCTGGCTGAAGTCAAGGGGTTGGAGAAGAGCCCTGTGCACAGCACAGACATTGACCAAGCTAAGGAGCAGCTGAGGAAGCTTGAGCAGGCAGCGCTGGCTGCCCTGGAGCACAATGACAGGTAAGGCACCAGCTGCATGGCTCTGATGAAGTTTCCATCCATACTTAACATGACAATACTGTGATGAGCAGTGTTGCTGGGTCTTAATGGCTGGGTGAGAAGGCCTCTAAGTCAATAACACAGACCTCAGGAGTCAGGTGAAAGGAAAAGCAGACGCCTTTTTCTCAATAGATACAGACTTACTCTCAATAGATACAGACTTACTCTCAATAGATACAGACTTACTCTCAATAGATACAGACTTACTCTCAATAGATACAGACTTACTCTCAATAGATACAGACTTACTCTCAATAGATACAGACTTACTCTCAATAGATACAGACTTACTCTCAATAGATACAGACTTACTCTCAATAGATACAGACTTACTCTCAATAGATAAAGATTTACTCTCAATAGATAAAGATTTACTCTCAATAGGTACAAACTTACTCTTCCAGCACCCAGGCATCATGATCTGTTGACATTGCCTAGTTGACTCTCATAGGCTAGGCAAGATCTTGACCTATGACAGCTCCTGTTGCTAGGGCCTCAGGCAGAATTGTGCGGCCACCCCTTGATGTCTGGACAGGATCAAGACTACTGACAGCAACTGTCAAAACTTCAGGTTGGCTCATCTCTCAGCCATCTTCAATTTTCTGCCTTGTTGTCATATATGGCATGCTACTTGTATCAATGTTGTCTTCTTAACCTGGACTCATCACAAGCAACTGTATGTATGGCTATGGTGCTAGACCAAATACAGTACCTCAAGGCAAGCATCTTGGAGGTCTCTGAAAGACGCTTCTTGAAGACTTATTGATGGGACCAGAGAGAGCCATCTGGTTTTATTAACTTAGAAGACCCTGTAACTTCTCTGTGGGGGTTTGAAAGAAAACGCCCCCCCCCCCTGAAGGGAGCAGCACTATTAGGAGGTGTGGCCTTGTTGGAGTAGATGTGGTATTGTTACTATGGTGGCGGGCTTTGAGGTCTCACATACAGTGAGACAGACCACTTCCTTTTGACTGCGAGTCAAGATGTAGGACACTCTGCTACTTCTCCAGCACCATGACAGCCTTGGAGCCACCGCGTCACACCGTGATGAAAATGGCCTAAACCTCTGAAACTGTAAGCCCCCATTAAGTGTCTTTCCTTGGCCATGGTGTCTTCTCGCACCAATGGAAACCCTAATGAATACACCCTCTGATCAGTTGTACAGAGTGAAGTCACCATTGGGCAGAGCATGTTATTTGTAAGGATTAACATTGACTTTGCTATCAATGTTAGAGGAGAAAGCTCTCGTCTTTCCCTGTAGTCTGGTCCAAGTTCTCTCATGCCGTGGCTGTCATAAACTCCTGCTCTCCCTAAGGACATGGAGGATTGGCTGTGGATAATCGTATGTGCCTTGCAGAAGGTACTTCTTCACGTTTAGGCCTAGTGTATAAGTCCCACTGCAGCCATGTGTCCCTCACATACAACTTTAAACATCTGTAGTACAGCATTTATAGTCTGATTTGTGTCCCCTTTATCCCATGACAATAGTCACTGTCTTAGAGGCCCTGGCTGTAGGAGTCAGGTCTAGGTGTGTGGTTCTGTCAGACCAGGAGAGGAAATCCAGACAAGTCATAAAATAATGGAAGTTTCCTGGTTATGAATCCCAGAGAAGGAGCAACACAACCTTCAGGGCCAGTAGGAGGAGTCAAACGTTGTAGACCTTGTTACACTTGGTGTAACACAGAGAAAAACGAGGAAGGCAGGACCTGCTTTAGAGTGTCATATACCATGTGTCTAGCTTGGGCTCTGAGCCTGTCTTCCATGCTAAGGGGGCCACATTGCCTGGGGAGTCACTGTGGTCCACACTACATGTGTGGTCTATATGATGAATCTAGCTGTCCCCTGTGAGACGGTCCCAGAAGGTTGTAGGGACAGCAGGCGCTGGAAAGAGTCAAGGTCTTACGATTCTGCCTGGAGGCTGGTGTCTGAGAGTTAGACTCACACTCAGAAATTTAAGACTGCATTGCAAAAGTATCCAAAGTTAAAAAACAAAAACAGACCCATCACCGCTATCCACTGTCTATCCTCCTGCTTCAGTACTTTATGAGAGTAGAATTGGAGGTACCAGGGAGAGAAGCGTGGAGCCAGAGGCTGAGAGCCAAATAAATCAACCGTGTGAGGAGGAGGACGCCTCCACCAAGCACAGGGACTCAGTGCACCTGATAGATGGAGAGTCCTGGCCATGCTGTTGGCAGTGATAACCGTGTTGATGCAGAGGAAGAGGGGGAGGGAGAGGAGAATGACAGTTAGGGTAGTGGTGGTGATGCAGAGATGATTACGGGGAAGGAGGAGCATAGTGATGATGGTGGTGATAATGATGGAGACGGTGATGACTATCAGGACGGTGATGATGATGGTGATGGTGAGAATGAAGATGATGGTGGGGATGGTGATGATGGTGATGATGATGGTGATGATGATGATGATGGTGGTGATGGTGATGATGATGATGGTGATGGTGAAAATGAAGATGATGGTGGGGATGGTGATGATGGTGATGATGATGATGGTGATGATATGATGATGGTGATGATGATGGTGATGATGGTGGTGATGGTGATGATGGTGATGATGATGATGGTGATGATGGTGATGGTGATGATGGTGATGGTGATGATGGTGATGATATGATGATGGTGATGATGGTGGTGATGATGATGATGATGGTGGTGATGGTGATGATGATGATGGTGATGGTGAAAATGAAGATGATGGTGGGGATGGTGATGATGGTGATGATGATGATGGTGATGATATGATGATGGTGATGATGATGGTGATGATGGTGGTGATGAGGATGATGGTGATGATGATGATGGTGATGATGGTGATGGTGATGATGGTGATGGTGATGATGATGATATTGGTCATGTGGATAATAATTGTAAAGCAGACCTCCGAGCTCAATTAGATGTTCTCGGAAGAGTACTTACTTCAAGACATGGAAACAACCACAAGGCAGAAATGTAAAAGCTATGCATAGAGCTCAGACAACAACCACAGCAGCCAACAGATGGCACAACTAGCCAAGGGAATAGTTGGCAGAGTACAAAATAGATGTTAGGCTGAAACTGAACCATGCCATGCCCAAGTAAGAATGGTTTTGAGTGAGAATACAAGGCCCATAGCGGGGCAAGGCAGAAAAACAATCAAGGGACTGACACTTGAGATAAGGGGGGAAGTTGGTAGGAATGGCAGGTATGTAAATAAGATCCAACTCACATATAGCTAAAGTTTGGTAGGAAGAAATGCAGAACAACAGAACAAAAATTACCTAACTTGTGCATGGTGGAGACACAACATCCCCCAGGGAAGCTGGCTAGCTAGACAAGCCAAGTGCTTAGCTTTGGATTCAAGTGAGAGACCCTGTCTCAAAGTATAAGGTAGAGGGCAATTGAGGAGGATGCTTGACACCCACCCCTGCACCTCCACAGGTATGTGTGTGACAGGCACATTCCCACTGGCTTATGCAAGTGTGTCCACACTCGTGCACACACACACACACACACACACACACACACACACACACACACATGCATGTGTTATTATAAAATGGGCAGAAGCATCAAGGCCCATGCAAGGTTTGCTGTTTCGTGACTGCTTTCCTATTGATTTTTAGACTCAGAAATGAACTGGAGGCAGAGACCCTGTTGCTGCAGTCTGCTAAAGAAAAATCGGGTGAGTGCCTTCCGGAACCACCTGCTGCCCTTCTAGTACCCTGCCCACGGCTCGATCCATCTCCTTCTCCTCCCTCGTCACATGCCTTCCTAATTCCTGTTCACACTTCACCCCAAGTTTCTCAGTCCTTCTCCTTAACCCTGAACCCCAAACTGGGTGATGCTCACATGGGTCTCCCCAGGGCACTGCCCCCCACATCATTTTCATGGAGTTCCTTACCAGCATGCGCTATGAGTAAGCTCACCTGTCCCTTTCTACCTAGCCCAGAGTCTGCAAAACTAGGCACCCACTGGCACTTACAGTGTATGTGACTACATGGAGAAAAATACCCTATTTCTTTGGAAGAGTTCATTTTTTATTAATATGCTTGAGGTACACTACAGTTATATGTTATGTGATATGCATATACATACGTAGTTACACTATCATTATATGTAACTTAATATGACATCATTTCACACAACACTGTTACCAAGTGTTGAGATACTAAACATAGTAACTGCTTTCAAAACTACTTCCAGAATCCTCAGTTAGAAGCACAAACGAGGAGGACAAACTCACCCTGATAGAGAAGGTTGAGAGGAGGAGATGTGAAATTCTGGAAAAATGGGACGAAATTAAAGCGCTTGAAAAACACATCAAGGAAACGTTGGTGCATTCCAGAGTGTCGGACATCACTGAGAATGGGATTAAAAGTGTAGAGGTATGCAAATCATCCATGTAAATAGTCATATTTGTTCCACTTAAAGATGTCCACTTGAGACAATTTGATCCCGCGACAGGGTAAACATCTAATGAAGCTTAATCCAAAACAGGTTTTCCCTTCAAAAGGTGTAGTGTGCCTACATAGAGCAACGGAGGCTTACCTAGAACCAGGACAAAAGGTGACATGAGTCTGTGGAGCCCTGTGAGGGCTTGGCACATGCAGATACTGCACTGAGTTTGTGTGAAATGTGACCTACCTCTTGGGGCTAGTCCCATGTATTTCAGTGCTGCTGTGTGTTTGTTTGTTTTTAATGCATAATTTCAAAGTGCACTGCAGGGCAGTATTGCTCTAAACCATGGGTGGGGGTGGGGGTTATCATCCCTCTGTTGCTGTAACTGCTCAGTGTAGCCACTTGGGAGATCAAGATGGTGTGTCCTTTGCACACATGCCGTGTGTGTACAGGCGCTTACAGAGGCAGGCCGGAAGAGATGTTGCATTCCCAGGATCTGGAATTACAGGGGGCTGTCTGACATGAGCATTGGAAACTCTGGGGGCTCTCGAGGAGGGGAAGGGGAAGGTCTGTGTGAGCCTCTGGAGGTGAGCAGGGTGGGGTGTGTCTGTGAGAGAGAGGAAGGGAGGGAGAGATAAGATGCTGCTGCATGTGGTCTGTTAGAGAGATGGGGATGACACCAGAGGGCCTGGATGGACTTGGAGGCCCAGAGGGATAAGTGAAGATCTACAGTTGTCTTCCTGCTTCCCCGAACGGAGTAAATGTCTGTTTAAAAATGATGTGGTACCGAGCATGCTTAAATTTAAGACCACACCAGTCTGGTAGCACATTTTTTAAAAATGTGATAAATAGAAAGTCTTTGCCATTTCTTTTAAAATTCTTCCCTTTAAAACCGTTTGCTTTCAGAACGAAGCTATAAAATTGGAAACAACGAACAGAATCTTAAGGAAGAAAATCAAAGTAAGATGTCTTTTTTTTTAAATATGCAAACCAGTGTTTATCTGTACAAACATCCCCTGAAGTGCCTGCTCGTCTGTGTCATAAGTCACACACACACGCACACACACGCACACACACACACAAGCTTGCTTTCTTTGTGTGGGATAGCCTTCTGCCACATTGGCTGCGCAGACCTCAGCCCGGAGGAGCTGGGCTTCCCTAAGCCTTAGTGAAAACACACTACATTGTGACAATGGAGTTCTCTAACTCCAATAACTGCTTCTCTAACTCACCACACAGCTCACCGCTCAGAATAACAACAAACGATGCAGCCGGCGACAAGGTGTGGAACGCTCCAAGTGCACACGGACAACTGTCACTTAGAACTTAGTTTCTGCATACCCGGACTGCGTGTGCCTCTGAGCTGTGCGTGTGTGCTGTGGTTGGAGTGCTATCTATACGTGGCTGGGCCACCCGTTCTGACTCCATCTTATTGTCATTATATGTGACCAAGATCGAGATGCTCTAGATGACTGAAGGATTTGTTTTTCAAATCCCTGCAGGTTATCGAAAACCATGTCAAGCAACTCATAAAGAACAGTAAGATGGGCGATGAAGAGAGGCTGTAAGCATTCTAAAATATGCATGTGTGTGGTATATGCACATGAATGTGCTTTTCCTTATCCATGGGCACACATGTGTGCAGGTTAACATGGGGATTCTTTCTCATTTACTCTCCATCTTATTCATTGAGGCAGAGTCTCTCATAGGAACCCAGATCACTGATATGGTTAGTCTCGTTAAGCAGCTTACCCCAGGGATCCCATCTCCACCTGAGTGTTGGATTACACTTGGGTTGCCTCCATGTCCACCTGGCTTTTACATTCTGGGGATATGAACTCTGGTCCTTATGTTTGCAAGACATGTGCCCTAAACCAGATACTGTGCTAGAAAGAGCTTGAGTGATGCCATTCATGCTTTGGCAGCCCTCCTGAATGCTAGCTAAATATCGGGGTAAATTCTCAGGGGTGGAGACCAGGCTTTGGATGGCACTCTTTGCTCAAATTTAATGGTGATGAAAACTTGTAAGAGCTCCTAGGCACAGCTAAACTTTCAAATTAAAAAGTAAACGGGGATCAAGGAAGAGCTCAGCAGGAAAATGTACTCATCCCTAAGGCTGATTAACCTGAGTTTGATCCGGACCCCTACATGGCAGAAGACAACTGACCCCCACGAGTTGTCCTCTGACCTCCACACGCGCACCGTGGCCTGGGCCCAGCAGCCCCTCCCTGACCCCTTGCTGTATATGCGTGCCCGTTTCTTCATGGGGTCCCACTGTGGCTTTTTGTTTAAAGACATTGGGTCTGTGTTCCAAGGCAAAGGACAGACAAGCAGCTGCTTTCTCTCTGAGGCTTATTCATGTATTTTGCCTGATGTAGAAAGGTGACCCTTTCCAGGGACTTCCTCACACGGCTCACCGGCTAGCATTAGGTCCCAACACAGCCTGCCTGCAGTTGTAGAGAAGGTCAGAAAAGAGAGGCCACACTGTAGAGGGATGTGAGGTGAGAGCCTGGATCGCCCCCTCTCTCGGTTCCTTGCCATGGGGGAAGTCAGCAACGGACAGTAACGGTTGCACCACCCGCACTGGGAAGCTGCTTGGCCACTCTGGCCAATAGAAGTGCTAGAAGGCATGGCGTCTGCACAGTATTGTTAGCCCAGAAGATGCTGTAGGGAGGTACCACTCAGATTGCAGAGAAGTCCCACGGCAGGCAGGGCCAAAGCTCTGATAACAAAATGACTGAAAACGAAACTCTGTTCGTTGTCCGCAATTTTGTCTGTTTGGGTAAATGTGTCCTGAAGTGGAGGTTTGCTGGAACTTGTCCATTCCTCCCTAGTGTATATGTTTCTAATCCATTGCATTTATTTCTTGTCTATTTCAAGGGTTCTGTTGGACCTGATTAGAGAATACACAGATTTGGAAGATGTGGAAGACGACTCTCAGGTGTTTGGGCAATGACCCGGGAGCCTTCACTTCTGAGGCCACCACCTGGATGGGTCGACAGAGACATTCCCCTTTGTCAGCTCTGGCGCTCACAACGGCAGTGTAGGACCAGAATGTTCCTCAGTGGTGTGTTGGCACGTGCACGCTCCACGTGACTCGTTTGACTCTTTTACCTGTGCCCTAGTCCTTAGTTCATCCTTTATTCAGTAATTTTCCACTGGACAAAACACTTAGGATATTTAATAAGAATGGAGATTTTAATTTAAACACACCGTCAGGTAGACTGGCCCTGTCTAAGTGCATTTTAATACAATAAACATCTCACACCCATGCTGGTCACCTGGTTATTGCTGTGGCCACATAGCGTGGCAGAAATAACTCCAGGCCAGCGAGGTTTACGTTGACTCATAATCTCAGGGGTTCCAGGTCTTCCTGGCCGGGCAGCTCAGTTCTCCACAGAAGGAGCATGTGATGGAGACACTTCACATCAGTGCTGACCAGGAAGCAGAGTGCATGATGGGAACAAGGAGCCACCCATAGCCTGCCACAGCCCATGCCTAGCACTCTGCCTCTGCCAGCTTCTATCCACAGCCAGGCATGGCTTCCCCCAAACACTTGCCTCCACCTGGGGACAAGCGACTCAGACGGGAGCTTGAGTGTACAGGGGGTGCATTTCGGATTCAAACAGTAACAGTAGCGCCTGAATTAATGCACATTTAAACTAAACAATATCTGTTCCTTGCTAGAATGCATGCACGGTGGCCGGCACACACCTCAGCCATTTCTGAACCTTGTGACAATTTAGAACACTGGGGTCTCCTCTCAAGTCTTTGCCTGTGACCGTGGAAGCATGAGGTATGGGAATGACCTTAATGCCCGTGACCACCCATAGGAAGGGTCTGAGGTTGGAAGGTCAATGGTAAAGTCTGACTGTGAGATTCCATCCTAAGGTGGAGTATTGCAGAGGGAGGGGGAGGGGGAGGGGGGAGGGGGTGTTGGTGTACTGGTTGGTTGTCAACATGAACCTAGATTACCTGAGAAGAGGGAGTCTCAGCTGAGGAGTTGCTCCCAACAGATCGCCTGCAGGCAAGTCTGCAGGGCATTTTATTCAGTGCCCATTGATGTGGGAAGTCCCAGCTAGCCCTGGGCAGGAAGGACTGAGCTGTATAAAGGCAGCCAAGTGAGCCAGAGATACACCAACAATCCCCATGGCCCTGCTTCTGTACCTGCCTTGACTTCCCTCAAAGATAGACTATAACCAACAAAAAATAAAACAACAACGAAGAAAACGTTTCTCCCCTAAGTCACAGCCACAGGAAAGTAAGGGAGGGTGGAGGGGGAAGAGGAGAAGAGGGCGGGGGAGGGCAGAGACAAGGGAGAATCAGGACAGCTAAGGAAGCTTTACTACTGTGTCGGGATAGAGCCTGCCTTGAGTGTCATTGTGTTCTCTATGCTTCTATTGCATTCTGTTGGTTATTCAGAAGAATCCCATTAGTCTCTAGATTTCTCAGAGTGAGGGGGAGGAGGCCGTGTGTGTGTGTGTGTGTGTGTGTGTGTGTGTGTGCAGAGCTAGAAAGGGACCTTGTGTTTGGCTGACGGGATTCCTACATTCCATCACCCTATCTTGCGGTGGTAACTATTATTATTATTATTATTATTATTATTATTATTATTATTTGTCAACTTTACACAAACTGGAGTCATCTGCAGAGAGGGAACCTCGATCGAAAAGATGCCCCCATCAGTGTGCCTGTGTGCAAGGATGTGGGTATTTTCCTTTCCTGGATTAGTGATTGGCTGGGGAAGCCCAGCCCAGTGTGAGCAGGAGGTCATGGTTGTATAAGAAAGCAGACTGAAGAAACCACGAGGAACAAGTCAGTAAGCAGCGTCCCTCCATGGTCCCCGCATCGGCCCCTGCCTCCCCTCAGGGTTCCTGCCTGTCTGCTCTTTGTGATGGACCTCAACAGTAAGTTCACATAAGCCCTTCTGGCCCTCCCCAAGTAGACTTGGATGAAGGTGTGATTGAAACAAAGGAATGATCTCACTCTGAGACACATGGTGTTCCCAGGCTTTGTGAAGCACACCCAGGGCACCTCTGCATTGGCAGCCAGTGGTAGAGAGTTCAGCAGAACCCAAACATCTGCTGGGTTTGGGTCATGCCAGTGGAGAGCCACCCATACAAGGCTCGGGGTAGCGTGCTGAACATACGGACCTGCATATTCATATTCATGGATTGAAGGGTAATTCTTTGTTTATTGTTGGGTTATTCCACTATTCTGACTAACTTCATAAAAACCCAGTTTATTTTTTTAAAGCTTGATGTAAGTGATAAGGTGGCTTTGTCAAGATCAAAATTTGTAAAAGTTGCTATGACTGTTTTACTCCTTGTGACCTAAAAAAAATGTTTTTAAAATAGATGAGAGGTCTTCCCATCCATTATTTATCTCTGTAATGTTGATTCTGTCAGTATTCAAAGCTATTACAAATAGTTCACCAGCAGGGTGTGTGTGTGTGTGTGTCTGTGTGTCTGTCTATCTGTCTCTGTGTGTGTCTGCCTGTCTGTCTCTGTGTGTGTGTGTCTGTCTCTGTGTGTGTGTATCTGTCTCTCTCTGTGTGTGTGTGTCTGTCTGTCTCTCTGTGTGTGTGTCTGCCTGTCTGTCTCTCTGTGTGTGTGTCTGTCTCTGTGTGTGTGTATCTGTCTCTCTCTGTGTGTGTGTGTGTGTGTGTGTCTGTCTGTCTCTGTGTGTGTGTGTGTCTGCCTGTCTGTCTGTGTGTGTGTCTGTCTCTGTGTGTGTATTTGTCTCTGTGTGTGTGTGTCTGTCTGTCTGTCTGTCTCCGTGTGTGTCTGTGTGTAATCAAGTGTGCCCTAACATACATGAGGAGGAGGTCAGAGGACAATCCTCAGGTATTCTAGTCATCAGGGGCCCATGTGATGGGGACTGCAGTTGATAGCAGGAGGAGCATCGTACCAGCAACTGGAGCCCAGACCCCTAGGAGCCTCCTAGGGATTCAGGCAAAAACCCCATCTTCAGTCACTCATGCCAGCGATTTCCTTCTTCCCACCTACCTTCTACAACAGGGAGGAATGGGGCCATGGTCATGACTGGGACCCTCCCTGGCCCTGGAAGGTCTCTGCTGTTTCTTCTCTGGCTTTGGCAGGGTTTCTTCTAATTGGCCCCTACCAGTCAGGGTCCAGCTGAGGATGTACTAGTTTCCCGTGTCTGGCACCTGGAACTCAATGCTCCTGCTGGAAACTGAGGATTGTTCTGCCTTGGCCTCCGAGAGTCAACCCCTTTCTGCTCACCCCTGTCTTGGGGCCTGACTCCCCCCCCCTTTCCTGCCCATCCCTGCCCTGTGAGACTCGCTGCTGCTGAGATCTCTTAGGCTCAAGCCTTTGGTGACACTCGAGGTTGGTACCCCAGCACGCAGTGCGTAGAACCTACTGCCCCGAGAATGTCATTTCTGCTTGCCTGCTGGTCGGTAGTCCTGCGTTTGTTATCTCCACTGGGCCTCCTGTTCATTCTTATAAAGAGAGAAAGACCAGCCAGCTCTGAGACAAGAATTGACCATCTTCCCAACTTGGATTTGATCCTGTGGTCCGTGGTCTAATTTGAATGTGTCTGTTCAAGTGTGCAGAGCTAAATTCCAAAGGGAGGGGGCTACTGTTGGCAAGAAGGAGCTGCACAATGCGGTGTCTGCTTGCTCTAGTGGGGATGTGACCAAAAGTCATGACTCTCTTGGCGTTCCCTTGGCTTGGGTGCATAGTTCAACCTTTCTTTAGTCATATTTGGATGGCCGTTTGTTTTATGTCCACGGGCGTATAAATCCATCTTGCCTGAATCGTTGAACTGTGTGTAATGTAGGTGGTGTGTTAATGGGTATTACTTTAAAGAACTATTTAATTTGGTCTCTGGCCATGACGTTCATCCCACACTTTCTTCTTTGAAAGCATCAGAGGTGAGAACTCCAGGGTCAGTTTGCAGGTGTCTGTCAGCATGTGTGGTAAGGTTTTTTTTTTCTTGTACATTTCAAAAGGGTAGCAAGATCCAGCACACTGAGCAGCTTCCCAGTGTTCTGACCATGCAGGAGCATGTGCACAGCCCTCTGAGGGGAAGGAAGTTGATTTCACCACGGTCCCTGTAGAACTGCTCAGGAAGGCTCCTGCACGATCTGCACAGCACTTAATGAGTCCCTGTTGCTAGGCAGTTGCTGTGGATTCTTATTGATCTTACTCTCCTGTCTTGCAAGGAACTCTAAGGTGCATAAATGAGTTTCTTCACCCACTTAAATTCACTCGAGCTACAGGTCTCAGAGACACCAAGCTGTGGTCTCTGTACTCCAGCACCGCCCATTACAACTCTGTCCTTCACATTCAGTCCTTTCTCCTCTGTTACGTCTTCAAAGAAACACAAATCCCCCTTTATCCTTCCTCTTGCCACCAGCCAGCACCCATGACCAACTCCTGCCTACATAAGAGGTTTGTGTTATTAAATTATTGCAAAGTTTCACTACACATGTCATCATCAAAGTCTCCTAACACAGCAGACGTGAACTTCCCTCTAACTCCAGGAGTGGACCCTATATAATTCCAAGTTGGTAGTTCACAATTTTTTGAAAGATTTATTTAGTTTCATTTTATGTGTATGAATGACTGTGTGTGTGTGTGTGTGTGTGTGTGTGTGTGTGTGTGTGAGATGTGTGTGCCTGTTTCATGCCCATGGAGTCTAATACCCTCTTCTGGCATCTTTTGGCTCTTTGGGGCCCTGTCTCCCAGCTCCCAAATAAATCTCACAGGAAGGCTGAGTCTTACTTATGATGCCTGGCTTTAGCTTAGCCTATTTCTTACCAGCTTTTCTTAAATGCTCTCCCCTACCCTTTGCCTCTGGGCTTTTATCTATCTTTCTTCTGTATACCTTTCTTTACTTCTGACTCCATTGCTGGCTGGCCCCTGGAGTCTCTCTCTCCTCCTCTTTCTTTCTTCCTCTTCTATCTCCTTTCCCCTCCTATTTATCCTCTCTGCCTGCCAGCCTTGCCTACCCCTTCTCCCGCCTTGCTCGAGCCTTTTGCTCGTCTTTCTGTCATGACCGTCGTCCCTTGGTTACGACGAGAAGGGTGAGGGTCTCTCCATACAGTACAGCAACGCGACCCCTCTATTGATGTCCTCAATCTCAACGATGTTACACAAATAAAACCGGCTCCTACCCTGCTGAACCCCGCAGGCTTGTCGACAAGTGCTCCAGGAATCTGAGTACAGCTCACCCTTCCAGGAGAGCACACCGTCACACTTGCAGCCAGTTATGTTCCCTTTAAGT